TTTAATGCATTTTCCACCTCCCCTTGGTTTTAATGTGCCTATGTGGGAGGAGTTACGTTGTATGAGTTTCAGTTGGTAAGGCTTCAGGTCAAGGATGTGGACAAAGTGCTTGGATCAGACTTGTACTCTGGACCCTTGCCCTTTTTGGCCGAGGAAAACTAGCAGAGAGGTTACAGCTGCGTGTACATGAGAAAATGGATTATTCTCATTCATGAGTGTAAATCATCCCATAGATAATTTAATTGCAAGTGCATGGTCAACCAAGCCAGTTGCTACAGTAACAGCCCAGTGCCCTGACAATAGCTGTGATTAATGCATGTCAGCTCAGTAGTCTGTTGGTCTGCAGTTTGTCTGTCAGTCTGTTTCTCAGTTAAGCCAGTCGGTGTTACTTGTCCAGTGTTACATCTTAAATTGTTTAACTTATTTAGCCTGATTCAAAGTGCTGGTTCTACCTCTAAAGCATTGAATGGCTCAGGATCGCAATGCTTCAAGGACTGTCTCTCCCCATGTGAACCAATTCAGACCCTGTGATCATCATCTGAGGCCCACAAGAGATCCAGAGGGTGGCAACATGAGAGCAGACCTTTTCTGTGGTGTCTCTCTGCAGGGAGGTGAAAACTTACCAGGCCTTTTCACTGACTGACATATAATGTCCTTTTAAATGTGTTTGGGGGGAGGGGGGAGGGGTCAACTTGTTTTGTTCTTGTTTTCACTATGCATTTCATGTTCTCAATTTGTATTTTTATGTTGCGAACTGTGAACTTCAAGTGAAGGGGGCGGTATACAAATTGAGTAAATATAACAACAATACTGTAAATGAAAACACCTATGCCTGTTGGACCTGAGGCCCCGAAGATTACATTTCCTCGATTTTAAGAGGCTGGTTTCCGCGATGTACCCGTATTTTTTGCACCATAACACTCACTTTTTTCCTCCTAAAAAGTAAGGGGAAATGTCTGTGCGTGTTATGGAGGGAATGCCTACGGGTGGCATGCCTACGGATTTTCCTCCTCTAAAAACTACGTGCGTGTTATGGTCGGGTGCGTGTTATAGAGCGAAAAATACGGCAGTTGCCGTGCTTTGCTCCTTCCAGGCTACACTAGCCTGCGGGGGACACGGATGACGTCCAAGAGCAAAGGGCGCTCCGGCTTCCACCGCTCCCACCGGACCACCTCCCCGCCTCTCCCGAGCGCGGGCCCTGCGGCCGCTTTCTCGCTCCCCGCCCGCCCGCTCGCTCGCTCCAGCCTCCCTTCACAACTCACGGTCTGTGAGGCGGCTCCCCGGGGGCGGCGGCGGCGACCGTGGCGGCGGCTGAGGCGGCGGGTGGTGCCGTGCCTGGTGCTGCTGTTGCTGCTGCTGCCGCCGAGGCAGCGGGGCCCTGTTGCTGCTGGAAGGAGCGGAGGGACTCGAAGGCCTTCATCAGCTTCTCCATGGTGGCCATGCCCCCCCTCGCCCTCACAGAGGCGCGCGCGCGCGGGGAGGGAAGCTAACTCCGAGTCCGGCGGCTGCTGGCCGGCCGGCCGGCCAAACTCCCTCGCCCGCCCTCGGGGGACTCGGCCCCGCAAGAGCCGTCGCGGCCAGCCGCTCACAGCGCCAGAGCGGGCTAGAGGCAGGAGACGGCGCGCTCACTCCGCCACCGACGCGCCGGCGCCATCTTGAGAGCCTCCCATCATCCCCGGCGGCGGCGGCGGCGGCGCGGAACCTCCTCGCTCGGCGATCCCGGCACAAGCGCTGACAGCTTCCGGTTCCCCAGGCGAGCCCACCGCCCCGCCTCCCTGGATGGACAGCCGAAGCCACCAATCGGAGCAGGGGTGGGGAAAGGCATCGCCGCGCCCACTTCCTGCTCAAGCCACACGCTCGAAGGAGGCGGTTGGCCAGTCTGCGGGGAGGAAATCGGCGAGGGCCAATCGCAAAAGAGAGCGGGGCCGAAGGCCCTCCCACTTCTCACTGGGCTGCGCTGAGACCCCGCCCCGCTTTCTGTCCAGCAGCCTCGCGAGCGCGGCGTTGTTGTTTCGAAGGCACTTCCGGCTCGCCCGGCGGAGGGCGCTCCTCTCTCGTGGGCTCAGTGAAATAGCTCTGTGTCTGGATCCCCAAATAAATAATTCCCGCAAGAGTCCCGGACGGCGTTGGCTTCCGACCAGTGCTATGATCCCCCTCCTTCTCTGTGCAGCAGGAGCGGTTATTTCAAATCTCGACAAATCCTTGCATATCCTTCCTCTTCTCCAAAGCCTCTGCTTGGTGGTGGGATTATTATCTCGTTTGCCGTTACGTATTTTTGTGATTTTCATATAATACCACAAACTGCCCTGTGATCGTCTGCACATACATTTAAAAGTTAAAAACAAACCATTGCCACAAAACAGAACCTCTGGATTACTTTTTGAGTTTGGCATGATTTCGTACTTAAAATACTTGCGGGGGCGACTAAGACGACCTGGAATTGGGAACCGGAAGGCTTGGCAAAGAAGCACAGAGGATCGTGGTCTCTGGACCCCCAGAAAAGCGAGAGCCAAGGTCGCCTGCACACTCCGCCTTCGAAGCGAATTCGAAACCTGCCCTTTCCCTCAGAGAATTCTGAGCACCTCGCTGGAGTTGGGTTACTAGTTGCCAGCTCCTTATTTGCTCAAAAACACTTTAAAAAAGAAAAAGTCCCACCTATCCCTGAACGTCAAAATAAAGTTTGTATGTTCCTGAACTACAAAATAAACGTTGGGATACCCCCACATCATGCATCATAATTAGGGGCCTCCCTTTCCTTCAAGCACAACAATAATGTTAATAAAAATTATCATGTTTCCAAATTATCATAAATGCATGACCAGGACCAACCATGATAGACTGGCATCTTGTAAAAGGATGCTCCATTTTTGCTTCGGTGTATGATTTGTCCTGGCCCAAAGCATATTTTGGAGTCTCTCTCTCACCCCCCCCCATATCTTTATCAAATGACAGTTGCTGGGATTCTTTAGGGGAAGCAATGTGCTTCATGGGTGTAGCCAGGCTTAGGGCGGGGGGAGAAGAACCTCATTATTTTTATTGATTTTCTTGATTTGTGGGGGGAGCTGCCCTCCTGCACATGATGTGCTTTAAATAACATAGATCTACCCTAAGCTCAGTTTGTCAAGACCAGTGACAGGTGCAGACACGATCCGTTCCAGGGTGCCTTTCGCACCCCGAAAAGTCTGCAACTAGAGCAGCACTTCTGCGCAAGCGCCAGAGTATGACAGAGCGCTTCTGCGCATGTGTGAAGTGTGCAGAATGTTTCTGTGCATGCGCGAAGAACACTTCTGTGCATGTGGCAAAACCTGGAAGTATACAATTCCAGGTTTGCCGCGTTCGCAAGCTGAAAAGACATAATATGAACCTGACGCAACATGAACCTAACGCAACATGAGGTATAACTGTAGATTTTACAGTGGCTGTGAATGAGTAGTGTGTTCACTTCCAAACACAGCAGCAGACAATTCATGCTCTTTATTTTTAATGATTAAGTAATAATTAAAAATTGTAATAGCAAAGAGAGAACTGAGGGACATAAAGTAACATAATAAAAAAGAACTATTTATACTATTAAAATTAATCACAATCAACATTGATCAGAATCAGCGTTTCCAACAAAATAAATTAACACATAGTATAAGTGTTAGATGAAACAGACCACGAACACAATAAACATAAGGAGACTTACTGGATTTTTCCAGGAATGAAACTGTAAAGTAAGATAGGGACCCATATTTACAACATAGAAAAATATATATATACAACTGTATTTTGCCACAGAATCATATAATTTAGAGTTGGAAGGAACCTCAAGGGTCATCTAGTGCAGCACCTTGCAATGGAGGATTAACTTTTGTTTTGACATTTATTATTCCAAAAAGGTATAGCTAATATCAATTTTTCAACAAGTATGTTGACTTATTTTTTAGAGAAACTGTTTTTAAAAGTAAGCTGGTTTCACGAATAATCCAACGTCCCGGAGTCTTTTTGGCAAACTGAAAGTGTTGGGGTTTTGCAGAGCTTCCCAATGTGCTGCTGCAGGAACAAATAGTCTCTTTCTTTCTAACTCAAACCTTATTTCGTCTAAAAATGTTCATTTTCTTTTCTAAGGTTTTAAACATCTGAAAGAGCAACGTGCCAGCACAAGGGCTTCAGTCTACATGGGAGACTATTTTCACCTAGAAGTTCCAAACGGCTTCAGTTCCACCCGCTAACCTGCAATAGTAACTTTGGTTACATTGCGCGGCTGACACAGTCATCTCATTCGCAACTTGCAAATGCACTGTCTATATTTTTACTAGCATGCTTAAAAAAAAAAAAAGACATTGGAAGCATTTTTTTCCCCCCTCACGCAAAAAACGTGCTCGAAATCCTCTCTTTGCTACTTTCTTGGCTTCTGCGTAAACGCGTCGCTGCCCCATGACAACCGGCCTCAGTTTCCTTTGTTTCCAATCGGCAATTTCAACCTCGTCCTGATGAACAAAACCAGCCAGGACCAAGATTAGGCGAAGAGGGTTGCGCAGGCACTTTATTTATAGCCCAGGTGCGGACGCAAGTGACGCCAGCCGACGCAGTTAGCCCCGCCCTGGGGGCGGCCCTCCACAACAGCCCCGCTGCGATTGGTCCATTTGCAGGCCGGTTACGATCCTCCCAGCGCCGCCGCGGGATTGCGCAGGCGAGACAGTAGTGCCAGGCCTAACTCCGCCCGCCAGCAGGGGGCGAGCGGACTCCCGAAACGCAGTCGCGGAGAATGAAGCGGCGGGGAAGCCGTAAAGGCACCCCTGCGCGAGGCATTCTGGGATGCGCCCTTCCTTTCCGTAAGCGGCTTCGACTCTACGGTCCGTTTCCGCCGGAAGAGAGAGATCTCGCGACACTAGAGAGCGAGAGTTGCCGCGCGGAGGCTCACGTGCTTCCGGGGCTCGTGGAGTCGGGTGAGCTCCGTCGACGGGAGAGAGCTGTGGGAGCGCCGCTCCGTGTGAGACGCCGCCGCCGCCGCCGCGATGGGCAAAGCGGGCAAGCGGAAGGGGGCCGGGGGTGGCGCCGCGGCGAGGCGGGCTCAGGGCCTCCCCACCGCCGCCGCTGCCGCCCCCTCGGTGTCGAGCAACCCCTTCGAGGTGAAGGTCAACAGGCAGAAGTTCCACATCCTGGGCAGGAAGACGAGGCACGACGTGGGGCTGCCGGGCGTCACGCGCTCCAAGGCCCACAAGAAGGTGAGCCCTTGGCTGCCGCCGGAAAAACGGGGCTCCTCTTGCCGTGACTACCATGATGATGATTTATTATTAAAACTGTTCGTCGCTTTATTTTAGCCGTTGCAGCCCGAAGCGACTGACAAACAAAAAAACCCCCCACGGAGATAGGTTAAAACCGGGGGTGGGGGAGAAAGATAACATTAAAGATAAACCGCCCACTCCTAAAAGGCCACAGATTGTATAATCGACTTAAGGCCTGTTTATAGAGAAATGTTTTCGCCAGGCACCTAATGGCTTATTATGAAGATCCTACCTGGGAAGGGCTTTCCACAAACTGGGAGCCACCACAAAAAAGGCCCGCTGTTGTGCTGGCACCTTCCGGACCTCTCATGGAGAAAGGCAGATGGTGTGGAGAGGCGGTCCCAAGCATGTGCCTCTCAGCACAATAAAACTTGCCAACCCAATAAAGCAAATCAACTAATAAGGCCACATCGAATTGTACTCGTAACCCACTAGGTATGCTGTAAAATAGCGTATGTTTCACATTGTGCCTCTTCATAATGCTAGTACTTCGATACATACCTTGTTTGTCTTCTGCCGTTCCACAATTGACAGCATGTTCAAAGTGGCTTACAACTTGAAAAAATACATAGTTACAAATATCGCAAAGGTAGGCATAAGCATAAATAAAATATTAAAAAGTGCGCAGCTAAATTGTTCGATTTCCACATCAATTAAACTAAAATCTAAGAGATACAAAAGTAATATCACTAGCAGCAACAAAACTCTTAAACAACACCCCAGCCTCAAAGTGTTCAGCAGCCTCATCTTTCATAACTGGTCAGGGACCTCTCCCTCCCAGGTAGTAGTTCCACAAAGACTGCACTCACCTACAAGATCACCTGCATTTAGATGGCAAGAGAATCTTGACTGTGCCTGGAGACTGTGCTGGCTAGGAATGCATGAGGTGTAGATTGTGCTCTTGCTAAATGCCTACTAGGAAATGGGGCCAGACAATTTTGCAACTTTCCATGTCGTGGTATGATGTGGGATACAAATCTTTCAAAGGCAGCTTACAAATGACATTAAATTATTTTTAGCAAACACTATAAATAATATTGGCATGCTAAAAAAACCCCATCATGACCTTTGCCATAAGGCAGTTGGTGAAAGAAAGGTGAGTGGGGATTTTGGGGGAGCCTAGCTAAAGCAGGCCGGAATCCTTTTCAGAGGACAGTTGGTGGAAAGTGACCTGGCGGGGAGATGGGGCATGTCTAAAAGCAAATTCATATGAGCTAAAGGTAAGAATAGCTCATGTGTAATATTTCCTAACTAGGTAAAGGGACCCCTGACCATTAGGTCCAGTCGTGGCCGACTGGGGTTGCGGCACTCATCTCGCTTTATTGGCCGAGGGAGCCGGCTGGTCATGTGGCCAGCTTCTGGCGAACCAGAGCAGCACACGGAAATGCCATTTACCTTCCCGCTGGAGCGGTACCTATTTATCTACTTGCACTTTGACGTGCTTTCGAACTGCTAGGTTGGCAGGAGCAGGGACTGAGCAACGGGAGCTCACCCCGTCGCGGGGATTCGAACCACCAACCTTCTGATCGGCAAGTCCTAGGCTCTGTGGTTTAACCCACAGCGCCATCCACGTCCCTGTTTCCTAACTATGCATCACCTAATTTTGTGTCTTGGTCAAGAGGATAATTCAGGCGGGGGGGGGAGGGGAAGGATGTGAGAACTAAAAACCAGCAGGTGAGCAGCTAAAAAGCCCGAAAACATTGGTAGCATTGTAAATCAATAACATGGTTTGTAACATGTTTGGCTATTGCTTATTGGTGCCCTGTTTAAGTACTATTTGTTTCTGCCTTAATATATTGTGGCATTTTGCTTTTTCAGCGTATTCAGACTTTGCAGAAAGAATACAAAGAAAAGGAAAAATCCAATGTCTTTAAAGACAAACGTTTTGGGGAATATGATACCAAAATAAGTCCAGAAGAAAAAATGATGAAGAGGTTTGCTTTGGAACAACAGGTAATAATGAAAATAATTTCAGAAAGTGACATAACAACTCTTTAGAAGTTTCCTGTTCTCTTATAAATAAATATTAAATTGAACGAACATTTGAGCTGTATTTTTATCAAGTAATAGTATATGCAAAGTTGAAGATAAGTTCTACCTTAATTCCACATTTTACTAAGATCAGTTTTTTCCACTTCTCCAAGAGGTTTGTAGTTCCCTTTCTCTCTTACCAAACAGAATTTCCGGTAACTTTAAACTGTGATCCTATGCACAGTTAATTGAAAGCAAGTCTCATTCTAAATGTTCTAAAATGTATTTATTTCCAACTAAAGATGCGTAAGAGTTGCCTGTTATCAGCATGTTGGAGAGTTGATGCTAAACCATTTTGGCAGTGTTATATCTGCTTTTATAAATTGTTTGGGATTATAAGCAATTGTTCACCAACTCCAAAATATATTTTAAGGGCGGTGTTGAAAAATAGACTGTTAGTTTAGCACGTAAGGCCAACTGGTCATTACTTCTATCATGTGAGAAGGGCAGCATGAGCAAGGTGATAGTGAAGACAACATGGAATAGGTGGGGGGTTGGTAGGCAGAGTAACGTATATAGAAGGAAAAGGAAGGAAGAAACAAGGGAAGAGTTGGAAGCTGGCACATGGCTCTTGGTGTTCAGGTAGACAATGGTTAAGCCATCTGAAAGTTTGCTTTCTCTGCAGCAATGTGGTTTTATCATTTATTCATTTGCAGAATTTTGTTGGGTCTATCTAGCAAATGCTATACATAAATTAGACATCTAAGTCACTTGAGAAACTTAAAATACGTATGTGAATAAGAGTTAAGAGAACTACAGAGCAGAGATTAAGTGAACGGATCCCGTTCGCATCCCGAGGTACCACTGTATGTTGACTTTGACATTTTAGCTGCAGTCAGGAATGTACTTTTCTACATTTACTCTCTACACACCCTTCTAAATAGAGAGCTACTTTCTCTTGATTCCAGGCCTTACCCAGAAGTCTAAGCTTCTTTGCTTAACCAAAGTATAGGCACAATATCGCTATGTCTTGACAACGTGGATAGAAATTAACATTTTACCAACGATCACAAAAAAACACTTACTGATTTCTTTTATTTTGTTACAGAAAAATTATGAAAAGAAAAATATATATAATCTCAATGAAGATGAAGATTTAACCCACTATGGCCATTCTCTAGCAGACATTGAAAAATGTAATGATACTATTGATAGTGACAGCGACACTGAAGAAAGAGGAATACTCTCAGGTAAGAAGAGTCAAAAAGGCAGAGTGGTACATATGTCCTACTATACGGCAATTGTGTGTTACATAAGGCACCACATTTTCTATTTATTGCAATGGTGGAGCTTTTCAGATGCAAGTAGCTACAGTTATCCGGAAGTGTGATGGAACATGAAACTAAAATTTGGCACATGTTCTAATTTTATACCCATACAGTTGTGTCTTGGCTCCCGAATGCCTTGGGAGTCAAAAGTTCCGGCTCCCAAATGATCAAAAACTGGAAGTGAGTGTTCCGGTTTTCAAACTTTTTTTGGAAGCCAGGCTTCCGCAGCTTCTGATTGGCTGCAGGAGCTTCCTGCAGGCAATCAGAAGCCACGCTTTGGAAGTTGAACGTTTTGGAAGTCAGAACGGATTCTGTTCAACTTCCGAGGTACGACTGTATTTAAGACTCTACTTTCAGAAGTTAAAATTATAGTGTGATAGCTAACGTAAGTCATACTTTGAGTAGATCCATTGAAACCAATAGCCTTTAATTCCATTGATTTCAGTGGGTCTATTTTGACTAGGAGTAATGACAGCTATGATTTAAAATGTGCTGTTTCTTTCATTTAACACAGTCTCTAGAGTTGGAGAAATGTTTTGACACGCCAGCCCTAGAGATGCTATGTAAAACTCCTCAGTGTTTCCTAGGACACAGAAAAAAAATCCTTTGGTTCTTAACAAACATTGCTGGCTGGCTCAGTTGGTACTTTTGCAGTGGAATTCTAACCATGTTTGCTCAGATGTAAGCACTATTGAATTCAGTAGAGCTGCTTCTCCAATAAATGGGGTTGGGACTGAAGCCACATTTGACCTTTTCCTAAGCAGCTTCCTTCTTTCATCTCTAGCGGAATTAACAGCTGCTCACTTTGGAGGTGGTGGACTTCTCTGTAAGAAAGCCATCACAGGGAAGGAAAGCGAAGAAGATAAAAAACCTAAGTCACGGAAGGAACTCATTGAAGAAATGATAGCAAAATCCAAACTGGAAAAGGTAAACTCTGGGTTTCTTGTACTAAATTTGAATTCCTTTGAAATTAAAAAATGAAATAAAACAATGTTAACCAATATTTGCCATTTTCTGTGAGATACAGTGTTCAATTTGGTTCTGTTTTGGCTGTGTGCAATTTCAGTTTCTCTTTGTTTTCAAGAGAGGAGTTTGCACATTAAAGGCTAGTTGCATGATAGACCGTTTCCCACAATTGTTCTTTTTTCTGTTTAGAGGGAGCGGCAAACGCAGAGGGAAAATACATTGGAGCTTACAGAAAAACTCAACAGTGATTGGAAGGAGGTTCAAGCCTTTCTGTTCCACAAGACCCCAAAGTCGGAGAGACAAAATCAAGAAGAAAAGCTCAAGGTAAGCCTTATTTTACTTGCTATCCAGTTTTACTTCAAATAGTATTCTGCCTGTTAGTGGTACAAATTCCTGTATGGAATTAAAGAGAAAAACTGAAACTTTGTGAATTTTAGTGATGTTCTCTTAGCGTGCTTCCCTGCTCTTAACGTCCTGTGCATTTAGGTGATAGTCTAGATTCTGTTTTGACACATCCTCCTCTCTTCAGACTCCGTAAATCTGGACAGAAGTGGATCTCCCTTATTTATCTAAAGCATTTTTACTCTTATTCAGTCAAAAATTCTAAATTATATGGCTGTCGATTTTTTTAAAAGACAGTCTCTGCCTTCAGGATTACAATCTAAAAGACACAAACAATATTGCATACAAAGGGAGGAGAAAAAAGAAATAAACTTGGGCACCAGTTCTTAAAGCTGCAGTTCTTAAATAACCAACTGGTATGGAAACAGTTCAAGTAGCTTGATGGAATGGCAGTTGCTAGCTGACAGTAGATGGATAGTTCGGAGGCATCTGGTGTGTCAGCTAATGGAATAGCCCACACTCCCTTCTCTGAAATTCCAAGTGAAGGTACATGTCTCTGAAGGCATCCAGCCTGTTACTGATAAAGTCAAGTGTTTGTTCTAAAAGTGAAGAGAGCAGGCCACCAGCTTGTTCATTCTTGTAGATCATTCTCAACTGTTTCAGTGGTGGGTGTGTAAGTAGGCAAACTTGCAATCCGATCCGCACCTAGTAAGTCCAATTGAACACAAAGGGGTTTACTTCCACATAGACATGCATAGGATTCCATTGTAAACTAATGAGGTTTTCGTGAGCCCTGTCTGGGTCTAGGCAGTTATTTGCAGTGTCATATTTACATTGCCTTAGATTCCATGACAGAAGATAGGCGGGGAATTAAATGTAAGAAAATTTGTAATGTTGTTATAATGCTTCCTGGTTTGGGAGTTACTTAAAATAGATGTTAATGAAATACTTAAAGGTTTTTAATACAAATGTTTATGCCAAAGAAATGGAAGTTGCTCCCAGTTCCATTCACCACAGAGAGAAAGGTTCAGATAGTTTACTGTTGCAGAAGATAAGGCTCAGTAAACCAGTTCTGGACCTAGATACATACAGCTTGTAGGCTTTAGATATACAGATATATGCAAGTATAGAATATCCCTGTTGCTGTAAATAAGTTCAGTAATTCAAGGTGTAACACTGGACAAAAGTAACATTGACTAACAGACTAACTGCAGACTAACAGTTGGACACCTGAAACTATTGAATTAGCTCACACAACATTAATCACAAATACAGTTGTTGCCCTGGGCAACAATGCCCGTAGCAACTGGCTTGGCTGTCCACGCACCTTGAATTAGCTCATCCATGGGGTAGTTTACACTCATAAAGGAAATTAACCCCTTCTCACGTCCAGTTTCTTCAACACGCTCTTGGGGCTGCATGCCTCTGAATACCAGTTGGGGAGAGCACTGTTTCACTTGGGTCTTACTCGTGAGTTTCCCACATGTATCTGGTTGGCCACTGTGAGAACATTCTGCTGGACCAGATGGGCCTTTGGCCTGAACCAGCAGGGCTACTCTAAGGTTCCTATTGTAGAGAGTTACTGTTTGTGATTTTTTCCCCCACAGCCTGATGAATATGATATGATAGTTCGGGAGCTTGGGTTTGAGATGAAGGCACAACCCTCTGGTAGGATGAAAACAGAAGAAGAATTAGCAAAGGAAGAACAAAAGCGACTCCTCCAATTAGAGGTATGGTGTTTGTGTATTGTGTTCCACATAATAAAAAACTGTTTTCAGTGACTGTGAATATACAAGATGCCATAAATATCCATGAAATATTTTTACTTGGAATAGCTGAAGGACTGTCTCCTACCATATATACCTGCCCAGACCTGGAGAATGCAGTCCCTTCTCTGGGTCCCCCTGCCAGCTGAGGCTGGGCAAGTAACCACTAAACACTTCCAGACCTCTTAATTCTAGCTTCATTTTTGGTTAGACACTAACTTGGTTTTTCCCCTTTGCTGCTTCTTGAGTTGGTTTTTCCATGGATTTTAGGCATTTTAACACTATTTTGTTTTGTTTTATTCTGAGTCCTGAGTCCAGAGTGCTATGGTGTTTTAGAGTGTTGGATTTAGACTTCAGGTTGACCTTAAACCAGTCTAACCTACATCTTAACCACAGGATGGTTATAAGGATAAAATTGGGGTATTCTGTCCTGAATGTTTTAGACAAGATATAAATGTAACCAACAGATTATACATGTTTTATGTTAAATTTGATACATGTAGATCTTAATTTATTGGAATAACCAGTTCCAACCTGGCCACGTTTGTCTGAAAGGCTCTTTCCCCAAACTCTGCCCATCAGCTGATGTTCCTAGCTTATATCATCTGATGGAGGACTAGTGAAGGTCAGTTTTGTTGTGTTCTCTTCTGCCAGCTTGGTCCCTGCTGGTGAAGCAGACTCCTGCAGCCAGGAGGATTGAACCTGCTGGGTGCTGCTTCTCCAGTGTGTTCCTGACGAAGCAGTTTCATCCCCACACCCTGCTGAACAGTTTTGACAGGTGGATAGGGATTGTCCACCTGTCAGTAACCTGGCATTGTCATGACATTAGAAGCTTGACAGACAGGTTGCTTCATAGAGTGGAGAGAGATAAAAATCTGGCTCACTGTACCAATATTGTTACCCATCACTGACAAATATAAATGCCTCCATCATTCATTCATTCATTGAATGCTTGCACCATTGTAGCAGAATTTTATCATACCTTCTGTGATAAAAAATCAGGCTAGCCGTTAATGTTACTGTTCTCAACATATTATACATTGCAGACTGACAGATTACGTCGAATGTGTGGAGATGAGCCTGAGAAAGAAAAGAAACCCAAGCACATATCAGCTGACGATTTGGCAGATGGATTCCTCCTTGATAAAGATGACAGGCGTATGCTTTCTTATAAGGTACATGTCTTTTCGTTGAGTTTTTAAAGAAGCTGAAACAAAAAGATCACAATCCAGCCATGCCAATCTGGGGAGCAAATTGCAGAGGCCTCAGGGGACATAAATTACTTTGAAGACTAGGTATGTAACATTGCTGACACGTGAATTTAAATCCCTTGTACTTGTACAGCTGGTCATGGTGGTGCCCTGGGAAGACTGCTTTCTCCCTCAGCCTGACACCCTGTATCTTGGATCCATCCCATTCAGTAATACTCCCAGTGGGAGTCATACAGGGATGGTCTGACCAGAGATGGTCTGCGGCTCAAGAGGAATGGAGCCGTTGTTTCTTTTGGGGTAGTGCTCTATTGCACCCTAGCAGCTGGACTACTGAATGGAAGCAATAGGGAGAAGTTGTTCTGCTGTCAATTTTTTCCTAGTTCATCAGAGTGGTCCTGGACCTGCCCTTTTTGCTATGGACACTTGCTTTGTTGTTGGCTGCACTTTTTTTAGCTATGTCAATCTCAACTGCTTCTAGGGAGAGAGTAAGTGGGGAGGCATTTTCTGAGCCATACTCCTTGCGAGGTTTTTCTTCTCAAAGGCCTCCCTCCCAATATTTTGCAAGGAGATCATCCCCAGACTTCACTGAGAAACAAACTCTGCTTTAATGCCTAAAGATTCCGCTGATTAATGTATATATCTCAACCTATTAAATAGGATGGCAAGCTGAATATTGACGATGATAAAGACGAGGAAGAGAGTGTGGAGAGAGAAGACTGCAGTAGTGATGGAGAGGAAAGTGATGAAGAAGCTGCAACTGGTGCTGATGATATTGACAGCCCCTCTGATGTTGAAACTGAAGAGGAGGTCATGGAGGTAGCCACTGCTAGTGAAGAGCAGAAAAGGGGAAGGAGGGAAGGAAGGAAGAATGAATTGCATATGAAGAAGCAAGATGCCAAAAGAGAAGCTGCAAAACTGGAGGTGCCATATTTGTTTGCTGGTAGGAAGAAAAACACCTTTATTCAAATTGCATTATTTACTTTCTGTAGGAAAGCACTGCTCCTTGTTCACTGGTAGAAAATAGCGTGGTCTGGTTTTTCAGAAAGAAGAGCATCTAAAACATGATAAAATAATCTCTTGAAAGTTCAAATCTTAAACAGCATTTACATTGCTGCCTTCTGGTTTAACCACAAAACATGGGGAAAATGTGGAATTTGGCTTATTAGATGCCTGAGAAAGAGGAGGAACAGTGGAACTTATGTCAGAATTGGAGGAAACCCCAGGGACAGGACTACAAAAGTGAGCTGCTGTAATGGGTATGAGTTACTCGTGCGTAAACTGGTGCCTCTCTAGGCTGATTTGCCTTGTTAAACCTTTCTGACTGCACAGCCCCTTCTGATCAGGACTGTCTCAGTCACTAGCAGAATCCGTCAGTGGGCGTTTCTTGAATCTCTTCCAACATAAGAGCTGTTTGACACCCAATCGCCTCCGCCTCTCACTGCGCGGGAGCCTTCTGCGCAGGGTGGGCGTGGGTAGCGGGGGACCTGTCCCCTCCTCACTGAGTTCCAGTGAAGAGTCCGTGAGCCCTCTCTCCGATTTTCCCATCTGCTCACTTTTGTTCCTGGTGTTGCGCTTAAATGCTTCCCCCTCCACTGAGTCGCCTCTCCCCTGCTGCTGGGTCCTTCTCCAGCATCATCCAGGAGCCTCCCCTTCGCCTCTCGCTCTGATGTCAGTTCCCTGACATCCACCTCCCCCAGAATCCCCTCCACCCCTGGGCCGACCTGTGGGACCAACTTCGTCCCCTTCGTCGGCCGAGGAGGCGGGAAACCCCGGAAGGAACTGTCACCATCTTCCGTGGGTTCGAAACCCGCTTCCCAATCGCTCTTCCACCTACCAACGGGGTGGTCTTCCCCGTCTGATGCTTCTTCCTCCGAAATCTCTCCTCCCTCCTCGGAGTCAGAAAATCCCTCAAAAACCTCTTCCTCATCTGTGGTTCCAAATTGCTCCTCCCAGAATCTCTCCAGGGGTTTGGGTTTGTCCGGGAACCAGTGGTGGAATACCTCTACCAGATACCTGTCCTCGACGGCTTCCGTGGGGACCCACGTGTTTTCGGACCTGGGTTCCCCTTCCCACGCTACCAAATACTCCACCCGGCGCCCTTGCCACCTTGAGTCCAGTATTTCCGTGGCCCTGTGGTGGTGTTCCCTTTCTTCTACCTGCGGGTGTGTGGTGACTTCTCCCTCTTGCCCCTGGAATTCCCGCCCTTCCCTATGCGGTGAAAGCAGGGACCTATGGAAAACCGGGTGTATTTTCATGCTATCAGGCAACCTGAGCTTAAATGCCACGGGATTAACTTGCTGTGTTACCTCAAAAGGTCCCAGCCGTCTGGGCTGCAACTTCTTGCACCCCCCTTTGAAAGGTAGCCCTTGGGTGGACAACCACACCCGGTCCCCCACCCGTATGGTCTCCCTTCCCTGCGGTGCTTGTCTGCCTGCCTCTTGTAAGTTTCCTTGGCCCGCTCCAAGTTCATCTTAAGTTGCTGGTGTAGGGCCTCCATTTCCTCCACAAACTGCTCTGCGGCGGGTACGCTCCAGCTTTCCTCCCCACTCCCGGGAAGGCCCTGGGATGACACCCATGGTTGGCCATGAATGGGCTCATTCCCGTGGACACGTGTTCCGCGTTGTTGTACGCGAATTCAGCCAGCGCTAGTTTTTCTACCCAATCGTTCTGCCTCTCGCTGACATAGCAGCGTAGGTATTGCTGGAGTATACTGTTCGCTCTTTCTGCTTGCCCGTTGGTCTCTGGGTGTCTCGCCGTCGAGAAACCCACCTCCACCTGCAGTAAGCTCATGAGTTTCCTCCAGAACCGGGAAGTAAATTGTTTTCCGCGGTCGGAGATAACCCTCAAGGGGGCGCCATGCAGCCGGAATATGTGCTCCACAAACAACCGGGCTGTTTCCTCTGCCGTTACAGCATGTGAGCAAGCTATAAAGTGGCACATTTTTGTCAGTAGGTCGACCACTACCATGACTGCTGTCTTTCCCGGGACTTGGGCAAATCTGTCATAAAATCAATGGATACCACCTCCCAGGGTTCCCCGGCGTGGGTAAGGGTTCCAGCAATCCTGTGGGGGCAGCCCGCTCCCCCTTTGCCCTTTGGCAGCGGTCGCACCCCCGTACATATTCCCGTACATCCTCCCTCACCCTGGGCCACCAGAACTGCCTGGTCACCAGCATCATGGTTTTGTGCTGTCCAAAGTGCCCTGCTGTGGGGTTGTCGTGGAGTTGTTTGAGTACTTTTTCCCTCAGGGTTTCCCCCGGTACGTACAGCGCTCCCCTATAGTACAGTACCCCTTCCTTCTCCTCAAACCCTTCTTGGGTCCCTCTTCCGTCTCGTAGTTCCCGGATTTTAGTTTGCGCGAACACGTCGTTTCTGGTCAGCCCGGCTAGTTCTCGTTTCCCCACCAAAGTTCCCCAACACACCCATCGGTCCTCGGGGATCACGTGTCGTTTCTCCGGCGGCCCCTCTCCTTCCAGGTACTCCGGTTTACGCGAGAGAGCGTCTGCTCTTACGTTTTCTTCTCCGGGCACGTAGCGGATTTCAAAGAAAAACTTGGAGAACTCCTGTGCCCATCGAATCTGTCTCTGGTTGAGTACTCGTGCGGTTCTCCAGTACTCCAAGTTCTTGTGATCTGTGCAAACCTGGATCTGTTGTTGCGCCCTATCAGTAGATGACGCCAACGACGAAAGGCCGCGTAGATTGCCAGCAGTTCGCGGTCATACACTGTATAGTTTTGCTCCGACTTGCTCAGTTTTCTGGAGAAAAAGGCACACGGTTTCCATTCCTGCTTTCCCTTCCCTGGTTGCAAAGGACCGCCCCCACGGCTCTGTCGGACGCGTCGGTCTCTAGCCTCAGGGGTTTCTCCAGATCTACGTGCAGGAGTTGCTCTTCCGATGCGAACGCCTTCTTCAGTTTTTCGAAGGATTGCTGGGCCTCTTCTGTCCACACAAACTTCTTTTTGCTACTGAGACAATCCGTGATTGGCGCTGTCAAGTGGGCGAAGTTCTTGATGAACTTCCTGTAGAAGTTGCTGAACCCTAGGAACCTCTGTACGTCCTTCCGTGTCTTGGGAGCCTTCCACTCCAGCACTGCCTGCACCTTGCTTGGGTCCATCGCTAAGCCTTTGTCAGACAACTTGTACCCCAGAAACTCGACTTCTCTGGCGTGAAACTGACATTTTTCCAGCTTGACCCACAACTGGTGCTTCTGCAGTCGTTGTAACACTTCCCTGACGTCTCTAACATGTTGTTCCTCATTGTCCGAATAAATTAAGACGTCGTCCAAGAAGGCTACGCAGTTCTTGTACAGCAGAGACCCCAACACGTGGTGCATGAAAGCTTGAAAGCAGGCGGAGCCTGACTGTAATCCAAAAGGCATAACTAAGTACTCAAAGGCACCTAGGGGTGTGAACATTGTGGTCTTCCATTCGTCCCCCTCCCTCATCCTGATCAAATTGTATGCGCCCCTGAGGTCCAGCTTGGTAAAAATTTTGCCTTTCCTCACTCGCGTTAAAATGTCGTCAATCCTGGGCATTGGGAAGGTCACGGGTTCTGACACCAAATTGACAGCTCTATAGTCCACTACGAGCCTGGGTTTATTTGTGTCCTTTTTGTCCACAAAGAACACCGGACTGCCCCCTACTGCCTTTGATTCTCTTATGAAGCCTCTTTTCAGGTTCTTGTCGATAAATTCTCGCAACTCCTTCATCTCCCTGTCTGACATGGCGTACAGCTTACCCACTGGCAGCTGAGCCCCCGGAAGCAAGTTGATCTGGCAGTCAAAGGGCCTATGGGGTGGCAGTCTATCTGCCTCCTTTTCGCTGAAGACCTCCCGCAGATCTGCGTATTGTGGCGGCACCTCCCCTTTCCGCTCCACCGCCATCCCAGCCACCCTGGCCACGGTCATTCTTGGGGCTTCCTCCCCTAGACAGTGTTCCAGGCAGTAAGCTGATCCAAAGGTGACTGTCCTCTGATGCCACGCCACCACTGGATCATGTTGTGCTAGCCAGCTCATCCCTAATATTATTGGGGGTCCTGCTAGCGAGGCGACGTGAAAGGCGATGGTTTCCGAGTGCCTGGACACCCTCATTCTCATTGGCGGGGTTTGGTGTGTCACTTCCCCTCCTAGAAGCTCCCTGCCATCAATGGTGGTCACTTGCAAGGGAAAATCCAAAGGCAGTAAGTGGAGCTGGTGCTCTAATGCAAAGTCCTTGCTGAAGAAATTACATGAGCTGCCTGAATCCAGCATGCCTTTCACCTTGACTGGGTGCCCGTTTGGGAGTTCTAGCACCACTTCGATGGCTATTGCCGCCTTGGGGGGGTCTGGTTGGGGCACTTTTACTGGTGGCTGGCTTGGCTGTTGTGCCCCTTGATTGGCAGCCAAGCGTTCTCGTTTCCCTGTTCCTGTTCCTTTACCACCTCCTCCTCACCCCCTGCGGCTCCCACCATTCCTTGCCAAGCCTTTCTTTGAGGGCAGGCTCTGGCAAAATGCCCTGGCCGCTGGCAAAGGTAACACCTTTTGGAGGTTTTCCAATCCTTTCCCTCCTTCTTGCGCCCTTCGCTGGTGCTTGAAACTTCCGCGCGCGCGCCCATCTATTTCCATTGGCTCTGCTGGCGGGGAGGGCTGCCTTGGTATTTCAGGAATGCGGTAGTCATGGCAACGTTGCTCTCTCCCTTCCCGCCTCTCCTGGGCCCGCGCTTCCTGGCGCGCGCCAATCGCAAGCACAGCCTTGGTCAGCTGATCCATCCCCTGTGGGCGGGGTGCGCGGGAAAGTTCATCCTTAACCGTTGGGGACAACCCCTCCTCGAATAACATCTGTATGGGTTCGGAGCCCAGTTCCCACCCGAGGCGATGAACTATCATGGCAAAGCGCGACCAGTAGTCCCTGACTGACTGGCTCCCCTGTTTACAGTTCATCAATTCCCGCTTAGTCACACTTTTTGAACATCAGTGGAAAACATCGCGTCCATCGCTTGGAAGAATTTCCTCAGGTCCTGCATGGCGGAATTCTGCGTCGCCATAAGGGGTCTGACCCATTCTCTGGCCCCGTCCTGCAGGTGACCCACAACATATGCCACCCGCGCCGCGTCGTCTTCAAAATCGTTATGCTGCAAGTCCAATGCGTACTCTATTTCCGTTCTAAACGCACTGTATTCTTGCGGCTTCCCCCCAAACTTGTGCACCAGTCCCGGTACCTTCCTTGCTATGGGGGTGGGTCTGACCTGTGCATCTTGAGACCGCCTTTCGTCCAGCCGTGCCGTCAGAATGGCCACATGCTGCTCCAAATCTCAGTTCCTCTCCTCCAGCGTTTGCCCTCCAGCTGCTCCCCCTTGGGTGCCTGCTTCTCCGGGCTTGCTCATGATGCTGCCTGCCTGCTGCTGCGCACGAGCAACTTTCAGGGACTGACGGATTGCTGTAATGGGTATGAGTTACTCGTGCGTAAACTGGTGCCTCTCTAGGCTGATTTGCCTTGTTAAACCTTTCTGACTGCACAGCCCCTTCTGATCAGGACTGTCTCAGTCACTAGCAGAATCCGTCAGTGGGCGTTTCTTGAATCTCTTCCAACATAAGAGCTGTTTGACACCCAATCGCCTCCGCCTCTCACTGCGCGGGAGCCTTCTGCGCAGGGTGGGCGTGGGTAGCGGGGACCTGTCCCCTCCTCACTGAGTTCCAGTGAAGAGTCCGTGAGCCCTCTCTCCGATTTTCCCATCTGCTGACTTTTGTTCCTGGTGTTGCGCTTAAATGCTTCCCCCTCCACTGAGTCGCCTCTCCCCCTGCTGCTGGGTCCTTCTCCAGCATCATCCAGGAGCCTCCCCTTCGCCTCTCGCTCTGATGTCAGTTCCCTGACAGCTACCAACCACCTTCTGACTACTAAAGCCATATCTACACTAGGCTTGTGCTCTCCTGAACCACACCCAGTTGAGTAAACCTCAAAGGGTGTTTCTGTTCTCCCCACGGTCCCACACATTCAGTCTGATGCTCTCTGAGTGGGTGGCACTTTTCACAAGACAAAAAATCGAGTGGTAGTGCTCTGAGCTCCTAAAGCCTAAAGCCGTTTTTAATGCATGTTAATAAAATTCCTAATGTGGTTGGATGCTGCAGTTGCGTCACTTAATTTCCAACATTCTCCTGCATAAAGATGATGATGCCATATTAAAACAACCTGGTGAGGGGAAAAAGCAGATGCAGCACCATGGAAAGACTTGGAGGTAGCTGCCCCGGCCTTCAGGGTCACCTCTGTTCCTTCTGTTTTAGCCAGAGCCAGCCTATTACGGCTCAAGGGGTTGTCACACCTTACTAAGCTGTCCAGAGAACAGGAATTCCTGAAAGGTGCTGCTCTGGGTCCCCTATTCTTTAGATTCAGGGCAAAGGCAACTATTGTGGCAGCTTGCTAAAGGACAAATTTTAGTCTTCGTTTTGTAATCATAGTGCCATTTTTCTATGGCATAATGTTTGTGCTTTGTTTTGTGTAAGATAGCTATACGTTTTTCATTTTTACAATAGCTCCAGAATCTTATGAGCAACTTAAAGCTGAATTGTTGGGAAGAACGACAGAAGAACAACTGCTTGTAATTGAACGGATTCGGAAGTCTAATCACCCAAGCCTTGCAGTGGGAAACAAAGCAAAGTTAGAGGTATGTTTTTGTGATCAAGTACATTATTCACACATCAACATGGGGGGGGGGGGGAGTTTTTGCTAATTGAAGGGAACAAGGTACTTTGCATTCCAAAGTTCATTTACTTTTAAAAAACTTATCCTGTAGAAACTGTTTGAATTCCTTCTGGAGTATGTTGGGGAGCTGGCGCGTCAGACACCTCCAGAACTGAAAACTGTTGATAAGTTGGTAATGTAAGTATATTATATTTTTATTTCAATGTAAATTGTCTCCAGCACACATAAATTTTATTGTATTTGATGCTCTTTTTGCTGACACAATTCCACTCCCTGTGCTCTGCTTAGCTGTACCAGACCTAAGGTTAGTTTCAGCCAGTTTGTCAACTAGTTTTTAATTTTGGTTTAAAAGATAGGCATGGCTTGCAGCTGTTCAGATGTAATGCTCTCTGTGTTAGGCTATCCCTCAGCTTGGCCCAAGAACTGCAGCCAATGTAAAATTTGGCTGTTTGACTGTTCACTGAGGCAGAATATTGCCATCATTTTACCCTGCTGTTGAGAATAATGCATTGGCTGCCATTTGGCTACCAGGCTATGTTCAAGGTGCTGAAACTAGTATACAAAGTCCTAGGCAGCTCAGGACCAGACTCCCTACAAGTCACCCTTTATATGTCCAGTTGATCACTGACTCTAGACAGTGTAGCAGCTACCTAAATGTTATATAAATGAAATTTGCAATCATTTTATTGCCACCCTGGGCGCCATAGGGAGAAAGGAGAGGATAGAAATATAATAAATAAATTATGCAAGCGGAGACTATGGTTCCTGGCTGCTACTGGAAGCACTCCTCTCCCCCTGCCCCACTCCAAAAAGTAAAAATCTGAACAGACAAAGGAACTCGCATGCCCCACTGTAATGTGTCATGCCTTTTTGATCTGTAGTACCGACCTATGAGGTATTGATGCCCATGTTTTGACAGGTGGGAAATTGTCCCATTTTCAGACTCTTCTAGTGATAAAGTGCTGTAGACTATGAATATGTCTGTTTTCTAAGTCACTGAGAAATATCTTAACAATTTTGAAGTACGCAGTCTCTGGTTTTATGAGGAAAAACCTATAAATACCTAGTTCTAAGATTTTTTTGAATAAGATGTTTACCAGCTTAGACCTTTAGCTCATAGCTGTCAACTTCTCCCTTTTCTTGCGAGGAATTTCCCTTAAAAAAAAGGGAGACGTTGACATCTGTGCTCTAGCTCACCAGGAGGTAGGCAATTGTTATACACCTGCCAGTCAGTGAGGTCCAAATGTCCTATACCAGGATCAATAGGTTTGATGAGTTTTAGATGTCCGTTGAGTTCTGCTCATTGACGGTCAATATCATCAACTACAGTGGTGCCCCGCAAGACGAATGCCTCGCAAGACGGAAAACCCGCTAGACGAAAGGGTTTTCCGTTTTTCAATGCGCTTCGCAGGACGAATTTCCCTATGGGCTTGCTTCGCAAGACGAAAATGTCTTGCGAGTCTTGAGATTTTTTCCCGCTTCCCCCCCCTTTTTCTAAGCCGCTAAGCCTTTAATAGCCGCTAAACCGCTAATAGCGCTAATCCGCTAAGCCGCTAATAGGGTTGCTTCACAAGACGAAGAAACCGCTAGACGAAGATACTCGCGGAACGGATTAATTTCGTATTGCGAGGCACCACTGTATGGTATTCTTCTGGATAAGCTGCCTGGGTAGAAATTGGATGTATTGTTTCAGCTGTTCATTCTTCTTTTGGAATTAAAAGGCCATTAAAAATTGTCCTTAAATCTGACTTGATCTTCTTGTTAACAGGCCCTTGTATGATCTTTGCCAAATGTTCCCTAAAGCTGCAAGTAATCATGTTAAACTTGTCCTTCAAGATGCTACTCATGACATGGAAGAAATTCTAGCAGTGAAAGGTCATGCGGCATTTCCAGGGTTAGATATGGTACGTCTTTATTTATTTATTGCATTTATAGGAAATCTTTCTGCCAATGCACTCAATACAGCTTTTGGTTGAAAATATTTGTGCTGTGGCTGTCTGGTTGGAACACAGAGCAGGAGCCACCTTGTAAGTTAGTGAGAAGGATACACTAACATTTTGTTGGAGGTCCTGCCTGAAATATTAAAAGCCTGGTGGAACGGCCGCTGGGGGGACTGTTCTGCCAGATTATGGCTGGGCCAAGCCTAACTGACCAAGATGGCCTGACTGCCTCACTGTTCCTTCTGACTGAGGAAAGTAGAATGGAGACATGCACAAATTTTATTTGTGAACTGCCCTGAGATCTAGGGGTATAGGGCAGCATACAAATTTAAGAAATAATTTTTAAAATAGTGGTTTCTTAAAAGAAGTTGACTTCTTTTATTGTAATGTGCATAAACATATGGATGTTCTATGGTATAGCGTCTATAGCACATTTACTTGAATGTCCAGTGACTTCAAATGAGCTTAACCCTTATGCACCATGAAACTTGGTGACATGACAGCTGCTTCTGAGCGACTAGGTCTTGTGGCATTTTAGCAATTTATGAAACTGGAACTGCAGGGAGCAGATGTGGAAAACGATTGCTTCACTTTAGCCATTTATTTTCTGCATGGTTACATGGCTGGAGTGATAGGGCACCGGAACCCACAAAAACAGCTCAAGCTCCTTGCTGCAAGGGCCATGCGAAATGGGGCATTAACATCCCCTTAGACAGCTTACTGAGCAGTTGGTAATGTAAGTTACCACTGTTACTGACTGAATATTTTTCCTTTCAGCTTATATATTTGAAAATTATTGCAGTACTTTTTCCAACCTCTGATTTCTGGCATCCAGTGGTAACACCATCTTTGGTTTATATGAGCCAGCTACTCACAAAGGTATGTCTGCAATGTTGTTAACGACACAGATCTTTCCATAATAACCTAGTTCAAATGTGTGAAGATTTCCATTGAAACTTCAGTTACGCATCTAAAAGAAGATGGATCCACTTGACTGTATGCAAAGTTACCATCTTTGTAAATGCACTTGACTATATACAGAGGCCATCTGCCTAAAGTTCTTATATCATTCCTTCCTCTTGGGGGACATAATCTGAGGCTGAACTTCCCTGAACACCGTAAGACCTTTCCACTACAGTGGTGCCTCGCAAGACGAAATTAATTCGTTCCGCAAGTTTTTTCGTCTTGCGAAGCACGGTGTCGGAAAAGTTTTGGAAAAGCTTCAAAAATCGCCAAAAACCTCAAAAAAGGCTACCACCTTCTATGAGTTCCTCCTCGAAGTCAAGTCGCAACTGTATTAATGGTGTTAAGAAAAAGGAAACAAACTTGCAAAAAACGCAAGACGTTTTCGTCTTGCGAAGCAAGCCCATAGGGAAATTCGTCTTGCGAAGCAGCTCAAAAACCGCAAAACCCTTTCGTCTAGCGAGTTTTTTGTCTTGCGAGGCATTCGTCTTGCGGGGCACCACTGTACCTGGGTTTAGTGGCCATAGTGGAAAATGGGGTGAATGGTGCAGGGATTGTAATTTTGTGCAGATCTGAACCTGTTCTGAGATAGGTAAATGAGCAAGTGCAGAATGGCAAATTATAATAACTTCATAGCTATCTCTGCATAGTTTTAGGGCCTCAAGTCAGAATGACAGGGCAATCTCTGTGTGTGCATATGTATGGGGAAAGAGACCACTACAATGCAGGATTGTTCCAACCAAGAACGAGGAGTTAAAGCACTTTATAGCATTTATAGCATATGTGTGCCCCTTTATTAAAAAAAAAAAAACAACGATGCATGCTCGCTACCAGCCCAACTCAGCCAGAAGATCTTCAGACAAATGCAGATCTCACTTTCCAGGGCTCTTATGCCAGACCTGTAGTGTTGCTGTCACAGATCATTCAAGTCCATTCTGCTGAGGTTACACACGTTCCTTTCGATAGCCACATCACCCCATAATCAAGTATTAGGGCTTGATTGCCAAGAGTTACTCGATTGCACGTTCTGTACTCTCTGTCTAAAGCTGTGGTGTACTGTCTCATCTTCCTTCACAACTTTCCAAGGCTGCAAAATTGCCTTCCTCTTGTGCATGTATGGGCAGTGAACCATTACGCATGTTCTGTTCCCACCCCTGCATGTCAGTGAGCCGATTATAAGTGCACCACAGCCTGTTCCCCTTCCAGGTCCAAAAGGACCCACGTGTTGGCGATTGCACATTGGATGTGGCTAAAATGATTGCCTCCTGTACAGGAATTGTAGACTGCCTTTTGGCAGGGGGTTTCCACCCAGCTGTCAATTCCAAGTTACCGGATCTTTCGCTCTATAAGACGCACCAGACCATAAGACGCACCTAGTTTTTGGAGGAGGAAAACAAGAAAAAAAATATTCTGAATCTCAGAAGCCAGAACAGTAAGAGGGATCGCTGCGCAGTGAAAGCAGCGATCCCTCTTGCTGTTCTGGCTTATGGGATAGCTGCGCAGCCTGCATTCGCTCCATAAGACGCACACACATTTCCCCTTACTTTTTAGGAGGGAAAAAGTGAGTCTTATAGAGCGAAAAATACGGTACATGTGAAAGCAGTCGTGGCTTCTAGTACACCTTGGAACTTTTATTTTTCAGGACTTATTTTGTAAAGGTGGACATTAATATGGTCCAACAAGAGTTGGGATACATTTTATAATTTAATGGTTTTCAACTTTTCTTTCTGTTCAGGGCTACATTTCCTCAGTGTTTCTGCCAACCACCTTCTCTTTCACTCTTCCCTCTATATGAAATGATTGCAAGGCAACGGGATTCATTTGTTTTTCTGTTCCTCCATATCCCTCTCTTGCTGTGTAAGATTCTCTTCATTACTCCCCTTCTGAGGTTTTTCACCCTTCCATCCCCGTTCTGCTTGGTGAAACTAAAAACATTCCCTGACCTTTTATCATACTTTGCCCTCTTCTTCCCTGCCAACACCCCCCCCCCCAAAAAAACCCTGTGAGGGTCTCTTCAATAGACAGACGAAGAAGGGGCCGGGTGCTCAGTCCCTGCTCCAGCAGTCTGCTGCACTTTCATGCTGGCTTTGGAGGAAGATTAGCCCCTCTCTCTGCAGCCAACACAAACACCAAGGGAGTTCCCAGAGGAGGAACTCTTCCTTCCTCCTTCTCTTGAATGAAGTGAAGCGCCTCTCCCCTTGCAGCCAGCTCAAACACCGGAGGCTGGGACTTCCCGACCTCAGTTTTAATACATTGCAGTGGGTTCCAGAACTTTTTCATTGAATGCTTCTTAACCTCCAGGAAGGCAAGGAATCAAAGCACATTCAAAGAAATGTATTAAAGCAATTAAAAGTAACCTCCGGTTACATATCCTTTGGGATACGTACATGGCAAACCCGGAAGTATTTTTCCAAGTTTCGCCGCATGCGCAGAAGCAGCACCTCCGGTTGTGAATTCCTCAGGATGCGACCAGAGCTCCGGAACAAATCCTGTTTGCAACTGGTGGTACCACTGTACTGATAACCTGCTAATTGAGACTAATTAGAATAAATAGTTGGTTTTCTGTGTTTGATAATTGCGTGTGCTATTTTTTTCTTTAGTGCACAGTAACAACAGTGCAAGATGTTGTTAAAGGATTGTTCGTGTGCTGTCTCTTCCTAGAATATATATCCTTATCTCGAAGATTCATCCCAGAACTTGTCAATTTTCTCCTGGGAGTTCTTTACATGGCTATACCAAACAAAGAAGTTCAAGGTATGGTTACTGGGGAGAATAGGCATATATGTTTTTTCTCCCCCCCCCCCCCCCTTCTGAGTCTACTTGGTTTAGTGCATCAGAACATTTTTAGAATTCTGTGATTCTGTCTCTTACTATTTTGAAATTTACCATACCGTAAGATATTCAGCAATATTACAACTAATCTCTGAGTGTGTTCTTCTCTTCCAGGTTATACCTTGGTACATCCTTTTGCGTCACTAGGAAAACGCTCAGACTTGCTTGTTGTCACTGACAAAGCAGATGCAGATACCTGGCAAAAACAACATCTTCCACTCCATATTATAACTAGATCTAAAGACGACAGAACAGGCATGAATCATCTGCGGTATGCTAGAATGTGTTTAGAATGTGTTCCTGCTGATATAGATCCAGTGCATAAATACTTAGTATAAAAGAACTGTCTTTTGTGTGCCTTAGCAACAGACACAGAATCATATTGTGGGCAAAATATTTCACCTTGCCTTTAGGAAATTGGTTAGTGGTAGCTGACTAAACTACTATGAAGCACTCCACTATCAAGCAAATCAGAAGAAATAGTCCTTTCATAGTCTTCAGTGGCCAGAGAGTGCAGCCTTGCAGCGGTTGGAGAGTAAAAGGTGTCTGCAGATGAATTGCCGCTTCAGGAAAGCTTTAGGTGTGCTCCGGACAGTTTCAGTCCTATTTTTCACAGACACATAAGTGTTTGAAGGACTTCAGAGCCCATCTTGTCCAGCCCCTGTGCCAACTGCAGGAAATGTGGGGCAGGAAGTTCCATGGGGACATCCCTTGGGGATGATGTGTGCAGACCCAGAAATAGGGCTACAGGGTGCTACTTAAAGGAATGTCTTTCTCATTGCTTAGTGCCCTCAGGTGTGATGAGGAACAACCACCACGCGTAATTTCTTCTTCCTGCTGACCTCAGCCTTCCCGTGATAAAGATGTAGAAGATGTAAACTTTGATAGCAAGGGGCAAGCAGTCCTACACTAATCCTTAGAGTCCCTAAGACCCAGGGAGGTGGAGTGAAATGTAATATGATAATAGTGTAAATAGACCTGATAAAGCATGGAGGGCTTTATCAGGTCTATTTTTTATGTAAGGGCTTACTGGCACAAGCTCACTGCAAGATTGTGGGCCAGTCACTACCTTTTAGCATGCCCACAGAGGGCATGTATACCCAACAGGGCTCATTGGCTGAAGAACAGAAATTTAAAAGTAGCAGTGTTCATTTTTGTCTCTCCTTACCAGTCAGACAGCTCTGAGCACTTCCAAGACTTTACACTGGGTTGGGGAAACCGTCAACAGAACTGCTTTGCACACCAGCAGTGTGGAGTGCAAGAAAATGCTTCACTTTGGGAACATTTGCCTGTAATTGTGCTATGGCTTTTCTCAGCTAATTGTGGGGCAAAAGTAGATATTTCAACTGTTCCAAATTCTTCATTAAAATTGCAATGCCAGTTTTGTCATTTAAGCAGTGGCAAAGTTTTTATCGGTGGTTGCAAGAACAAATGAGCCCTATATTCTAAAAAAAATGCTTGATTAACCTGGAGGTAGGCTGTATGAACTGTGTGTTGATTTGTAATGTTTTGTTGGGTCTCTGGACCGTAATAAAGATTGTTGTTGTTGTTGTTAAGCTTTTGATATGGCAACTACCAATTGTTTTACAGGTTATCATGCTTAGACCTGTGCCTGGACCTGGTTAAGAGATGCGCAGTTACATATGGATCACTTCCATCATTCAGTGAAATAATGCAGCCCATCCAAATGCTGCTTAGGAGACAGATGCCAATGATTAGGTACCCTCAACACCTGCAGGTAAAACATGCTGCCGCCTCACTGAGATTCAGTCTGTGAAGCATTCTGTGGGGCAAACACCCAATAGAAACATTTGTGGTACCTTCAAAGATTGTGCACTGAGTTCTTTCATTTGCTAGACATCTCAAAAATTGTCAGTGTGGAAAGGCAAACTGCTTGACAGAATTTCTGACAGCAAGTGACCAAACTAATAATCAAAGTGGGCTTTTTATTAGCAGCTTTAGAATTCGGAGGGGAGGTTCTGTGCAACTCCTTCATTCCATAGTTGCTGATCGAACTACAATCAGTGAACTTGTCTAATCCTCCTTAAAGCGTCTGAGCTATTGACCATCACTGCACTGTGTGGCAATGAATTCCATTGGTCAGTTATGTGTTGTGTAAAGGATTTTATCTTGTCTGCCCTGGATTTTGTCAGTCAGTTTCATTGTGTGACCCCAGGTTCTTGTATTATGAGAGGGAGAAATACTTTCTCCACACCATATAAAAGTTCTGTGAATCTCTCCCTCCCCTTTAGTTCTCCCCCTATTAGCAAAAAGCTCCAAACTCTTTAGCCTGCCCTTTTGAGAGGTGGTATTCCATCTTCTGGACTACTTTGGTTGCCCTTTCCTATGCTTTTTCCACCTCTGATACAATGCCCTTTTAGAGGTGGGATAATCAGAACTGTGTGTGGTATTTCAAATGCATTACACCACAGATGAATGTAAAATCAGCATGCTGAAAAGGCAAATACCGTGCTAAAAATTTGTTAATTTGCACACTAAGTTACCTTTCTCATGGCGCTATCTTCCACTATTTAGTCACTGACAATTTTGATGGACTCACACTGTTGGAAAGTTAGCCTTTTGACCCAGTCTCTAACACTTTGCACATATTTATACTGAACTACATTTGCCGGGTTGTTGCCAATTCTCACAGTTTGGAGAGATCTGCTTTGAGGTCTTTGCAGTCCACTTGGATTTTCACATCTTGATTAATTAGGTGCCATCTACAAACTTGGCTGCCTCATTGACTGCCTGACACCAGCTTGTGTATGAACCATCAGTATCACTCCAGTACAGACCCCAACTGCCTGCCTGCTTCCATTGCAAGAACTGTTTGCTCCTACCCTCCGCTTCCAGTTTCTTAGCTAGTTGTTGATCCCTAAAAGGACCTATCCTCTTATTTCATGACCGCTAAGTTCACATGGCCATCTTTTGTTGGAAGACTTTATCAAAAACCTTTTTGAAAGCAGCAGGCAAATTCAGATACAATTTCACTAACACTTTTTTGTTAGTATATGTTAACTATATCACAACTGTATCTGTGTATTTGTTTTATTGCATTTTATCCAATTGCCTTTTTAAAGCAGAGTTTCATTTTCAGGAGCTGTTTGACAGTGTTCTGAAACAGCTGGAGAGCAAAGGGCAACGTTGTCCCTTGGTGTGTGAAAAGAAAAAGCCAGTGCCTTTGAAGCTGTTCACACCCAAAATAGTGAAAGTGTGAGTATCTCTAGCTCTGGAAGAAATACGGCTGAGGGTCATGTACGGAGATTGCCTGTGTTGCAAATAAAATTTGACACTTTGCATCCATGACAAACCCTGTTCAACAATTGAAGTTGAATCGATAGCTCTGCTTAATGCACATTATTGCTTGGTGTTTACTGCCCCATGTGAAATTAATTCAGGTGATGAGACTAGGAAGAAAAGCTAAAGACATATAGCTAAGGTCCAATGGTTGCATCCTATCCTGAATCATTAATGTTTGAACTGGGAACCATGTGGCTGGTAGTAATTATTTTGCCTTGGGTAGCATGAGAATTAACCTCATATTTTGCCTTCCCGCATGGTTTCTCGTGCTTTCAAAGCTGCCAGTGTGGTATGTGATCTAGCCATAGAGCAGCCTCAGTCAAAGTACTTAACCAGTCTACCCCAAGCCTACCTGAGGTGTGCAAAAAACCTAGGGGGGTTTCTGGTGGATATGCACCTATGTATATCAGAGACTTAATCTGAGGGTTAGTACACTAGATGCTACTAAAACAGTGCTATGTAAGGAAAGGGAATTGCAAAGCATTGTGACTTTACTGCTGCTGCTGCTGCTGTGAAACACCAGTTTATTTCTGTAACTTTATTCTAATGCCTTTAATTTACTGGCTTGTAAAAGGCATTTTTAGGGGTTGCATCACCTATTTGCACAACAATTTTGTTAATAGCTGGAAGAAGCTACATAAATTAAAAATAACAGTTTATATATAATGTGTAAATAATTCTGCTGTTTTTTAACTTCACATATTCTAAACCATATAAAAGTGGATCAGATTATTATGCTGTGAAATTAATTTGCCGTGGCAACGATGTCCTCAATATGTGTGCTGTGTTGGTGATCCTGATGCAAAAAAGGTTCCAGTTAAGTCCAGCAGAAAAGTGTGTTTGAGATAATGTACTTTATAATTTCAGCCTGGAATTTGGAAGAAAACAAGAAAGCAATAAGAAAGAGCAGGAAAGAAAACGGCTAATTCATAAGCACAAACGTGAATTTAAGGGAGCTGTTCGTGAGATCCGCAAAGATAACCAATTCCTTGCTAGAATGCAGCTTGCAGAAACCATGGAAAGGTAATGCATATATTCTTTTAAATTTAAATTTGGTTTAAATTTGTTATCCTTGAGATAACTAAGAGAGATAGCAGTAAGATGATCTATTGCAATGGTTTTAATGTAGAAATAGACCAGATTTCAGATGAAATCTAACCCTTCATTAGATGGTCTGTATGTTTTATACTGCAAGATACAAAACTTTTATCAGTTCAGATAATGCCCTATTTATATTTTTCCAGCAATCACTAACTCACAAGGAAGTAACAGACTGCACTAATCCTCATATCTAACATGCAGTCAGGTTCCTTCCTATTCTGAATCCAGGCTGTTCACCATGGCTGAGGAAGATATATGCACTCAGCCTTTATAGAGCATGGTTTGATCTCTGTCAGGGATTTGTTTCCCTGTCTTTGAAGAATCACCTACTGTTATGAATTCTGAAAACATGAGGTCATTTGAAAACCAGAAATGTAAGGTGGTCTGGGGGGGGGGTGGAAACCATTTGGTTCTCATAAATTTTGAAAGGTGGAGGTGATTGGTGCAGATTTCTTATATCCACCAATTCAGTTAAAACTGTATCAGAGGTTGTATATATCTTTCAAAATTTCATTGGACGGGTAGTTCCAAAATAAAAGTAATTTTATTTTAATTTTCAGGGATTCAGAAAGAAAAAGAAAAGTGAAGCAACTCTTCAGGAGTCTTGCTCAGCAGGAAGGAGACTGGAAGGCAATGAAAAGAAAAAAGTTTTAAATAAACAGTTTTATATTGTACAGAAGGAAACTAGACATATTTTACATTTTGTGTTGTGCATCTTATATGTGGGTATGTTACTAAGGGGAAAAACACAAACTGCACAGGTAGGCATTTCCTTATAAAGGAATGTTCACGTATAGTATACAAGTATACCAAATACTGACAGATGTTTATTTAGAAAAAGAATGTGACTTTGGAAGAAGGTATTTGAAAGAAATGTGGAAGATAACCAAATACGAAATGCAATGTTCTCCTCAATTGGCACTGTTTGTAGATGAGCAGCAAAACCACAGGATATCACTGGAGGGGGTTTTCCTGGGGCAGCAATTGATTATTGGTGTCAGAAGGTATGGTGTCTGGAACTCGTAATTCACTATTGTTTGCCAACAAAATTTGACATGCAGTTGGCCGTTCACTTTCTTTATAATATGCCCAAGAATAATGTGATACATTTGTATCCTGTCCTATGTTTGTGAATATATGCATAGATGCATAAAATCCCATAAACACACATACAAAAGAGAGACAATCAACTCCGTCCACCAGACCTAAGCAGCTCTGAAATAACGGTATTTTTTCATAGCATGTGGAACATTTATCCTGGCACTGCAAGCAAGTAGCACACTGGCCTCTGAAGTAATTGGGAATCATTGTAGGCTTTCCCCTTCTAAGCAAGCTCTTGCTAATTAAAACCAAGTAAGTATTGCATATATACTGGCAGTATCCAGGGTTGTACAAGCAGCCTTTCATTCCTACAGCATGGCTTGACCTTTCTCCCACACCCGTCGCATGAGTCCGTTCCATCTGTGGGAAAGCGTCACTGGCTACATCCCAGTGTCCAGTTGGATCTTGGATTAGCCCACCTTCCAGGGGCCACTTCTGATAGGTGTTGGGGGCACCTATACCTGTCAAATCACCTGATTAATCTGCAGCGATTCCTGCTGAAAATTTCAGTGCCAAAGGCAAGCTGCACTTTTGGCAGCTTCACTCAGCTGGAGCCAGTCCCAGTGGGGCTTGCATTGTGTGCCAAATGTAAAAGATGCTGAATTGGTGGCAGAGCATTCCCTGCCTGCGTCCAGTCAGATGGGCAGCATATAAATAACATATCATTATTATTATTATGTTTAAGGTGCAGTTTGGCCAGAGCTGTAGCTGGGGGGAGGGGGGGCTAGCCTGGGTTTTTGCACCAGGTGAAGCTTCCAGAGGGCGCCATTGAGGTTCCCAGCCTGTCAGCATTTACTATGGGCTTCAGCCAGAGAGAAAAGGAAAAAGTGAATGGCGTTTGTTGCAAGCGCCTGGCCTTCTCTGTTGCTAAGTGAGTGTTCCTTTCAGATCCTTTCCCCTTGAAGTGGAAGGCTCATTTACAAGAGGAAGCAGGGAGAGGGAGGGAATAGTTGGACTGAGGCTGGTGGCTCTCCCCAGTGAAGCTGAAGATTGGGTCCCCTGTGGTTTTGTAACTCTGAAATTCTGAAGAGGGGTGGGGAAGCCTGCCCTCCAAGCAACGTTGAAAAGGTGCGTGTTTTGTTGCTGTCTTCTGCTGTTAAATCTAAGGAATTGGAAGGGATCCAACTCCTGGAAATATACTTTCTCCTTTTTCTTTTTCCACGTCTCGGAGATCAATTAAAAGTGATGAAGAGATCAGACTTCCCCATCCTGCCTTTTTTTTGGGAAACGGGAGCTTTTGTCATGATAAAACAAATGGCAAGTTCACAAGATAAGCATTTTGGAGTATTGCTTGCTTATAATAGGTGGGATGGGGGTGTTTGTTTGGATTTAGATGCTGGCATGTTCAAAGTCTGCCCCCGTGGCAGTTTATTTCCTGGGGGGAAATCCTTAAAAAAGCTCAACAACTTTGGTCGGCCCTTACGTTCATCAAATCTGGCCCTCTTTGAAACAAGTTTGGACACCATTCTAGAGGACAATATACATGTTTACACTATTTGAATACATAAAGAGGGCACTGCTGTAAAATACTTGTACCAAATGAAAGAAATGTGATGCTGACATGTGAAGCACTTTGTATTTTGTAATTTTGAAGGAAAATGTAGCCAATCCACTTTAAATTGGGTCTTGCACTGTATGTGTCTACTCAGAAGTAAGTCCCACTGAATTCAATGGAACTTGTTCCCAGGTAACTGGGTAAAAGACTGCAGTATTATACAGTGGTACTTCGGGTTAAGTACTTAATTTGTTCCGAAGGTCCGTTCTTAACCTGAAACTGTTCTTAACCTGAAGCTAACCTGAAGCCTCCTGCTGCTGCCGCGCCGCCGGAGCACAATTTCTGTTCTCATCCCGAAGCAAAGTTTTAACCCGTGGTACTATTTCTGGGTTAGTGGAGTCTGGAACCTGAAGCGTATGGAACCCAAGGTACCACTGTACTGCAATCCTAAGCGTTTTTACTCAGAAGTCCCACTGAGTTCAGTAGGACTTACTCTCTGGTATGTGCCTGATGATTCTCAGAGTTATGAGACAAGAAAATTTGCTCCGTTACACACATATACCCAGTTAGATTCTATGTCAACAGACGAGCTGAGGGCAAAAGCCAATGAACCTGCAAATTTATAGCAAGATGATGTTGATAAAAGCGAACTCATTCTTGAAGTGGCAAGTTTCAAATATCATGCATTGAATTTAGACTTGTCCACCGGCGAGTCAAAAATGGTATTCAAGACGCATACCCAAACATAACCGTTTGGAAAACGTTGAAAGCTTTAGGGCAGAGAAAAGGAAAAGTCCTCCATGCAACGAAGCAACTGGCTCCCGCACGAGGCAGCGATGGCCACCAACTGGGGCGGCTTTCCAAGAGGCTCACGCCAATTCACGGAGGAGGAAACGGGTGCCGTCGAAGACCCGTGGCTGGACCCCGCCGGGAGGCGAGGAAGGGCTGCCCAGGGCCAAAGGGCCCCGGGGAGAAGAGGGTGCCGGGCTGCGGGCGCCCCTGGCCGGATCCAGCGAGCGCCTCGCGCGGCGGCAGCAGCAGGAGCGGCGGTGCGTTTTTGCGCGCCGCCTGGGATGCTGGCCGGGCGGCGCGGATTCTTCTGGCCAGGGCGCGCCGCCCGTCTTGGGAGCCTCCACTTGCTGTGGCCTTGGAGGCGCCGGGAGAGGCCCCAGCCCGGAAGAGGAAGCGGCAGGAAAAGCCGCGGCGCCACCGAGGACCCCGGACGCCGACGCCTCGTCTCTCGGGCAGCCGCCGCTCCGCCCGGCCGGGTCCCCCTCGCGCCTTCTCCGGGCAGGTGGGCTGGCGGGAGGGGCGGGCGCAGCGCGCGGGTCCCCCTCGCGCCCCTGGCGCTTCTCTCGCCGGGTCCGGGGGAGCTCGGGGGAAGGGCGCGGATGCGCGATGGCTGCCGCCTTCGCCGCCGCCCCCTCGGGCGAAGAAGGCTCCCTCCGCCCCGCTGCTCTCAGCCAGCCCGAGGCACGGGCATCGCCCACCTGCCGGGAACGAGGGGAGGGTCCCCAGGGGCAGGGGCGCAGCCAGGCAGGGGCGTAGCGTGGGTTGTCAGCATCCGGGGCAAGGCAAGTAATTTGCGCCCCCTAACCCGTGGATTTTAGCAGGGGCGGAGAGCTGCGAGTGCGAGCGCGCCCCCCCCCCCAGATGTTGCGCCCGGTGCGGCGGGCCCCCCTCTGCACCCCCCCACGCTACGCCACTGCAGCCAGGAATTGTGTCCGGGGGGCAGAGCCTCAGATTGGAGCAGGGGCGCAGCCAGGAATTTTGTTAGGGATTGGTATTGATTTAGGGGGGCAGCTTCCGCCCGGCTCCCCCCATGCCGACGGGTTCCCCCCTCTTTGCATTCCAGTCCTGCTCCCGCCCCTGGAAGCCGCCTTGCAGGACGCGCGCCTCTTTGGCCAATTCCCCGCGTCCAGCCTCTGATAGTTGATGCTATAGATTGAAATCGTACTGCGAAATTAAGATCACTTGGCACTGTTAAATGCATGATTTGGTTTCTTTTCGAAAATTAGCAACCCTCCTTATAATGTGGCTTTAAAAAAACCACATACACGTAATTGCAGCTGCAACCAAACAATGTATCAGTGTTAAAAAATGCAGCCATAAAAGCTCGGGTTGCCATATTTCAAAAAGTGAAAATCCATACGGTAAAGTTGTTGAGCTTTTTTTTCCACCCCCGGGACATTTTTACCAATTTCAGAAATTCCACAGAAAACCAAACCATTAAGCAGTACCACCAGATGATATGAGCGCTTCAGGGCAGCGGCTGCTACAAGTGTGAGACCACAGCAGACCATGGAAGGGGATGCGGTGAGAAATGCCTTGAACAATATGCATTTTTGCAGCTTCATTTGTACATATGGAAAAAGTGATAATATGGAGTGTGCTTCATATTCTTAATACTTTTTAATTTCTGTCTCACGTGCATTCTGTCAATCTGCTTTTTGATAGAACACACTCATTTATCAGTTTTCTGCAGCTGATAACCTTGCCCAAGGAAGTCTGTTCTATAACTATTTTAACCTTTACAGCTAGATGGTGCCTCTCTTACTGCAAAGCCTCCTCTCAAAGGAAAGTGTCCGTTTCAGTCCTCACTAGAGCACAGTGGCCGTTCGACCTCTGCGGACACTCAGAGGTTTTACCCTAAAGCAGTGGTGATGGGAGTTGTAGTCCCAAAACAGCTGGAGGGCCAAGTTTGGCCATCACTGCCCTAAAGAATACAGCTTGCATACTTTTAACCCCTATTAAAATACAGATGAGAGTTCACTGTTCTTCCTGCGGCAGTTAACAGTCATCTGTATTTAACACCAGACCTTATTTGATTGCTAAAGGCTATGACAAATACTTCCAACTAAAGCATCATCTTCAAAGAGCACCTGATTAATGAAAGATCATGGTGCTGCGTTGTAAATTAATGGCATTTTGTTCCAGCCCAATAATGGGAATTGGAGCTATAAGCTGGTTTCATTTTAGGCATTGGTATTTTTGATGCTGTTGTACCAGATATATTAAATTTTAATGTCTCTGTGTTTATTTGGAATTTTTGTGGTTAAGTTAAAAAAAAGAGGAGTGGTAGTTCATGTTAAACCATGCTTAGAGCCAGAACTACTATATACAGACCCAGATGGTAGATTGTTAATAGTTAAAATAAAACACCAAGGGGAAATAATTTATGTAACAGGAGTCTATGCACCTAACCAGAATAAAAGGGAATTCTTCAAGAAGATTGAAAAAAAGATGTTGGAATATTTGGAAGGAAAAATAATATTACTGGGAGATTTAAATGGAGTCACCAATCCACAATTGGATAGATCAGGAGAAGGAAATAAACAAGGGAAACTACCCCCTACCTTTTTTTTTTTTAATTGCAGTAAAATTTCAATTAAGGGAGAATGAGTCAGCAAGTTATCCACTTCCTCCCCTTCCCCCACCGCCCCACACCCTTTGTATTTCAGAGCAGGATCACTGAGACAATGTCACTGGGGAAAAGCCAAGAGAGCAGGAGGCCTTTCAAGGAGCCCCTGGGAACGGAAGTGGGCTCTACTCGTGTGATCACCATTGTTTTTATCGCACTCCTCATAGACTTGTTGGGGTTCACCCTCATCCTGCCTCTCCTTCCTTCAATTCTTGACCATTACAGCAATAATAATGTAAGTAAGACCTAAGCCACATTTACCCAAAACACTCGCAATAAACATGTAAAATATGATGGGATGCCACCATGGCATGATTGTGCTATGGCAGTCCTTGAAACTCACATCTCTGTAAAGAGTGTGTGCTCTAACGATAATGTACCACTTTAGTCCAGGTGCCAAAGTGGTCCACCTGGAATTTTGGTGTGCCAAACATCCTATCTTCTGTATACAGTGGTACCTCGGGTTACATACGCTTCAGGTTACAGACTCCGCTAACCCTGAAATAGTACTTTGGTTTAAGAACTTTGCTTCAGGATGAAAAGAGAAATCGTGCTCTGGCGGCGCGGAAGCAGCAGGAGGCCCCATAACCTAAAGTGGTCTTCAGGTTAAGAACAGTTTCAGGTTAAGAACGGACCTCCGGAACGAATTAAGTACTTAACCCAAGGTACCACTGTATGCAGATGCCTAAACCAGACAATGCCTCTATGTAACCTCTGGGCAATTTGAAATGTTTGGGTTCAGTGTTTTGGTATCTGAGTGAACCAGCATTGCTCATGGAGCATGTGTTACTGCTTAAAAACAACAACTTTTCAGGCAACAATAAATGTTTAGAGTTCATAGTAAGTGCTCTAGCACATCTGTGTCTTAGGTGAAAACTTAAGACAGGTTTTGATGTAACTCTAAACTAGTACGGTAATACTGCAGCGAATAGTAACTGTTAGTGTTTTTTTTAAAGCTGGTCTTGTTATCTTCCAGTGGGGAGATTTCAGACTTGTGACGGTTAGTTTCGTTCTTCACTCCATGTTGCTGACTGTAGGAAGGCAATGCAGGAAGCCCTTGTATTACTCTGATTGGATGTGAAGCATAGGATTAGTAAAAGCAGAACGTGACAAGTTCCTTCTTCCCCTTGTGATGTGGCATAAATAACGGAGAGTGTGAGAGTGTGGTTAAGCTATTCTCTTTCTTTCCAGTGGCTTGTCTGTCTCTGAACCACTAAGATGTTAAATGATAGTCCAAATGTTACAGAGCCTGCTGAGGTCTGAGGGCAGTTAATGCTTTCTGCCTATTAAAGCAAGTGTTTCTAAAAACATTGATTGTGGTTACTTTTTGCACATGACAAGAACTAGAAAAAATAATTGCGGAATAATTGCACGTGGTAGGCAGCTCTCAGGCTGACTATGGTTGCTCCCCTGTCCTCCCCTGAATTTATCCCTCCCGTGCATGTTTTCTTCCACAGGATAGTTTCTACATGACGTTGCAGCACGGGGTGGACTGGTTCAGTGAAGTGGTTCAAGTGCCTTCTGAAAGGAAATACAACAGTGTCTTATTTGGAGGTATGAATGAAGTTTCAATATAGGAGTCTTAGGTTTGCTCACAGTTTGCATGAAGCGCAGGACCATATAAATCTGGCATTAAATGCAATTAAGCCATCTTAATCATGCATGGGAAATACTTCCTCATGCTTTCAGGTGGGTCCTGAGGACAACAGCCCAAAATGTTTAGGATCCATTGCAGCCTTCAAAATGTAATGTGTGGTATGGCTCACACGTGAACATGGCTGTGAAGGATTGACCTTGATGCTGGCAGATCCAGATTGCATTTTAATTTTCCATATTTTGCAGGTCTGATTGGCTCCATATTTTCCATCCTTCAGTTCTTCTCCTCTCCACTTACTGGTGCCACGTCTGATTACTTTGGGAGACGGCCGATCATGTTGTTGACTGTGGTATGTCTGTTGACAGGACTAAAGAATGTGCAGTGTAGATCGGTTACATGATCTAAGTAACCCCAGCTAAACTCAGGCAGCCCTTTTCCATTATGCACTGGGTGTTGTGTGAGTCAAACCATTACATTTTCTGGATTAGTTCTGGTCAGGCTGAATTCATCTTGCAAGGTTGAGTTGCACAGGTAATAAGTAGGGCAAAATCATAGTTGTTTTTTAAAACTCAGCCAATTCAGCATGAGCTGGCTGTTCCTCTGGTGCGCACACACAGGCCTTGAGCTTTTCCTACGTGTTCTCCTCCACTGAGGAACACTTCGCCATTTCCTCTGGCACAGGCTGTTCTTTTTGTACATTCACATGCACCTCCCATTACTCTCTTCCACAAGTGGAGAACTCTATCAGCAGCAGCACCTCAGCTCCAGCCACCTCCAGCTTCTCCAAGGTTTTGTCCTTGGCTACTGACTGCGTCTCTTCAAAGTCCAAGCCCCTCCGCTGCCCATCCACACTCTGGATCTCTTCCAGCGGGGCTCCTGAGTCACTTTCAACCCCCTGTAGCATTTCACCCGGCAGGGCCCTCACCTCGCGTGGAGTCACGCTTTCCTCTCCACTGAGGCTTCTCACACACACTGCTTGCAGCTGTCAGTTGAACCACTGGTTTTGCCGCTCCATCCATTGCTGGCTTTGCTGCTCCAGGAATGCTGCCGTTCCTCCATTTCGGCTCAGATTCTTGCTTACAGGTTCTTCAGGGAGCATGAATCCCACTTCTGACAGCATTGTTGCACGCCATCCTAATCTCCAAGCAATGTGAGGTTCCAGGCGCTTAACCAGGGATTGTGTTTCCTTCAGGATGAGGTACAGGAGAGGCTCTGGGGTCTTTATGGGATATGGTGTGTGTGTGTATACACAACCTGAGCCTACCATGGGTATGGGGGCGTGTCTGCAGTATCAACACCTTAGCTTTGGATTCAAACATAAATCAAACATTGCTGTGACTCTCCCTCCACTTTGCTGCTTTGCTTCTAGCTCACATCACTCCAAAACTCTCTGCTGTCAATTCTGGGTTTGTGCTTCTATCTAACTGCGACTTGGGAGAGGAGGCCCCACCCATTTGCTATCTCACACAGAGCCCCTTCCTTTGTTCTCTTTATGGCCCTTCACCCAGGCTCTCAACTCAATGGGAAGCCAGCCTGGCTTGTATTTCCACACTTGCTGGATTAAGAGGGTCTTTGCTTACAGCCTACTCCCCTGCCCCAAACTTATAACTATATGTATTTATGGGGCAGAATCCTACAAGACCTCATCATCTTCTCCTCCCCGCTGCAGCCCTCTGCACATGCCACCAGAATCTGTGCTTTACTTTTCATTTAAAGAAAGGAGAAGGAATATATTTGTTCACACACAAGCGCGCACATGCACACACACACCCCCCAGTACATAGCAACTTTCCTGATTCCTTTTAATGAAGTGAAGAAAATGACTAATTTATCAAGTAGCAGGAAGGAAGGAGATGGGGATGAGAGCAAGTATTGGGGGTAGGATGAGTGAGTGATCCAAAGGGCGGGGGGCATCTTTCCCTGGGCTCCCTTCAGCCTGGCAGTGCTGTTGATTCCATCTTACAATAAACAGCTGTGTATTGCCTTGCCTTTAGGCTAGAAGAGAAAAGTGTCTATGCCAGCTGAAAAAGCTGCTATTCTTTGCAGCATCAGAGATGTTTTAGATAACCTTCATGATTTCTGCTGCTTGAAGATTGCTGAATACACAAGCTTGGACAACCCCAATATGTGTGAAAATTCTCTTCAATACTGCTTCTATGTGCTTATGAATTGGTCTGCATATGGCCAGTAATTGTCCTAGGTTTTTTTTCCTCCTCAAACTTTTATTCTGAATAAGTAACCTGGAATTTCTCTTTAGCTTCCCAAATTGGGTTCAATAAAGAATCCAATAACAGTATTCTTTTGAGAAAACATGAGGTTCCCCCCCCATTTTTTAGTTTAGGTTCAGTTTAGCTTCCCCTGTGTAATACTGTAGGTCCAAGGGGGAGTGCTTACATTTTCTTGTGCTTTCTAAATTCCATTATTTTCATAACATATGTACCTTCTTATTTCTGTAGATTGGTATGATAGCATCATATTCCTTGTGGGCCATTTCCAGGAGCTTTGAGCTATTCATTTTCTCCAGAATTCTCGGTGGAATAAGCAAAGGGAATGTCAGCCTCTCCACTGCAATAATTGCTGACTTGCAGAGTCCAAAAGCTCGAAGCAAAGGCATGGTGAGTTAACGGCCTGGTGTGAGCCTTTGATCAGGATCTTTGCTGTTTAATTTTTGATCAACCACATGGATGTGAATGTGTTCCACATACAGAGTGGGATGGGATGAGATGCAACAGTGACATGAACATGGACATTCCCATGTTTTGTTTGCCCAATACTAGGCTAGGAATGTTAGGTGCCATTTCCCCCAGAATCCCAAGGGGTGGTGGTGGTTAGAATTCTCCCGTCACAGTCCAACCTGACTTCAGCCTAAACTTCATGCTTCTTTCTATCCAGTAGAAAAATTGCAGATTCCAGGTGGTATCCAATGCAGTGCAAGGACTTCTGCCTGCACAACGGAACGCCCTCCCTCTCTTCTCCCTCTGCCTAAATGTGTTCTGGAGTTTTGCCCCCGACCCTCTGTAGCAAGTTTGGGGACTGTGGGAGGGGAGTATGGGGAGGCACAGGTAGTGGCCGTGGTGGCAGCCCTGGCTCTGTCTCAGGGAAGAAGACGCAGCTCCCCTTCACGCCCCACACCAAGAAACTGGGCCCAGCTCGGCACTCGGCCTCCTCCACTCCCTCAATATTAGGGGAGTTGAGCCCCCTGCTAAACAATCTTGAGGGGGCTGAGGTGTCTTCAGCCCTAAGGAGCAGGTGCCTATGCTCTCAAGACAGCTTACACAATATACAGTGGTACCGTAGGTTACAGACAGTTCAGGTTACAGACGCTTCAGGTTACAGACTCTGCTACCCCAGAAATGGTACCTTGGGTTAAGAACTTTGCTTCAGGATGAGAACAGAAATTGTGCTCTGGCGGCACAGCGGGAGGCCCCATTAGCTAAAGTGGTCTTCAGGTTAAGAACAGTTTCAGGTTAAGAACAGACCTCCGGAATGAATTAAGTTCCTAACCCAAGGTACCACTGTATAAGCTTTATCAGTACAACTTAAAATATCTTAATATGTGTTGCATTTGTGCAAAGTGCATACTTTCCCCAATGAAACCAACAAAATATTAAGAACAAATTTCTCAGGAAAGTGCTCTTGTTCCCCAACGGGACCCCAGCTGCTCTTCTTCGTGCTGAAGCTGATGTGACAACAATGCAGGCTAGAATTGATTACCTGTGCCTAAATTATGTGAAAAGACTTCAATCTCTTTCGAAGGAGAGATGCCCCACTATGTCTTACACCAGGAGTGGCCAACTCCCGAGGGACTGCGAACTACTTTCAGAATCAAAATCTGACAGTGATCTACCCCCCTTTTTAGGAGTTCAGGTCAAAGTTGTTGAACTTTGTTTAGGGAGGTGAAATGCTCCATTTTAAGCCCGTTTTTGGGGTCCCATTTTTGGGGGGGACTTTTAAGGGGGGATGGACGCGGGTGGCGCTGTGGGTAAAACCTCAGTGCCTAGGGCTTGCTGATCGTATGGTCGGCGGTTCGAATCCCCGCGGCGGGGTGAGCTCCCGTCGTTCGGTCCCAGCTCCTGCCCACCTAGCGGTTCGAAAGCACTCCTAAGTGCAAGTAGATAAATAGGTACCGCTTTATAGCGGGAAGGTAAACGGCGTTTCCGTGTGCTACGCTGGTGCTGGCTCGCCAGAGCAGCTTCGTCACGCTGGCCACGTGACCCGGAAGTGTCTCCGGACAGCGCTGGCTCCCGGCCTCTTAAGTGAGATGGGCGCACAACCCTAGAGTTGGACTCGACTGGCCCGTATGGGCAGGGGTACCTTTACCTTTACCTTTAAGGGGGGAGGGGATTAGTCACTCTCCATCTTCCATTACAGATATCAGGAGAAAATACAGGCAAGGGGAAGGGGGCGGGGGCTGGGTGCTCTTGGGCAAAAGCAAAGGAAAATGAGCCCGCGATCAACAGCGATCGACTGCAACCTCCGGGGATTGACCAGTCGATCCTGATTGACCTGTTGGACATCCCTGTCTTACACAGAACGGGAACAGACCAAATGCTGGAAGGCTGGCGTCCAACGCCTCTTGTCCCAATATCAATTACAAGATCTTCAGGTGACCCTGAAGATGGATAAGAGGCACTTAAGAGACTGTCTCTTTAGGTCCGATGCAGAAAGGGATCTAGCCATGGTTGCTTCTACCAAGAGCTCACCATGGTTCCTGCTTATCAAAACGGAGCATGCCTGAGCCAGATACCTGACAAAACTCCCACTTGCCATACTAAGAATCGCTTTTACAGAACTACGATTCCAGTTGATGCCCTCGGTGGTGTTGGATGGACGGTACGGCAAAGTATGTTACGAAGAGAGACTCTGTCTGTGTGGACAACCCTGCGTCGAGGACCTGTGCCATTATTTATTGCAGTGCCCGTTATATATAGACCCAACAGACCGATTTATAAAACCCCTGTTTATGAATGGAACACATTTGAATAGGGTGGAAAGGGTAAAATGGCTACTGAGCAACACCGACGACTTTGTTACTTATAAAGTAGCACTCTGTGCGCTGGCAGCTAAGAAGATCAGCATGAAGGAACTAGATAAAATAGCAGTCAACTGCAAAGGGGATTCGGATATTTAATTTGGCACATCTTACCTGAGAATTTTCTGCTATTCTGTTCTATTTAATGCAACAAATAATTTTAGTAGCCGTGACCGTGGTTTTATTGTATGTCTGTGCCCAGTGATTTTTATGGTTATTGCTGTTGTTGTTTTTTGTTCTCCTTCTGAATGATGCCATGGCCTATGGCTAGGGCAATAAAAAGTTTAATTGGTATTGGTAACAAAATATTAAGTTATTATTGAGAAAGATGAATGTGTAATTATGGGTATCTATGTTTCAAATAGTAAATGTGCGTATTTGCTGCTCTGGAAGCTCTAGTAGAGTTGAAGGAGGAGAGAAATGCTACTAAATAAGTATTACCCTTGTTTCCCTAGGCAATGATTGGCGTTGCTTTCTCTTTGGGCTTTACCTTTGGGCCTATGCTTGGAGCATACCTCTCCATGGAAAAAGAGAAGGGAGAAATCTTCTATGTTCGGTCTGCTATGTTTGCTGTCATGTTTGCAGTGATTGACTTGGCTTTCGTCTTCATGTTGTTGCCAGAGACACTCCCCAAAGAAAAACGGGTAACATGTTCTAGAGATAGATAGTCGCCATCTTGCTCTTAACAGAACATCAGGAAACCAGTGCCTCCATTTTTAAGCAGAATCTGGCCCAAATAAATTGTCTCACTCTGCTTTATAGTTTCAAAACAGGTCTGGAGCTCCATGTATGCTTGTTACTGGCAAGTGGCAAGTTATCTTCCTTATGTTCCATTAAGTGGAATTGCACAAGAAATGCAGAAGAACACATAGTCCTCAAGGGCAGAATTTATTTACTGCATTCAAGTCCCATCTCCCCTCCAAAGAGTACAGTTCCCCCCCCCTTCCCATTTAATCACCACATCAAAACTTGAGATAGGTTAGGCTAAGAGAGAGCAAGCCCACGGTCACCCCATGAGCTTCATGGCAGAGAAGGGATCCAAACTTTGGTCTCCCAAGTTCTAGTCTAGCAGCCAAACCACCACGTAATGCTATCTTTATTGCCCTAGTTGGAGCATGGGATATGGATGGCAAAGGCGGACTGGGTTAAGTGGTCCAAGTCACTAAAGTCAAAGTAGCAAATACGATTTTAATGGTTCTCCATTAATTTTGCAAATGCTTAAGATAGTTTTTTAATTAATCTTGATCCTTCCAAGAGCTGCTTTGAGCTACTTGGCTTATTAGTGCTAAGAAATTATCAAGTGTCATGTTACTTTAATTCTGGACAGAAAAGGCACACGTTGAGAGAAATGATTAACAAACATAGTTTAGGCCTTGGAAGTGTGCGAGTGGCTGTGTGTGAGTGTGTGTTTGTGTGGTGTCAGATGGTGGGCGTCAGCTCTAACCATTAGCAAAGTGAAGCAGCTGCCAGATGGATGGTGTATTGCCTACTGTTAGGGAGGAAGACAGAGGACTGTGGGATTTTTCTGCTTCAGGTGTCAAAGTTGGTTGACCTCGGTCACTATGCACCTTCATTTGCCGAGGGACCCTTTGCTGCTCTGACATTTCGTCAGCCCTGGTGTAGATACAGGAAAAGTAAAGCTAGACTAATTCCAAAAAGCCATTGCTAGAGAAGTGTAGTCATTTGAATCTGGAATCTCTCAGCCACCACAACCCCTGAATCTGGGATATTAACCAGCACATTTACATGGTCCACTCCGGAACAAGTCCCTCAAATCCAGTGGGGCTTATTCCCAGGTAAGAGGGTATAACATTGTACCCTAAAGACTCCTTAAACCTGCTTTATAGCACAATTTTGTGCAGGGATACTTTGACATAAGTCCCATTGGGTTCAGTGGACTCAGAATTGCACCGGAGGCCCAGACAACTCTACATGCATAGTTGTTTGTTTCAGATCTCCTGGGTAGCATGCAGAAGCTGGAAAAGTCTCTCTCCCTTGCTATTCCTTTCCTCTACATATGATGAAAATAACTGGATGTAGCTATAGTGTCATTTTAAAACAAATACTTACGAGTGCATTGTACAAGCAGAATTGGGAAATGGTTGTTTGAGATCACCAACTGAATTTAGAACAATGTGGGTAACAGATAAAATTCTGATTTGGTCTATGCAACTTTAAAAGAAAAATGTGTGAAAATAAATATCAAATGTTATACTATCACAAACTAGATCTATAAACCAGGACAAAATGGGAGAGAGATTTTTCAAAATAAAAATAAAAATGAAGCTTTCTGCACCATTGGTGGGGTTGTCCCAAAGTGGAAAACTATTAAAGGACATAAAATAAAATTTAAAAGTAAAAATTGTTTTAAGACCCAAGCTTTTAAAAAATATTTTTATTGTTTCATTAACCAGTACACTCAAAACAATAAATGATAGCAAGAATTATATAGCATAATAGAATACCAAGGAATAAATGAAACGAAACTGGTTATCTAAATTAGTCCCTATATAACTCTCAATTAGTATGAGGCAGCCTTCTCTCTTTCCCAGTACTCTTTATGTGTTAGATAAATTTCCGTTTATTTATACCTGTACAACCCAGGACTTTCAAAATTTGGCTCCTAAGATTTCCAGCCAGAGGAGACTCCCACAGTCTGCTTTTGCAGCAACATGGGGTGGAAGTGTCGGTCTTGCTCAGGGGTCAGCAACCTTTTTCAGCCGTGGGCCGGTCCACTGTCCCTCAGACCTTGTGGGGGCCTGGACTATATTTTGGAGAGAAAAAAATATGAACGAATTCCTATGCCCCACAAATAACCCAGAGATGCATTTTAAATAAAAGGACACATTCTCCTCATGTAAAAACATGCTGATTTCCAGACCGTCCATGGGCCAAATTGAGAAGGCGATTGGGCCACATCCGGCCCCTGGGCTTTAGGTTGCCTACCCCTGGTCTTGCTCATGCAGGTAGCACTAAAGTCCTGGTTTTGTGTGGCACGCAAAGCAGCTCAGTCACAGCCCCTTCAGACTCAATTCTTTCCTTCTCCTTGTTTTGTTAGGTGTCCTCCATTGTGTCGGGATTCCAGTCAGCAGCTGGCCTGATTAGTCCTCGGGCTCTGTTCCAGTTCTCTGCCGTCAGCCAAAATATGGAAACCTCTTCGAAAGAGAGCAAGTCCTTGAGCTTTTTGTTCTTCCTTTTATTATGAAGTTGCCTGTGCATGTCAAAATCCACTACCTTTTTCTCCTTTGCGCTAACCCTGATGTTGCAAAATGTTGTGTTGTCTTTCTTCACAATGAGGCTTAGCCCTTTCCTGAATATATTTGCATATCTGCACTTTTGCTTGAGATTTGGCAGTCCTCCCAGTGAGCAAACTGGCTTGAGTTTATGCAGCACATAGCATGAAAGAATGATTGCAGAGATATGCTTTGAGTGCGTAAGGCCTCTGCGTGCATCAGCTTCTGTTAGTAACATGAAAATATACTCTCTGACATGTGGAATGAAACATGGAGTGCAATAGAAATAGGTTTTTTAAAAAAAACCACACACAACACAATTCCAGTAAAAGGCACATTTACTCTGAACTAGTAATCACACCGGTATTTTTCTTACCACACCTGCATAGTAGGATTAGTCAAGTACTGAAGCTTTCAATACTTTTACAGAGAAAGCATCTTATCTCACCATCTTTTAAAATGTATTTGTTTAAAACATATTTATGCCACTTCTAAGACATATCAAGGTACAGCATCTAATGACCGTACTTTTCGCACCATAACACTCAGTTTTCCCCCCCTAAAAGGTAAAGGGAAATGTGTGTGCGCGTTATGGAGCGAATGCAGGCAGGAGGAGCTGCTCTTGCTGGCTGTTTGGCAGCCTCTCTTCCTCCGCTTGGCTTGCTGAGAAGCCGGCAACAGCTGAGCAACCGCTGAGTTTGGGGAGACAGCCTCTCTTTCTCCTGTCTGCCTGCTCTAGGGCTTTTTGGCGAGGTGGGAGAAGGGAGGCAGCTCGGAAACCGGCAAGAGCTGCGTGCAGCATGTAAAAGCCAAGGTGGGGAAAGGGAGACAGCCTCTCTTTCTCAGTGTCTGCCTGCTCTATGGCTCTCCCTTACACAAATGTAAGCGGCTCTTACTCTGCTTTCTTTACAATGAGCCGGAAGGAGGGACAAAGAGGGCATCCCCTTCCGTCCCTCCCCCAGCACCTCACCGGTAAATTCAAACAAAGCGGCTTACAAGGCTCGTGTCCCTGAGTCTCCTCCTCCTCTTTTTGCTCCGGTTCGAGGCAAGGCAGCTGCACAAATGTGAGTTGCCCCCCCCCTTCCTTCCCTCCCTCTTCCAACTTCAAAAATAGTGGGGGGACAGCCAGGTAAGCCCCACTCACATACCACACTGGGGGGTGGGGGATGACTCCCTCAAATATTTAATGGGGGGGGTGAAGGCACCTAGGCCCATAGGAGTTGGCTGCTTTGCCTAGGACAAATGTGAGCTCTCCATCTCTCTTCCCTCCCTCCCTCCCTCCCTCCCTCTTCCAACTTCAATAAAATATTGGGGGGGGGGCAGGTACAGGTAAGCCCCATCTCACAGACTGCAATGATCTCAAGACAAAGTGCATGCACACTGGTACCTTATATGAATGGCAATGCTCATCAGCATGGGGGGAGGATGACTCCCTCAAATATTTAATGGGGGGGTGAAGGCACCTAGGCCTATAGGAGTTGGCTGCTTTGCCTAGGACAAGTGTGAGCTCCCCTCCTCCTCTTCCTTCATCACTGTATTGGAGATACCATACATTACTGACAGTTCCTTCATTCACATGGTTACAAAGCACAGATCCATGTGGATCCTCAGGATTTTTGCACTGGGTCACCCCAAATTCACCATCAGATCACATAGCATGTCCATGGCTACAGCTTGCACCAAAAAAATCACGCACCCACTGTTGCCTGGGGCCGCAGTGGTGCAAAAACGTGGTTACAAAGCATGGATCCACATGGATCCTCAGGATTTTTGCATTGGGCTACTCCAAACTCACTGTCAGATCACATGTCTGTGGCCACAGCATGAACCACAAAAATCATACATCCACTGTTTCATTTAGAATATTTTTTTTCTTGTTTTCCTCCTCTAAAAACTATGTGCGTGTTATGGTTGGGAGCGTGTTATAGAGCGAAAAATATGGTAATATCCCCTTACGCAGGGGTTACGTTCCAGGGATAGCGCATGACACCAAAATCACGTATAGTCAAAGCGCATTGGGTGCAGGAGTGGGTGCCTGTCCAGTGGGCCCGCAGAGATGACCTAAGGCATGGAAAGGTCAGGAAGGGGACAGAGGAGGAAGGGGCTGGAAACAGTGTGTATATGCAAGGAGCCAGTATTACATCTGCACTGGATTTGTGTGTTGTAACAGCTTTTAGTCTTCCACAGCTGGAGCCAGAGCCCCATCTGAGATTTGCAAAGTCTAGAGCTGCTTTTTTGAAGGTTTTGATTCTATTGGTATGGCCATTCTGTTGGTATGTTTACTTTTGTACTTGTTCTTAAGAATGGAATTTGATGGTGGTGTTTTGTAACAGATCTCAAGATCCTAGGCCTGGTGTATTTCCTGTATCTTTTCCTGTTTTCTGGTCTGGAATACACACTGAGCTTTCTTGTCCATCAACACTTCCAATTCAGCAGGTATTTCGCATGATATTTATTTTATTTGTCAAAATAGTGAGCCTCACGAGACATCAGTATAAACAAAGTTCTGTCATGGTGTTTACTCAGATGACCTCTATGTTTAATTACAGTATAAGATGTCATTCCCACTCCAATCCATCCCCATAATGTAGGCTCTGGTTGAGAAAACTCATCTAGTGTTGCAGGCCATTTTCTCTGGAAATATTTGTCCCGTTAGCTTGCATAAATCACCCAAAGTGGGAACTCAGCTGGCAGTCCTCTCTCATATGAGTGAACATTCCTATAACCATTTTACTTACCTATTTCCTTGATACATTTGAATCATGCTCTTCCATCAAGGATATGTCTGACAATTTAGCTCAGGCGTAGGCAAGCTTGGCCCTCCAGATGTTTTGGGACTACAACTCCCATCATCCCTAGCTAACAGGACCAGTGGTCAGGGATGATGGGAATTGTAGTCTCAAAACATTTGGAGGGCCGAGTTTGCCTGTGCCTGATTTAGCCTCTCTGCACCTCTGTTAGGCTGAGAGAGTTGCTTCCAAAGGCCAGTCACCAAGTTTCGTGACTGAGCAGGGATTTGAACTCATGCTTGCGCTCTTTTGGAACGTAGAGACGGCATTCACCAGGTCTGAGAGATCTCCTGTCAAGGTGCTCTGCTGCGGACCCAGGTGTATGTGGCAGCTAAGTCTGGGAGGCTGCCTGCCTCTCCAATTCCCTACAATGTGCTAGTGCAACACTGCGTCATGCATTGCGTTAAATTATAACATGGCAGGCACTTTCCCACACAGGCCCTGATCCCAGATAAGTCCACTCCTGGCGGGGCAGGAGGGGGACCCAGGCAGCTGCCGGTGCTCATGGGCCCTGCTGGGGAACATGAGGCCTGACAGCTGCTCAGTGCTAACACTGGTTCTCTCAGATCTTTTGTTTCCCTCCATTTCTGTCATATGATTACAATTTTTTTATTGATTTTTGCAAATTTTAACAATGTCAGCAAACATATGACGATACAAACGTAACCCCCTCCCAAAGACAAGAATATTCCCAGACTGTCCTCATTACTGTATGATTTTTGAGAGCTTAGTTTTTTAGGATTCATTGTTGGTAACTGATTCCGTGTTGTTAGTGGTAAGGCGGCCCAAGAAGGCTTCCCTCTTGCAGGGACACCAGAAGCCGGGGGCAGCTTTTCATTTCTGAATGTGGAGATGTTTTGGTGACCAGAGGTCATTCCTGAGAGGCAATTTGGTTTGTAATGATCAAGAGCTGCCCAGACACTTAAATGTTTTTCATTATAAAAATGTGAATGGAGTCAGATTTCATCCACCACCACCACCACCCCCAGCAACACATAGCTGTTGCCAGGTACTTAAAGGACTCAGCCCATGACATAAATTTGCATTTGCTCATTTATATGTAGAAATGCCCCTGAGAAATTAAGATGGTGTCTGGTTGGCCAGGTGTGTGACTTAGCAGCAGTACACCTTGCAGGGCAGCTGGCTTAGCCTAATATATTTAAGATTAAAAAGGAGAGGAAGGGCAAAAGAACTGAGGTATGCTGGCAAAGTCCTGGGAATTGGACCCCCTGGGCCACCCCTCCAACATCCCTGTATGTTCCTGTAATAATTTTAGAAGCCTCCTGTAGAGGGGAGATTGAATGCTTTATGTCAAAGTTTCTTCTAGTTACTGAGTGGGTAGAACTAACTACAGTGGTGCCCCGCAAGACGAATGCCTCGCAAGACAGAAAACTCGCTAGACGAAAGAGTTTTCCGTTTTGGAGGTGCTTCGCAAAACGAATCTGCTATGGGCTTGCTTCGCAAGACGAAAATGTCTTGCGAGTTCCTGCGTTTTTTTTTCCCTTTCCCCCCTCTTTTTCTAAGCCGCTAAGCCGCTTATCTGCTTATCCGATAAGCTGATAAGCCGCTAAAAGCCGCTAAAAGCCGCTAATAGCGCTAATCCGCTAATCCGTCAATGGGCTTGCTTCGCAAGACGAAAAAACCGCTAGACGAAGAGACTCCCAGAACGGATTCTTTTCGTCTTGCGAGGCACCACTGTACTACTAACAAACATAACTGCAAATCAAGCTAAACTACTTTGCCCCTAAGAGGGCTGTGTCAGAACTACTAAACTGGTTAGTTAGGGAACACGCCCAAAAATCCACAGTATATATTCCTTAAAATATAACAGCTGCCAGCCATGTTAATTTTGGGAGTTTGGACACGGAGAAGAAAGTAACTTTTTCCTGTTTTCTCTTAGTCTGGAACAAGGGAAGATGTTTTTCTTCATTGGAATTACGATGGCTGTGATCCAAGGAGGTTACACTCGCCAGATTGAGCCAGGAAACGAAGTGAAGACTGTAAAAAGGGTGGGGCTTGCTTTCCATTTGAAGTAGTCTTTCTTGTACTGTCTTTTGCTTCATGCATACTTGAAGAATTTTCAGGAAATGTGTCTTCTGTCATTTAACTTGTAATAGATCCTGTTGATTTCTCTCCTTTTGTGAGAGAGTACACAAAGCATTTGTTCATGTTGGAGAAGGTCAGTGTTCAGTAGACCATAATAATGAGAGAGAGAGAGAGAGAGACTGGCTTTGGGGCTATGAAGTGGATATAAAATGGTCTTTAAAGTGCAGTTTCTGGTGGTGATGGTGCCCAATTCCACCATCAAACAAATCATTTCAAACCAACTATTTTGTTCCTAGCATAAAATTTCTTGTCAGTTCGCCAAATGAGAAAAGAAAACCAATAAAATAAAGGCTCATTATCCTATTCTCTATTTTCTTGCAGAGATCTGTAGAAAAAAAACCTAGAGAAATTCTGAGTCATCTTCCATGGCACACTTCTGGTCATTTTACTCACATGTAAAATGCCATTTTGAAAAACTGTTAAACTTGAGGAAATTATCTTTGAAATGATATAGAGCACGTTAACTATATACGAAAATGAAAAATGGGTCTATAGGTTGACATTGTCATGGAATCACCCCTACTACATTGCTCTTTGGTTTTCCCTCCCCTTAAGAAGGAGAGCTCTTGAATTTCTCAGTGAAAGGGGCTTTTGTGGCAGGCAGGGGCGGGCAAGAAAGGAGAAGGGAAAGGATGAAGGTGGCCATTGACTCCCCCCTTGCCTCATCCAAATGTTGCCACGTTCCAGGGAGCCAGCCATAGCTGTTTCAAGGTGAGCAGATGCCTGCATCTCAATAGTTGAAGCAGAAGACAGAGCGGGAGCCCAACTGCTCTCAGAGTAGGGCAGGCCCAGGAGAAGAAGATTTGGGTTTTCACTAGAGTTTGTGTACTGTAAAACCATGAACTTTCTCACTTTGCCCCCTTTTCTTTTCGACAGGCAATAATGGCATCAGCTCTGGGTTTCCTTTTTGTTGGCTGGAGTTCTAATATGATCCTCCTGGGCACGGGACTGTTGTTTTACTCCTTTGGTGAGCTTCTCAAACAAATCTTTTCAGGCGCTAAAGCAAAGCGAAATTGGCTCCATAGATTTCTTGAGTTCATTAATGCAGAATGGATTTAGGTTTCCAAACTGCCTTTGTTGCTTATCAGTCTTGAAGGAGATGTCCTTTCGAGTTTATTTTAATGCTAATGACATGATAGAAGTTGCCATGGTGATGTTTAAACACGTCATTAACTTGTGTCGCCTCAGCTTATGGTTGATCTTTCCAGCCTCCTTCTAGGGGCTGAAGAGGATATCTAAATTGTCAATAATCCTGGCTTAGCATGCTTTTCCAAAAAAGAAATGTGATGTCCCCGACTGCTGTTTAAATACAAAATAGACATCTACAGGCAGAGGAAAGTTGCATAGTCCAGGCTGTCCAATCAGGGCTTGAGTTCAGTTAAGCGCAGGGGTCAGCATACTTTTTCAGCAGGGGGCCGGTCCACTGTCCCTCAGACCTTGTGGAGGGCCGGACTATATTTTGAAAAAAAATTAGAAATGAACGAATTCCTATGCCCCACAAATAACCCACAGATGCATTTTAAATAAATTGACACATTCTACTCAGGTAAAAACACACTGATTCCCAGACCGTCTGCAGGCCGGATTTAGAAGGCGATTGGGCTGGATCCGGCCCCCGGGCCTTAGTTTGCCTACCCATGAGTTAAGGCAAGGACTCTTGAACCTAGAGGATGCTCAGTTTCCCAGTTGACTGCTGAGGAGATGGACCAGTCTTTTCTTTGCAACTTAATCCCTGAATTGCAAATACTGCAAAGCTCAGCAAAAGACCAGCAAGGTATTTTCCAAAAGAAAGGCCTTACTGGAAATTTCTGTTCTCTGACTGGAAGGGATTCCATCACCTTTTGATGGCTCCTTCCTCTGGATCCTCATCTTTGGCTTTTTCTCCAGAGGAAGGGGGTGTGCTGACCTCATAGATCAGCTTGGAAAGCTTGAGGAGCCCCCCTGTCCCTTGCTGCAAATACAGAAAGGCCATCTGGCAACAGGAGCTCTTTTATCATGCTTGTGAAAAAATATTGCTGAGGGGAAGGTTTGAGCACTGGAAGGTCCCCCAACAAACTCCTCCCCGTGTTCACTTAAAGGCAGAAGCCTGAAGGACCAGCCACCTCCCATTTCCTGCATCACAGGGGGTTGGACTGGATGACCCTCAGGGTCCCTTCCAATTGGACAATTCTGTGATTCCATGATGCCAGTCCTGAAAAAGAGCAAGAGTTAGAATGCCCTCCGGGAGGCTTGCAGACAGAAAGCCACAGTATGGACATTCCTGTTTTCTCCTGAGGCTCCTGGAAGGTATTTGTTCGGGATCTACCAGCGTGATCAACTAAGGCAGGCATCCCCAGACTCGGCCCTCCAGATGTTTTGGGACTACAATTCCCATCATCCCTGACCACTGGTCCTGCTAGCTAGGGATGATGGGAGTTGTAGTCCCAAAACATCTGGAGGGCCGAGTTTGGGGATGCCTGAACTAAGGGATAGTTTTTGGTATGACTAGCATCTGCCTGACCAGCACTTTCAGAAAAAAACCAAACCTCACCCTAAATTGTCATTAGGACTTAAATTCTGAATTCATCACTCCAGCAGTGTTTAAAGGGGGTGAGGGAAGCTGATTCAGAGAGCAGTTTGGCAAACTGCTTTAATTAAGACAGTCTCTGTGCTCCTGTATGAGCAAACAGGAGTGGAGGAGCTGTTTTAAAGCCTTTGCAAAAGCCTCTTTGTGCAGCGTGTGTATGAGAACGACTTCAAATGACACTTTTGCGTAGGGTTTAATCCCCATTCAAGTGATGAGCAGGGATTCGATCCTGCTGTTTTGGCTATGGAATCTTGTTTCCCACTGGGAACTGGATCGTAGCCCATGCAGAATTAAACCTTCTCCTCCTGCCATCCATTGTTAACACATTTGCATTCTCACTTGTTTAATCATTTTCTAACCTGTTATTAAATTACTTCCAGCTGCTGCTACGGTTGTTCCTTGTTTGTCTACGGTGGTGTCTGGATATGGTACGTGGCTGTTTACTCTTGTAACGGGCAGAGCCCTTCTCTAAGGAGTTTTTTGCTTGCTCTTTTAACTGTGTGTTGAATCTTTAAAGCCAGGCTGCTGTCAGATTCTGTTGCCTCATAGTTGGAGATAGATTAAACACAGAGTTGGAAATTGATTCCACTTGGCGTTGGCTCCTGCTCTGTTTTGTACAGCACGCAGTAAGGACAGTAGGTGTGGTTCAGACAAATGCAAGCACTCGAAGTACCATTAATTTTTGTGGAAATGAGTGAAGGATCTGTTTAACTCTCCCGTTAAGAAATGTGGGACTTCAAACGGCTTATTACTGACTGGGGCATGCCAAGTTTTTATAGACTGCTTATTCCTATATGGTGCTAGCGACTACAGATACCTTACAGTAGAGCCCACAAAATGATCTCTAAATAAAATAATACATTTTTGCAGGTGGAAACTATTGCCCTATTTTCACATGTTGTATGAGCACAAGGGAAGATAAAGACATTCAGTTCAAAGTAATGGTAGGAATGACCAAGAATGGCTAAGTAGAAAATCTGTCCTCTAACCCAAGGATTTGCTCAACATTCCTCTGCCGGTTAACTGGCGAATAAAATATACCTCAGGGAGCCTCACAGATGGAAATGTAGTTTTGATGCTGAGTTTTAGCAGCGAAGTACACTCAAGATTGTGGGATTTAGGCCTCACATGCTGGTGGTAAACATGCCTGAACAACTCTCCTTGTTTCTCATAAAAGCAAAGTTGAGAAGAACTTCTAACACTATTACTCCAGTTGCACCTAAAAATACAAGATTAAAGGGACAAGAATGAAATGGAGATAGTTAGAATGCTCACTGGGTTTGACAGTGCAGACTTGTTCTCATTTTTTGAATAACTGAAGGAGTTGGGTTATGTTGAAAGTGTTGCTTGGTAGCTGGGGTTGTTTCTTTTGTTTGTAAGCCATCCAGGGCATTGTCGTCAATGGACAGCTGTCTAAATGTAAGAAGTAGATGAACTACAGCAGCTTTTTAGTCTGAGACATCATGGCAAACGCACAGATACTCCTGCTACCTCCCTGCTACATAACTCCTTCCTTGACTCCACTACTTTGCAGCCATTTTGTTTGAGCTCTCAAATCTGGGTCTGCTGACCAATGCATAGTTCCAGCCTCAATAACTCTCAGGAGGCAGTGGATCTGGTCTTCCTAACCAGGGCCTCGGGATAAGGATGCACGGTTCCCTCTTAAAGACCCAATCCTTTATCATTTTATTTCTCAGATGTTTTATAGTGCTGGTCTCTAAGTGTTTTGCCTTGGTAGGGAAAGCCAAGAAGTAAAAAACTGACAAGTAGTAAATGATGATGGTTCTTTCTTTCATAGGGTTAGCCAGCCAAAAGGGAACCCTAATGGGAATCTTAAGGAGTCTGGGGGCCCTCGCAAGAGCTTTTGGACCAATTGTGTCAGCAACAGGTAATTGTGCATGTATGCGTGTGCTCACATGCGCCCTTGTCGGCAATAGAAACAATATATGGATTTCACCAGGGAGAAGATTGAACCTCGCATTGCGTATCACGGAAGGTGTTTCAGCTATGGTAGGATTCCTGTTTTCATGCTTTTGTCAGGAAAGGTTGCAATAGCAACATGCATTTTCCTCGATACTACGAAGCGTGGCTGTGATACAGAGAAGTGCATCCATGCACCCCACATTTTGTTTGTAATTTGCATCACAAGATAGTCTTGGCAGCCAGCTAAAATTAGAAACTTGCATCTCTCCCTCTCCCTTCTAACGTCTAAAACTACAAAATGCCTGCCTTGAGGTTGTTGCAGGTCACTTTCTTTGCCCTTGCTCCAGTTTTTGTTTGTTGTGGGGACTCTTCAGCCCCTCACTCAACCTTCCCTTCCCACCATTAGGTTTAAGAAACATCTTTTGTATAAGAGCTTTTTTAAAGGGGAAATGCTGCTGGTCAAAGTCCAGTCTCCAAATGCTTTTTGAACTTAGGAGCTTTAAAAATCAATTTGGGTATTCTTCCAGGGAAATTCTGAGGGGAAAAGATAAGGCTTTTATCTCACTATGGGCTTGCTGTAGATGTTTCTGTGTGTGCTTTGACTCAAACTAGCTCTGTTTTGGAAAAGGAAGCATTTGAGGCTCCCCCAGGAACTGACCTTCCTATAGCACTTGCTGACTAGAGAGAAGCAGTGTTTTGAACCCCGGTTACCTCACAGGAGCCTCCCTATAGCTTGCGCCAGGCACAGAGCTTCAGAAAAGCAAACAGACCTGCAGCAAAACGTTTGTGGAGCTGAGTCACATCCTTGCCCCTTTCCCATCCATGAGGCTTTCCTCATGGCAGAGTTCCTGGAGGATTTTCTGAAACTTGCCGTCTTGGGCAAATGTGGTTATTTTTTATTGGGCCCTGGCTGCTGCCAGTCTGTTGATATCGTTGGATAGGAGCAGAGGATTCTGCTTTCCGTTCAAAAATTCCAGTCCAGGTAATATTTAATTCTGGTGAGGAAAAGCTGCATCTTCTGGGAAAGGCAGAGCTCTTCTCACTCAGTTTGGTACAAACTGTTTTGTGGAGGCCACTTTAGGAAAGTTCTTGCTTTTTTCTGATTAACAATATTCTTAAATGCTGTTTTTCTCCTTCCTTTCTTTCCAGTATACTGGCTGGCAGGAGCTGAAGTTTGTTTCACGGTCTGTGCCTTTTCGTTCCTCCTCCCCTTCATTCTCCTTGGATACATTCAAAAGCAAAGGAAAGAGTAACAAGCAACAACTCTGGCTACCATTTTCCAAGAAACATTGGAAATCAGGCTGAGCTAAGAAACATTTTGTGGCACCTCCGGCCTTTGCATATGATGAAGTGCACAGATTTTGAGCACACGTTATTTCTGCTGCACTGTGGCAAAGAGCCCTGGAGGGAAACCTCAGCTACTGTCTTTCAGCAAACAATACCTTTGCCATAAAAAATGGTCAGATACATTTCCTGTTCTGCGAGAGAGTGCACAGTGGTGGAAAAGGGTTGTTTGCTTTGGCAGAAAGTGTTTAAAGAAGGAAATGAAACAATATCTACAGACTTGCACTAGACATGCTGCATAAATTTTGTTGAATGTGTTTTGTCTGTACGTGCACACACACATGCAAACGTATACTATCCTTGAAATACGTTTTCTAAATAATATATTTACTGTTGATTTGTCTGCCAGATTTGAAGCACACACAGGTCCCGCTATGGCAACACTCGTTATCTGCAAATTCAATTATCCAAACACAAAGAATTATGCCCAAACCATGGTACAAAAACAGCTGATTCAGATATCCAAACAGCCAGAGTTTGCCCACTTCCTTACTTGTGTTTTGCTGGTTGGCTGCAGCCATTTCTGGAAAAAGCCCGTGGGGGGCAGAGACTGGACAAATCACAGATTATAAATGTTCCCGTAGGAAATAATGGAAATCATCAGCTCGCTATGCAAATGCTTGCAAATGATTTCCTGGTAATGCACTGTGTTTGGAAAGCAGGACCTACATGTACAACATTTCCTTGACACTTAGCTATTGAGCTCAAGTAGATCTGTATGTTTTGTATATTGACACCAAAACCTGAGTCTTAACAGGTTGCCAAGGGCAATAGTTGTTTCTTTAAACCAAAGGCTTAAGTTGCAAGCTGGAAAAGTGTGTACAGGTATATCCTACGGTTAGCTATGGGGGGCAGTAAGCTGAAACACATCATGTTCATACCTTCATGTGCAAAAGATTGTGTAGTTAAGGCAGTATGTTTCTAACGTAACCAGGTTTATTTTGTTTTTTTGCATAATTATGATTCTGGCTCTGTTTACAAGAAGTGTATTTTATATTCTTTACATAAATATTCCAGATTAAGCTTCAGGGATAATGGGAAGACTTTTCATGCTTGCAACAAATCACTTGAAGGGAGGAACTTATGCCTTACCACATGGGATATGTGAACGTGAGGCACGCTTAGATTTGGTCGATCATTCAGTACGGTGTGAAAGCATGAGACACAGTGCAGTCTAAATCATTAATCACTCAGAAGTAATCTATTTAATTCTATTAATTCAGTGGAGCTTATTCCCAAAAAAGTGGTTAGAGAAGTCCCATTTCCTGTTCTGTGAGGGAACTGTGCTGCCAGTTCTGTGAATTTAAGCCTAGCAACAGTCATCCTCCAATAGTTCTGACTATTCTGGATTAACACTCCTGTTTGGGGTTTGTTTGTTTTTTAAAAATATTTTTTCATATTTTATTGGAATTTGATTGTTTTAAGAGTTAAAACTAGAGTAGAAAGTCAACCAGATTTTGGTCTACAATTGCAATTTGATACAGGAAAACCTGAACAGGTTGACATTTAAGGTGGCTTCCTATTGTGCCTTGATGTTGCTTCATATTGTGCCAAAGCATCAGCCTGCTACAGCCAACAGTTACGATGTCTTAATGGGCTGGTTTTCAGGGGGGAAGGAACCTGAAAACATAAAGAGTAATCTGGAACATACGAAGCTGCCTTATAGCAAGTATAATAGTTTAGTATTACTCAGAAGTCAGCACTAGCTAGTAGTTGCTCTCCAGGGTCAAGGGCAGACAGGGTCTGCTTCCTGAACCTTTTTTGAATTCAGTTGTTTTAAGATTAAACCTGAGGTTTCTGTATGTAAATGAAGTGTTTGACCCGTGTCAAAAACTCCTACTGTAGTATCTGTGGAAACAATTGTAGCACTTAAATTACAGCTGTGCAAGACACGCCCATCCATCTAATTTGGGCCCTGATTCATTGATCTGGATCTGCCCCTAGTATAGACCTAATCTGGACCTCATTTGCATTGAGAAACCAAAACAGCCATCCTTTTTTTTTCCACTAAGTGCATGAAATTGGAGACGTGGTGGCCCCTACAACCCTACAGGTGGCCCTAGGGCAGGCATAGGCAAACTCGGCCCTCCAGATGTTTTGGGACTACAATTCCCATCATTCCTGACCACTGGTCCTGTTAGCTAGGGATGATGGGAATTGTAGTCCCAAATATCTGGAGGGCCAGAGTTTGCCTATTACTGCCCTAGGCTGTTGCTGCTAGCTACTTTTTGAAGTCCCATTTAGTTGAGTGAGGCTTACCCTTGAACTGAAATCCCATTCCCACTTAATGTAATTCCACTTTTCCTTGGCAACTCCTTGCAGCTGCTGTAATACTGAATCTTGGCTCTAAATAACTTTTTCTCTATAGCAGTCTAAAACATTAAGCATACTGTTTTTTGTGTTGTGCAGATTTTTTTTTGTTTTCCCTGTATAAAACTTTTGAGAGACCAATTTTTCATTGAGTTATTAAAAGCACGCCTGTCTTTGTGCCTTATCCAGCAAGTTGGATCCCAGCTGGTTTATTCTCCTGAATTCTGTATAGCATCCCAGGGTTGTATCTGTTAGAGGAGGCAATTTTTATTCTGTTGTTTTTTTCCTCTCTTTTTCTTCTGCTACACAAGCAGCCAGCATACCAGCTGCCTCTGAATGTAATTGAAAAAGAGAGCAACAGGAAAATTAATAAAGCCAGGAATGCAGGAAGAGAAAAAAGCAGAGAGGAAAAGAAGAGATAGGAAAGTTGGGGAAATGAGAGGCAGCAAGAAAAACAAGAGATTCTTTGGAAAGCAGGAAAGGATGCTTCTCCTCCCCCAATTTATCTCCCTTCCTTAATCTATAGTTGGCTACTATGACCTCTGCCGAAAGCATAAGAGGAGCTGACCCCTCTCTTTAAATTAGAACTCTGTTTTCGCTCTGTGACAAAATGGTTATTTGTCTCTGTAAAATAGGCTAAAGGGTCTGTTTTTATATTTACTGCTCTGGTGTATGAGGGGTTAATTGTCATTGCAGCCTCTTAATTGGAGTCTCATGTAACAAAGGTCACCTAATTAAGACCTGCAGAGGCCATTCTCAACCTCCCACTGCATAGCAGATATCTATATTGCGTTTTGAAGATGTTGCTTTTTCAATAAACATTTTAAAATGGAATTTTTTATTCCAGTCTGTATCTGTATTGGATTTTGTTTGTATATATGAAATGGTTTTATCTATGTTTTTATGGTTATATCACTTTGCTATGTTTCTGAGAGTGATTTATGAATTGAGCTTAAAAAACATAATAAAAATTCCTTCCTTCCAGATAGTATTTATATTATATGTAAGATTCAGGGCACAAACTTTAATATCAACATACATCATAGTCCTTCAGTTTGGCTGCAGGCTGCCTACTTAGTTTTGTATAAATCATTCACGTCGAGAATAAATTGTAAGCAAGTTGGGTCAATGAGATTAGCCTTGGCCAAGGTAAGCTTGTGCTCAGGATCTAGAGAAAACAAAGACTATTTGCAGATGAATAGTGGAAGATAAGCACCTGACAGCTAGAACTAATCCACAGATAAATGAAATATGTGAAAAAATTGTCCAGTAGCACCTTAGAGACCAACTAAGTTCTTGGTATAAGCTTTCGTGTGCATGCACACTTCTTCAGATACATGTACACAAAAGCTTATACCAAGAACAAATTTAGTCGGTCGCTAAGTTTCTACTGGACAATTATATATATATATTTTGACTGCGTCAGACCAACACTGCTACCTACCTGAATCTAGAACAACAGATAAATATTGATGAAGGCTGTATGAGTGTTTTTTAAAGTTGCAAATTTACACTGTTGAAAGCCTATCTGTGGGTTAGGGAGCAGTTATTGGGCTCATCACAGGTTTCACTGGTGATGTGTGATATTATTTGGCCTTGAATCTTTTTGTCAGGGGTCAATATATTGGCTTGCTGGATTCCTGTAGCCATATGCTATAGTTAGTGATTTTTGTCCCACTGCCCATGGGGGGAAACACGGATTCATCTGAAGACCTGAATCAGCATAGGAACATGTTTCTCACTTGTGTTGAGAATGCGCCACAGGCCTGCATCATCTGCCATGTCTCATCTGTGTTGGGGGAAGTGATAGTTATCATGGACATGAAATAGTAGTGGATACACCGCTGCACAGATTGGCTGTATAGTCCAGCAGATTTGGGGTGTTGTCTCTACTCCAGGCAGCCACCAGCCACTGAAGGCCTGGCTGCAATTTTTACTCTATTGTTTCTGAAAGTGGTGTGTGCGCCCCTCCTCTTCTGGGTTTGGAAAGTACAGCAGACACAGCAGTGCTGTAGCCCCAGCATATTCTAGCTTCCCCATGAATGTGCTATGAGTCTTGCAACAACATGAGCTCAAGAATACCTGGATCTCAGAAACAAGGCACAAGGACACACAACTCCTTTAAAGAATTTTATTTGTGTAGAATTGAATTAAACAACAAAAGAAGAAGAAAAAATACAGGACTCTTCCCTTTCCCTCCCTGTCCCACTGAAGTGTGTTCTCATACAATACACAACTAGATTTCATTATGTAATAGAAAGAATTGAGAACTACAAAACTGGAACTTAAAAATCATTGCATATGTGGTCAAAGATTAGAGTCCCTACGTTTTATAACAGAAACACTAAAGCAATGGCTTTTGTAATGCAATTTCAATCCTGGCAATGAGACACGGTTAAGCTTTTAGTGTTCACAGGACACACAGTTAGGAAACAAGCTCAAAGCCATTAGTGCCATGCAGTCCATATGAAAAATTCCTTTCTCTCTCTCTGTTATCAGCACTTCTGCTTTTCCATTAGTGATGGTTTTAGTACCACCAACCCTCCCCCAATCTCCCTGTAACCCTTCTGCACGGGTGTTATTTATTTATTCTACCATTTTAAAGTGATTTGTTTCAAACTGGTTTCCAAGGTATCTATTTGGAACCTAACATAGGCATAATGTTTAGAATAAAGCTGTACCAGTCACTGAATCCTTCCTAATCTTCTGTGCTTTTTTAAAGCACGAATTGTAAGGCATTCAATACTAGCTATTTCACCAAACTTCAATTAAAAACCTACACAATCTGCCCCCCCCCCCGTGGTGCATTATTCATTACCGAAGTTAATCAATAAAAATCAGCATCTTCGTTCCCAACTGACCTTAAACAGTGAGTCTTTTCTTTTGTTATAACCAGAACTCGGTCAACTTTACAGGTTTAGAAGAAATACCAATTGTTTCTGAAACATTGCCTTGCACAACTCAAAAGTTTAGTCTCTGCACTGTAGCTTAAATCAGTGAATCCAGAGCAGCAGAAGAGATTAGCAAGCTGTGCCAAGTCAGTGCCAGATTATGACAAACCTTCCAAGGGTTCTCGAAAATGAGCCACATGGCCTTGGAAATGACTGGGGCAGCTCACACTGTAGTACAGCTCCTGTTGCATCCGCAAGTGGTGCAACGTACTGGAGCAATTGAGTGAGGTCATGATCTGAGTTAATAAAGGCAGAAGGTATGTGCCTGCTACTAGGAAATTTTATTTTCAAAGGCTTGAAATTAACTTCCGAATTATCAGGTGAGGTTGGATATAAACTTTTGGTAGAAAAGAAATTAGTAAAATAACTGGTTGTTCTGTCAGTTTATTAGAACGCAGGCAGAGGGATCAGCAGGAAACACCACAAATCACTTCATTCTTCTTACACATAACAAATAGATTTAAATTTCAGCTATGCTACAATACAGAATAAGGGAAGGGAAAAGACAGCTTTCTTCAAAGCCTCAGTGTAACGTTATTTCTAATTACACAGTGCGAAAGCAGGTGCTCGGTTCCATAATACAACCTCTCAAAATATAACTGCAATCATATCCAAGTTGTCAGTATTTAAGAAGCCACTTGGTAACAACAGTAGGCTCCGGGACAAGAACAAATGTTAGAGTGAGCAGACAGCAACACCCCGTGGAGCAAGACCTTGCAAAAATCCATTGACTGCATATATAAATCAGCATGGGCTCTCAACGTGACACATGGGGTTCCATGGAAGTCATTTAGCTTTGTTTGCGTACTAGGGATAAACCCTGGTTAGCTGCTGTTGAATATGCAGGATTAGCACCTTCTGCTCATTAATTTTCCATTATAATCTTAAGCAATCAAGCTATAGCTTAAGGGTGTTGCTTGTTCTGCTTGTTACTAAAGACAAAAGAAAACACTCAGTAAGAACTGATACATTCTAGTGGTTAATAAACTTAGACTCTAACCATGACAGTATATTTGAAGGTATTTAGGAGTCAGTCTTCTTTTTGTTTTTCTTCAGGAAGGAAGGTGTACGGAACTTCTTCTTCTTCTTGGACGGAGACTTCCCAGGAGACTCATCACCGCCGGCTTCGGCTGCTGCCCCCTCCTCAGCCAGTGGGGTCACTGCCTCTTCACCCGGCTGAGATTGGGGTTCTGGATTTTCAGGAGGTAACTCAGTCTGGCTTTGGGCGAGATCTTTGTCACTTTTATCATCCTCTTTTCCAAAGGTTGGGAAGCCGAGATGCTCTGAAGGCTCATCAGGGGTGAGATCTGGGAGGCTTTGCTTGAAAGTTGCAGCATCACTGTCATCGTTGCAAGTCTGGTTCGGCTGCCTCTCTAGTGGAGCAAGCAACAGGAAACATCTGTTAACGTGTGCCTGTTGCTGAAATGAGGGCTAACAGAAATTAACTGTGGAAAACCTACATGCAGAGCCAGGAGTTTTGAGTCTCTTTGTAAATGGCCTTTGGGCAGAGAGATGCAACGGAAATATTTATTTGAATTCTGTCTTCTCCACAATGCTTTAGAGTCAAAAACCAAAGTGTCAGAAGTTGACATACTAAAAATTCTGCTGACTTCTTACATTTATTTATGAAATATTGTTCACCCTTCTCTATAAGCACACAGGGTAAAGGGACCCCTGACCATTAGGTCCAGTCATGGACGACTCTGGGGCTGAGGAGCTCATTTTGCTTTATTGGCCGAGGGAGCTGGCGTACAACTTCCGGGTCATGTGGCCAGCATGACTAAGCCACTTCTGGAGAACCAGAGCAGCGCATGGAAACGCTGTTTACCTTCCCACTGGAGTGGTACCTATTTATCTACTTCCACTTTGATGTGCTTTTGAACTGCTAGGTTGGCAGGAGCAGGGACCGAGCATAAATGGAAGATGCATATGCTTGTTTCTCCTTATTTTGCAAAATAATAATAACTGGACTCAGTATTCAGACGGAGTAGCACTGATGACTTAATGAGGTTTTATGTTAGCCTCTTGCAGTGGCCCAAAAGACTGGCTTACACGAAGGCATTCAGTATGAAAAATGAAGCCACACTCTCTGCAGATGAAGGAGCTTTTATACAAAGCTCAGCAATGCTAACTATTGCTCCCTTATCCTCAAAAGACATCTCACCTGTATCTTCAAGTGGGCCAGAGTTTTGTGTGACTTGGAATCTTAAATTCTGCATTCTTTGCAACCTGATTCTCCATTTGTTCAAATATTACAGAGACACAGGGAAAGCAGAGGCATGAACTACCCCGGCTTCTGTTTCCCCTCTCGCACTGCAATGCAATAGAAGAAAGGAAACACGGACGTATATGGGTGATTCGCCTTCTGTTCCCCCCACTTTTGCATAATGCATGAATTGGCTTTCAGGATGGAAAAGCATGTTGTACTTTGCCATCTCTTATCTGTTTTTTAGACACAGTCCAAAAATTTAATCATCATTAAGAAGGTGCCTCTATCTCTGGCCTTACAGAATGTGAGAAAACACTATTGTGAAGAGCATCCCGGACATAAACAACAGGAGATGATCTTATGTAGATCAAATCTTAGCTAGCTCCTTGAATTACTAAGGATGTTAGGATCCACTGCACATGCTCTCTTCACATAAACACAGGGAAGCTCAAACCACAGCAAAGTTGCAACAGCAAACATATCACTTTATTTCTGAGGCACTGGAGGTTTATGGCCATGGTTCTTGGCCCAATCTGAATTGCAGTGACTTTAGGTACCTGGTTCATTTCAGTACTGCACTGAAAATACCATGCTGTGGTTTGTATTCTTTTAAGGTTAATTTAATACTGCATTCACCTTCTTTGTATTTGTATTTAACAATTCTCTGTTTCATCTTTATTTGAAGCTTGGAAAAGGAAAAACCTGGGATTTGTTAGCTTAGTGATGATAACCACTTCAAACTCAGCAATCCAAAACATTAGAAGTTTTAAAATGGGTTAGGATAATTTAAAAGCAGGGGGAAATGAAAAAGCTATTTGGAAAGTTAAAAGCTGCAATTAATTTCTTTTATTTAAATATAGCTCTTTAAATGTAGTTCAACTATCCTTCTGTTTTCATTGCTGCTGTTACAGCAATTAATTGCTGCCTTCACATGGAAGGAAGTCAGATGAAAACGGAGTCAGACCAACAGTCCCACTAGCTCAGCAATGTTTACACCTGACTTCAGCAAGCGGGCACCCTCCAGAAGTTTTGGACTACAATTCCCATCAGCCCCAGCCAGTCTGGTCATGCTCCTATCAGCCCTGGCAACATACTGCTGTGCTGGTGGGGGTTTTAATCCAAACTGTAGTCCAAAAACATCTGAAGGGAACCAGACTGGCAAAGGTTGGTGAGTAGCAGTGGCTCTCAAGAGTTTCAGACAGCATATTCTCAGCCCTACACAGAGATTGCTGGGAACTGAAGCTGGGACCTTCTCCATGCAAGGCAGATGCCATATTAGAGTTATGGCTCTTCAGCAAACTTTCTTGGTTTCCCTTTCCATTGTAACCAGAGAACATGGTTTGTTTTTCTGTAACAAACCCCAATCTCTAGTCTACATTAAGCCATGATTTGTGGCTGGCTTGCTGATTATGGCTTGTTAGGGAATCCCAATCCCAATCTCTGGTTCAGATGCAACAGAAAAGTAGGTCTTCCCAGTTTAACCCCTCATACGCCAGGAGAGGAGTGAAGTGGGAGCAACCAGGCAGCATGTGCCAGCACACTGCCCATTCATGCTAAATTGGTAAGTCTGGCCTTTTGTTACGTGCAAACATGGCAAAGAAATGTATGGATATGGCTTTAAGGAACTACAACAAAAACTTTAAACATTTATTCAGCTCAGCAAATTAAATGCACCTTTCCAATGGGACTTACAGTTAGATTTTACTTGAAAGAATTTCAGAGTCAAAAATAAATTGAAAATGTAAAGCTTACTGGATGCCCATGAAGAAGCACAGTAAATGCTATATAAAACAATGCAACTGGTACAACCATGTGCTGAAAATGGCACTATAAAGCCACTCTCTAACATATGATTATAGTCCAGTTTGACATGAGAAGGAGAGGGGACTTTCCTGTCCCACAGAAATGTATGTGGAGTGCTGTTATGGAGGCATCTTAAGAGAAATACAGGCTACCAGATTTGCAGTGTCTACCGTCTTCTCTTCTTTGTGCTCCTCAGCTTGAAGAGAGGGGCTCAGGCTCCCTCCTCACAACAGGCAACACGCCACTAAGAACACTTAGGAAAACAGACACAATCATGAAGAGATGAGCCTCTTTGAAACATCCTTTTATCTCTTAAGGTGATTTTAGTTTGTTGTCACTGATATAAGGAGCAATGCCACACTACCTTATTCTCTGCTTTACAGGATAAATCAATGGTTTGGGGTCAAAATCAGTATGTGAACACCTGGAGTGTTTTATACATATGGCTACCAAGTCACACTCAAGTCTAATACAGACTGTATTTTTCTTAATGTACCTCTGATCTCTTTGTTCTGGTAAAGCAACTGAAATAGTTAAGCAGACTTCAAACTATGTAAAGGCTGACCAAACCAACATAGGGAGGAAACACCACAAAATATGCAAGAGAATGAAGCACAGCACAGAGAAGTCAGGATAAAGCAGCAGGAACAGGGATGGGATGATACTTACTATGGCAACAGGTACTCTTTAGCATATCCACCTCCTGTTTGTAACGCAGCCACAAGAAGAAAAAAGCACAAGTAGAGAATCTATACATCCATCACAGCCATTGTGTTATATTAAAAGAATGGTCATTACCATTCTTATAAAATACAGAATGAGGTGGTGTGAAGAGACAACTTTGTAACAGACAAGTGATAAAATCCAGGGTAAAAGGGAAACACTGAACACATCTTAGATTACACCTGGTTTGAGTACTCAACTTGTTTTTACCAATTCACTGCAACAATAGGTCTGGTCTTGCTCTCATTAAGCAGAGACCTTAAAGAAATCAAATCTTTTAACTTTGAAACCTATGAGTAGAGGTGTAATCCAATTACAATAATGCTTAAGAAATGTGCAACCACCAAGCAGAATTTGCTAAAAAAATTTGCATGATCCAAAAACCATTTGGGCAGGAAGATTTCCTCTTGCATTTCAACAATGGAAACAGCTCTAGACAGGAGTCCATATATCCAAGACCTGCGTCTCTCTGGAAGTGAAATCTCCTTTTGTTGGTAAGTGGGTCTCAGGTGCAGCAGTGGTTGGTATGGCATTGCCAGTTACTGAGAGGAAGGGAGACACAGCTGTGGGGTTTTTGAGTGGTTCTGCCACTGCACTGAGCTTCCTGCCACTTGCTCCTCCCCCTCTTGATAACTGGCAGTGATGAGCAGTGTTGGGAAGCCAGATCAGCAAAGCAGTGGTGCCCACTACAGCTGCTCAGGGGTACATAAGAGTTGCTGAGCACAGTGATCCTGCTCACTGGCGCACATTGGGACATTAGCTTCACTAATATCCTGATGGATGGCATTCTACAACTTGTGCCTGGTTTGGTAGGCAGCTACTATTTGGTAGCACAGATATTTCCTAGTAGCCAGCTGTGAGATCAAATCCTAAAACAAAAGGTTCAAGATCAACTGCTGACGAGCATTTCTGCCAATGAACGTTTCAATGAAGAGGAGAACTGGAGAGATAATGGCAGAGTGGCTGGCTATTGATGATTAAGAGTCTTTCAGTACTGCTGAAAGGACACTCTGGGAACCCTCAGTGCAAATAAATAATTTCAAAATTCTCTAGCATCATTTTAATTTCAGCAAATTTGTAAATTCTATTCTTGTGACTTTGTTAATCTGACCATCCAAAAAGCTATTATGTGATTTCTCATTCAGTCTCCCTTTTCACAATATTTAGCTATGTTAAGTTTTTTAACAGCATGATCCTGTGCCAATTTACTTGGAAGTAAATCTCACAAACAGCAGTTACTCCCAAGTTAACTGGGAACAGGATATTAAAAGGGGCTCTGAAGTTGACTCTTCCTGATCCCACAAGCAATGAAAAAGTTACACTCGAAGCTGGAAATGATCCAAAGGAAGTTTCTACTGCCATTATGGAATAGAGAATTTGGAAATACTGTGTACAGTTTTGGGAGACCACTGCTTGAAGAGAGTGCCAAAGAGGTGAGAAAGTTGCATAAGAGTGGAACCGAAGAGATCCAGTGCTGGAACATCTCCCCTATGAAGAAAGCTTAAAGCACTAGTGGCTTTTCCGTTGAAAAAAACTTAACAGAAACAGGACAGAGGTTTACAAAGTTGTGTAGAGTGCAGCTAGAAAGAAAAACCTCCCTCCTTCACAACACAAGAACTCAGGATCACTTGATGACACTACTGGCAGCAGATAAAGGACAAAATGTGTAAATAATCCACAAATTAAAAGTTGATATTGCTAACTAGCTAAGATGGCTTTTTAAAAGAATAAAGCAATTCATGAAAGAAAACTATTGATAACTCTCTTGGACGGTATGTCACTTAATCAGGAGCTAACAAAAGGAGATGGCCATCACTTTCCATGTCACACGAGACAGAGCGTGGTCTTGCCCAATCAGGCAGTCCTTGTGTTCTCAAGTGCACATTTCTTTATTATTGCGAACACAACCACTAGCACATTTAGCTATATGTTGCTCTACAGAATAAAATAGATGAACACATTTTTATCTGATATCAACTGAAACATGAACACAGAGGTGCAGCTAAACAAACTCTTAGCTCCAGGGGACATACCTTCCTCCAGTTTCACTGGAGTGCTGGGTGGAGTGCAAGCAGCAGGATGCTCCAAAGAGCTCCTCTCCCTCTGCTGTCTGGCATCTTCTGAATCTTCTACAAAATGTAAGAGTACAGACCAGGTTAAACAGACCACTCTCACAATTCACATAACTGTGCATAAAGGATCTTTTAATGAAGAACTCTGTTTAATGAAGAAGCTGTTTCAAATGTAAATGAAAACACCAGTGCAACTGAGCAAAAATGTGCTACTAATTGTGCCCTATGTTAAAATAGATAGGGAAGTTTGAGGTTTCATTTTAGAATTTACTGTGGCTGATGACATCTGAAATTCACAGGAAGCAATGAATGGAACATTATACAAATTATAAACACAAACTGTTAAGGATTCCAGATTAGTCCAGCTACTACAGATCACAGAAAAAAACCATAAATAACCATTGCAAGGAACTTTGTTCAGCGGAAGCCTCTCTAGCAGGAAGCAATTAAGGAACATGGCCAACCATAAACTAAAGCGAAGATATTCACAAACTGGACTGGTCTTGCCCAATTGGCAGCTTCATTGCCTGCCACATTGAGCTGTAAGATTTTTGTCAACGTTAGTTCAACTGTGTGTAGCTGCTGCTGAAAAGCTATGTAATGACGTGCAATTCTCCATCCTCTTTCTACCCAACTAGTCAACTAAGAACAATCAGCCTGCGGTTACAGTTGCCTTGGCAATGCAAATATGTTCATTTTCTCACCCTCAACCACCCTGCAAACTGAATCCCATTGTTTCTTAAAGGTAAAGGTACCCCCAACCGTTAGGTCCAGTCACAGACAACTCTGGAGTTGCGGCGCTCATCTCACTTTACTGGCCAAGGGAGCCGACGTTTGTCCGCAGACAGTTTTTCCAGGTCATGTGGCCAGCATGACTAAGCCGCTTTTGGCGAACCAGAGCAGCACATGGAAACGCTGTTTACCTTTCCGCCAGAGCAGTACCTATTTATCTACTTGCACTCTGACGTGTTTTCAAACTGCTAGGTCGACAGGAGCTGGGACCCAACAACGGGAGCTCACCCCATTGCGGGGATTTGAACCGCCGACCTTCTGATTGGCAAGCCCTAGGCTCTGTGCTTTAGACCACAGCACCACCTGCGTCCCTTATAGTAATGCAAAAGACAAAAATCATCCTAAAGGAGAGGCAATTTTTGTTCAAAGCTCAAGTGCAAGGAAGGGAACAACTGTTGTGTAGTGGCAAGCATTTCATGCTTGGGGACTGATCACTACGCAGCCACGAAAATGACTGACTGGCCTTGGGCTCAGTCTCTCTCAGCCTAATCTGCTTCACAAAGTTGCACTGAAAATAAAGTAGGCAAAGAGAGAACATATGTGCCACCCTCGGCTCCAAGAAGGCCTGGATAAAAATGTAATCAGTAACCATTATAAAGACAATCAGTTTAAGCTGAAGTATCTCATGCATTAAACACACAAGAATAACAGAGTCTTCAATTGCTGGGTCAACTTGTTCAAAATTTCTGGATGTCCCAATAATGTTAAGTCGTATGATTTTTAACATATACCAAATTATTATGCTTTACTACTTGAAGTTTCCAAACTACATCCATTTTGTCTGAAAAACATTTTTCACAAGGGATGCCAGAATGTTATATCCAGTAAGTGTACTATTTTATACCTGTGTACACAATAGCTGAGCTTATCAACAAATCAACAAATGTACACTCTTACACAAACATCTGCACATGCACTGTATTCAATGCAATGTGTGAGTACGTCTAGAGTTACTGAAAACATAGAACAATGGGCAGTACTAGGCTCAGCAGGATATCCCCCCCCCCGCCCTTGTTGCTGCTTTGTGGGTTCAAATAGCTTTTCTGTATATGTTTTATTGTATTGGGAAATAGCTTTGAGATACTTTATAGCAGGGGTGGGGATTTTCTGGCCAGATTTCTTTCTAACCTCCAACCCATGGGCCAGTATTGACAGCTGGTCAAGGCCACTCAGCTGTCAGAATTAACCCACATGGTGGGGTGAGGAAGCCTGCTTCCCCACTCCATTCATCGGCTTCGTGGAGAATTCAATTCTGCCCTCTGCAGGGGTCTGCTTCACCAGTGCATTCCCCGCAGATTCCACATGGCAGGATTGAAACCTCCACTCACCAGCTGATGAGCGTAGCGTTCAATCCTGTTCTCTGTAGGAGTCTCCTCTGCCAGCACAGTCCCTGCAGGGAACATGCTGATGTGCTGATGAAGCAATACCCAGCAGACTGCTCCCAGCAACATCACTAAGTGACTTCATTGATTGACATGTGGGTGTGATTTGGGATGAGTCAAACTGGAATGGCCCAGATTGGCTGGAGGTAACGACCCCCTGCTTTGTAAGAAGCAATTCATAAATGAAATAACAGAATTGCAATGGAATTTGATTATGAAAGTTTTAAGATCACAGTTCTATTTTTTGCTTTTCGAGCTCAGCAATATCATCAAGTAAGGAAATCTATACAAAAACTATTTCAACTTCAAGATGAAAGAGCAACCAAGTCTCCAAACTCTGTGCTTCCAGCAGAAAAAATGAACTACAGTAGCAGCAATAAATGAGTGTGTAGTTTAACATTGCTTGTTTCTTATCATTGAAGTTGTCTGCAAGATAATGTGTTGCTTGCCCTAGCCAACAAGAAGCCCACCATCAACACTCCTCCTTTGTCTCAAGTAAGAAGCACAGCAGCAATACAGAATGTTTCTGCCAGGGCCGCTCCTGTAACTGCTTGGTACATTGTGCAGGTTGGGCAAATGTCACAGTACAACCACCAAGGTATGATGAGAATCAACACAAAGGAAACTTATAAGGGAAGCCTGGCACATTAAACTACATATCCGAAGTATATTGACACCACGGTAAGGCAAGTTAGAGTTAGGTAGACACAAACCTGACTGCCTCTGTTTCCTTTCTACTTCTCTGCGATACTCTTCTAGTTCTTGGTCTGTGAACTTGTTGAAGGGGTTTGGTCCTGTTGTGCTTACGATTACTCGTGGTTGGTACTCCTTCTCAATTATTGCCTTTGATGCTGTCACCAATTCTCCCTAGTTGGAAGAAAATAAATGTTTCTCATGAAATAATATACAGTGCACTAACAATGCCTGAGGGCTAAAACAATGGAAGAAATTATTCAAAATCTGATTAACGAAAACAAGACTGAAAAGATTTTCATTTAGAGAAAGTAAGAATATCCATTTTATCACATGGTTATTGCATCATGACTACATTCCGCAATAGAGCGAGACTAATGAGTTCCAAACTTGTGAAGAGTTTTCAGGTGAAAGACTGCCTACACACATAACAAATTAATAATGGTAATAATAATAATAATAATAATAATAATAATACTCATTTAACCCACTACATGAGAACAGGCATTTCAGGGATAGCATCACACAAACATCAGTGTTTCTGCCACACTATATCCACTCTTAAGCAGCACAACAAAATACAGCATCACTACACAATATTTAAAAGCACCCCTTGGGAAGCAGTGGGAACCAAACTGTTAAAAGGTTCAGCTACAAGTCCAAATTAACCTTCTCCAGAACATTCAAAAGTGGGGACAGGCCTTCAGGGAAGGCTTTCCTCTATGGGCCTTCCTCTTGTGCAATACTGACCAGAAATTCCCTTTTACTGGGTGAAAAATCTTGACAAGGTCCACAGCCACGTTTTAAATGTGTGCTATAGAATGACATCTTTGTCATAATTTGCACTGGAGGCACAAAAACATTTAACGTCAGTGACCATAGTTATCTTTATTTGGAAGAGCAGTCCCTCATTTTTCTTTAGTCTTACCCTGTGGGGAACAGAACCCATAGTCCTGCAGGACGTGGACTCAAATAACACAAAAGCCGGCCTATATTGTTCTTTCACTCTTTCAGATACTTTTAAACTTACAGAAAGAGCAAGGCAGTAGTGTGGAGCTCACCAAATCATGTGGGAAAATATGTCAGTCTCAGCCACTGAAGGACAACATATTAACACTCCGCACAGAAGGAAATCATTCCCAGGAAGAAACAAGATACTCAGTTCCCCCAGGAAAGATGGCAGATACATCTTGTCAGCACCTAATACTCCATGAAGGGCATATATCAGATGAGTTAGAGAATTTCAGACTCTTTTGATGAGATTTCAAAGGCTCATTTCTGGCCCATATCCCTGAGTGCCCAAACCTTGTTGGAAGATACTAGAGGATGCTCTTGTTGACCGGTAGAGAACTCCGATGTCTGTTCCCTGAGCTTAGATTCCAGCAGTAAAAAAAGGTGGATGAGCAGGAGAGGGAAAATAAATAAACTGTGAAAGGAGTCAGATATCAGAGGATGCTCTAATTCTGAGACACTTCCTATGGCAGTCAACTATATTTTTGTCACCTTTAATATTTTATTTTATTTCAATATTTGAGGTTACACTTTGTCACTCAACAGATGTAACCCTATTCTACAATACTAATAACTAACCCAACCTTGATTTTTATTAATTATGATTACATACAATTGTGTTTTAAATAATAATAATAATAATTTATTATTTATACCATCTGGCTGAGTTTCCCCAGCCACTCTGGGCAGCTCCCAATAGAGTGTTAAAAACAATACAGCATTAAATATTAAAAACTTCCCTAAACAGGGCTGCCTTCAGATGTCTTTTAAAGATAGGATAGCTGCTTATTTCCTTCACATCTGAAGGGAGGGTGTTCCACAGGGTGGGTGCCACTACCAAGAAGGCCCTCTGTCTGGTTCCCTGTAACCTCACTTCTCGCAATGAGGGAACCGCCAGAAGGCCCTCAGCGCTGGACCTCAGTGCCTGGGCTGAACGATGGGGGTGGAGACGCTCCTTCAGGTATACAGGACCGAGGCCGTTCAGGGCTTTAAAGGTCAGCACCAACACTTTGAATTGTGCTCGGAAATTCATATTCAGTTTCATCCTTTTAAACAAATTTCTTACTATGTTCTGCTATTCTTTTTCTGTGGACTTCACATATGAAAAGTTACTTTTTAAGTAGGCTAGAAAAGAGACATTGCACATACCTTTGTAAACCAAGAAAACTTTAATAAAAATATCAACTGGGGGGAAAGGTAGGCTAGAAAAGGCAGTCAACTATATTGATCAATACTATCAATGAAGCACTGGAAACTGGCCAGTTCATCTTGGGATAAGACCAATTCCAATGTCTTAGCTCAGCCCGGTCATATATTGAAGTACTTGTAACCTGTAGACCAATGTTGGGACAGTGCACTGACTTCATCAATGAACCTTTAAAAACTCTAAAAAGTCAATGGCCAAGTCTGAGGAGAAGAGCCAGGACAATGTAATTCAATGTAAAAAGATGCAAAGCAATGCCAGAAAATTCCACATATATCCTCATGGGGACTGAACTGGCAGTGACTGACCAGGAACAAGACCCTGGGGTTGTAGGGGAGAGCTTGAGGAAGACGTTGACCCAGTGTGAAGCAGCTGTGAAAAAGGAGAATTCCATGCTACGGATCATTAGAAAAGGAACTAAAAACAAATCCATCAATATCATAAAGCAGTTATATAAATCTATGGCGTGACAGAATTTGGAATACTGTGTAGTTCTGGTCACCTCAAAAGGGATATTGTAGAGGTGGAAAGGGTTCAGAAAAGGGCAGCCAAAATGATCAAGGGGATGAAGCAAATTGCATATGAAGAAAGGCGGGGAGTGTGGTCAGCTTAGAGAGAAAGCAAGCAAGAGGTGACATGATAGTAGGGTATGAAATTACATGTGGCATGGAGCAAGTGGCTAGAGAAGTTTTTCTCCCTCTCTCATAACACTAGAACTCAAGAACATCCAATGAAACAATGTTGGAGGATTTGGGACCCAGAAACAAGAGTACTTCTTCACGCAGAGCATAGTTGAAACTATGGAACATGCCCCAGCAGGAGGTAGTGATGGCCAGCAACTTGAATGGCTTTTATTAATGGCCACGAGACATGATGGTTAGTTACACTCTGCCTCCATGGTTAGAGGCTGTATGATTCTGACTATAAGTTGCTGGAAAGCCTAGCAGGGGGAAATGCTTTGCACTTGGTCCTACATGCCAACTTCCCATAGGCATCTGGTTAGCCACTGTGAGAACAGGATGCTGGTCCATATTTAGCAAGACTTGGTTGCTGTTTTTAACCCAACTATAAGCATATTACAGAAAAGAACAAAAAAGTTGTAATACAAACAACTTTTTAAAACTGTAAACTTAATAAAATTATCAAGGCATAAATAAAATTAAGTTTTTATAATTGCTGGCATCCATTTTTCTTGGGAGGCAATGGAAGAATGAACCTATGGGGATAAACCACTGGAGAGTTACAGTGCCTGCTGTGGCTGTATCAGAGACTGATACAGGAAAGTCATGTCTCTGTTTTCGCTGCTATAGGTGCACCATGATGTTTCTTCTCTCTGCTCTCCTCCCAGCAGTCGCTGCTGTGGATATACTACCTGTCTGCCACTGGGCAATAGCGTTGCCTGCAAGGGATTCCCACACAGCGGGGTTAAGGTTCCCAGCCTTCATGTCACATTTGCGGACAACTTTGTAACAGGTCTAGTGCCCGAAGGCAGATTCCAATAGAACACGTTCTTATGGATTCCTGCCATCTTCCATTCTGTGGATATGACCAAGTCAGTCCAGACGTCACTGAGACAGAAGTGCAAACAGGTTGTGAATGTGGTCTTAGGGGAGCACATCTTTGTTTGAGACTCTGTCCTGCCATGTGATGTCCAACTCTTCCTGACCCACTGCATGTTGCCCATAAAGCTCAACACACAAGCCTGGCAGACCTTCATCTTGGTATTGGTCACTAGCATCACATTCTCCATACCCTTTTGGAGAGGCAAGCCATTGTCATAGCTGCCTTACCAATACGTTTGTCCAGCTCAGTGTTGATGGAAAGGTTACTGGTTATGGTGGAGCCTAGGTAGACAAAACTGTCTACCACCTTAGGCGTTTGGTTACCAATGCTGACATGTGGAGTGCTTGTTGCCTCCTGAGCAAAAATGTTAGTCTTTGTCAGGCTGATGACAAGACCAAACGGACAAAATGGTTGACGAGTAGCGTTTCCTCAGAGTGCACTGTCAAGACTGAGTCATCTGCAAACAACATCTCTCCGATAGGAGCCCACCACACTTTTCTTTGTGAAACGTGGAGATGTTTAGCCAGCTGAAGTATGTCAGAGCTCAGTACCCTGTGTCATAACAATCAGAGCCAAAATATCACTTTCAGAGACACAATATGGAACGCTTCAGTGATTCAACTGTGGTTTCTGGAGTGCTGGAAGCACTTTGTTGAGATCCCAGATATTTGCGGACAGGTGGACTAAGGAGAGTTGCTCCCTATAAAAATGGAGGATACTAGAGCTGATAGGTTTGCTGGAACATTTAGAAAGCCCTGAGGATTCTGCAGGCTATTAGGCTGAAGATCTATGCAGAGTCCATCTTGTAGGGATGAGAGAAGCTGTGTAAGTCCTGTGGTGTTCAGTTGCTGATTCTTCTCACACTATCTCAGGAATGCCACCCAGGTGGACTGGCAAATTCTAGGGATATTTGGCCACCCGAATGGTGCATGGGACTTCCTCTGGCATCCGAAACCTGAGGAACTTCTCAATCTCCAGGCTGTCAGTTGAAACCACTAAGGACTGGGTTGCTACAGAGAGCCTTAGGACAGCAGATCTGCTCTGTGAAAAAGATTCTATTCTGTGTGTGGTACAGAATTTTGGGCGTTTATAGAGTTGCCAAGGCTAGTTGAGGGCCACCAGGGACCTTATTTGTGTGCCTGTTTTTAGCATGCAGAACAGGAGCAGAGTTTGAAAAGCACACAGAGAAGGCTGTTGAGGGCATTTCTGTGTCTGCAGAAGAAACAAGCCATCTTGTAGCTGGTGGCTAACACAGAGGTCCACTTCACTTTGCTGAATGCTCTAATTGACACTCTCCTAGCATGTGGAAGGCCTCTAGAAATTCTGTGAAATTAGTGTATGGCTAAAGATGTCCTCAAAAATTATGCCTACTTCTTAAATTAGCAGACTGCTATCAAGCTGTAGCACAAAGCTATGCCAAAACAAGCAGCCCTTGACTCCACTGCAAGAGGAAGAACAAGGCTAACTAATACTTTACAACTCAACTGTCCTTCATAATATTCTATACAAATACAAACTAATAGAATCATGAAGATATCGGAAAAGCTGACAAATAAGGCACAACGAATGCATGGGACTGACTGCTTTTATTTTTCAATTTCTAGTATGATCTACTCTTGTGGCACCAGACACCTTAAAGTCTTCATGCTAAACAGTCTACGTTATGATACAACAAATGTTATCCCAGATTGGCAAGTATATATGCACATGAGTGTAAACTCTGTGGAGAAAAATTTAAGCAGTAAGGCCTAATATTTCCCTTTCTCCACATTCATGTAGCAGAGGAGAAGAACACAACAGGGCTACGTCAGAAATGACCAAAGTGATGCTATTAGTTTGAGAAGAGTAACTTAGGGCTGATTCATATATGTGTAAATGTCTGATGTGATGTAGTTCCTTTCACTGTAATTGGACTACCTAATATAGGGGTGTGTTTGTAGAAGATTGTCCCATATGGTTACATGCCAGAAACGAGACTACTTTAAAGCTTACTGCTTTATGATTTTTCACAATTTCAGATACATGGGTTCTCATGCGAAATTTGGCCAGTACAATCTGTAAAATGACTTTAGGAAGCCAACAAATGGCTCAATCTTCAGAGGCAGTACCATTTGAGATTCATCCATATACAACACCCCTTACATGAAAACAGCTACCATCATGCTTTACATATTTGTGCTGCTTTATTTTTTGGCTAAGCCTGTGGATATTTTGGGTATTACACTGATGTAACCAGATTACTTAACAAAGACCATGCATAAACAAAACTACACTGAGAACCGTACAATTTTCCATATGCTATCCATGATCATAAAAGGAATAAGACTGACCTTATTTCTTTAAAAAAAAATTTTAATGTATCAAACATAAACACATGCATAATTTGTAGAATCGTATAACCTTTTTAACATTTACAAAGAAATATAAGCTACAACCCAGGGCAAGAAAGAGGTAGAAGTGAAAGGTAAACAACAGAACTTAGAGCAGTTATGACATGGCAGTAAGTACCTTTCTAACAGAGACAGATTTAGCGGGATTAAAGGCCTGCTCTGTGGGATCGAGCCCTTCAATTGTTTCCGTACAGTCTGAGAGGGGAGCATCCTGCAACAGTAAATTGAGTGAACAGAGCAAACCAAGCTCGGGCTTTAGATCATCAGCTTAAAGCATTATGGCATGGGATAAATATCATGCAGAAAAACAGTAAATTGTGATACAGAACCAATGGCAATGAAGCAACATGCACCAATACACTAACCCCAACTTGAAAAATTCCCTGGCCATGATGGTGACTAGTCAAACTGCATAAAAGTACAATAAAAATAATAATTGGGCTACCTTTTGCATCTCTAAAATCTACTGAGTGAAGTCATTTGCTTCTATGCTTTCTCTGAAAAAGCATACATTATACCTATTTAAAAACTATAAAGGTAAGACAGTATCTTCAAATGAATATGTCCTAAAAAGAAAGTTTGCAATAAAGAGTTCATTGCTGATTAAATGTACTGTAGCAATAATGGCTTTGGACTCAGCAGCTTTTTCAATACAGCTGTGACACAAAGTCTGACTAGTCAAGAGTGGGTTTTTAGCCCACAGAGAAGCAGCCTTGGTGTCTCTCATGCACTGCAACCAGCACCAAAGGCAGTATACTTGCTAATAACATGCTTCCCACTGGGTTTCTGACCCTAAACATGGTTGCAAAGACAGCAAAATGTTACCTCTAAAACTTACCTTATAAACAGTTAACTTCTGCCGATTAAAGAATAATTTCATAGTGATACATTAGGTGACAGCAGGAATGTACTATAAAGTAACTCTAAGTTTGTATTTTAAGCAGGCTATGTGCTCACCTGAACGAGGCTCCTGTCCACAACAACCCCAGAAAGAACCTGTGACTGTGGGCCAGCAGTTTTAATGTCTTGCAGGTTTTGCTCTCGGATCTGTAAACGATAAAATACATTAATTGCATATGAATAACAGAGAGAACGTAACTCACCTGCCTGTGTGCACCGCAATATGAGCTCCTGCATATGAACCTCGGTCAAGTTGGTTTGGATATATACGGTATCAGTTCCATCAATTACCACTGCAGTATACCATTTTTATATTTTATTACACATTTGGGACTACAAGCATCAGTCTCTCAGAAGCTTCCAGGGGTAAAAGGTAAAGAGGACCCCTGCACAGTTAAGTCCAGTCAAACTTGACTATAGAGTGTGGCATTCATCTCGCTTCAGGCCGAGGGAGATGGCGTTTGCCGCAAACTGTTTTCTGGGTCATGTGGCCAGAATGACTAAACAGCCTCTAGGATCCTGCACTAAACCCCAAATTTTGTGACTGCAAATTGGCATATTTCTTTCTTTCCATAGGCTTAGTTTGAATACATTGTTCTTGTTTTGCAAAAGGAAATCTTACGAGCAATGCAATGGAGTATGTTCTTTGCTACACCCACAACAATAAGCAAATTGCATCAAAAATTCCAAAGATCAATTCTTAAAAATAGTGCACACAAATAATATCTACCTACCTTTCTAAAATGCAAAATTATGACTTTAGGGACTGTGTGAACGGCAACATGGTTAGCTTCTTAAATATGCGTTCAGAAGTAATCAGTGTTGACTTGGAAAGCCAAGGGAAGTATGAATACATGAATAGGGCGTGGGAGGGAGGGGGTTATTTGAAAAACCAATCACTATCTAAGCAATATATTTGGCACACTTAATATATGCCAGCCTTCCCAACCTGGAGCCCTCCAGAGGTTTTGGGCTCCAACATCAGCCCTAGCTAATGGTCAACAATCCAAACTACCAGTAGGGGACCAGAAAGGCTGGTTTACACCAACAGCCGCTGTGCTATTCTGACCAGTTCTTGCCAACTTGAGGAGAGGGATAGGAGACTGTTTAGCAAATATGGCCTGTAAGTTACTTATTACAAACTGAAAAGTCAAATCCCACATAGGAGAAATGTTTCGTCTAATTAGCACTCATATTTTTAAGGCATTTTGTCTTTATTTTTTATTCTCTTGAGATTTCAGCTATGATATAGGCGTACTTTCAATGTGGACTATAAAAAACATTCAGAGATTACAGATAGATTGCCAGTACAAACCTTGTTCCTCATTTCTTGGACTTCCTTTGGGTTAGTGTTCAATGGAACAAATAGATTTTGGACAGCAGAGGTGGCAGTTCTATGTCCATCCTCTTTAGTCCACTGTAATATCAAGAACAATTACATAAAATCAAAATTGCTGTAATGGCTAGAACATTCATAGAAGCAAGTTTACAGCACAGTAAATCATGCATGTACAGAACTGAGAAATGAATCAATGACTGCATTCCAGTATTTGTAAAGACATAACCATCTCTCAGCTTTGAAACAGCTGTTAAGCTATTTTTTTGTAATTCAGAGCAAATATTTCAAAAAACTAAATATGAAAAGGAGTGAAGTATATCACAAGGTCCTGAAAAATGCGTCAAAAGATCTTGTTGATTTTTCTGATTGTCTATATTAACAATACTTCAAGAAATGTGGACTAGCTAAAAATGTTACTTTGCTATTTGTATTAACCACAGAAGGCTGCAAGTCTTTGCACTTTCCTGGAAGTAAGTCTAACCATACTCAGGCCCCATCTGCACTACACATTTAAAGCTGTATCATACTACTTTCAACAGTTATGGCTTCCTCCAAACAATCATGGGAAATGTAGTTTGCTATGGTGCTAAGAGTTAAGGGTGCTGAGAGCTAAGGGTGCTAAGAGGCCACCTATTCCCCCTTCCAGAGCTGCAGTTTACAGAGTTCCCTGGGGAAAGCGATTGACTGTTAAAGCACTCTGGAAATTGTAACAAACTCTAGTTCCCAGGATTCTTTGGGAGAAACCATAGCTGTTTAAAGTGGCACGATACTGCTTTAAATGTATAGTGCAGATGGAGGCTCAGTACAGGACTGAGCCATTAAAATATAAATCTATCAACAATGCCAAACCTCCTCGACTGTCTTTTAATTTCCACATCATTGATTCACTTCCCTGATATTTAGACACATCAAAGCCAACAGAAAGCACAAGATGACAGGAATATGAAAAGCAGTGTGATGTCAATAACCAGGTTGAGTGAACGATTCTGTACTATGAGGAAAGAGTGGGCATCACCAAAGTTTGGATTCAAAACAAAACTCAATGTAGTTTTCAGAATTGTTTTTGCACAGGCAAATAGATGGATCAGCCTAAGGAAGGAGTTTGGTGATGTCAAAATATTTTGTATAAAGCTTACAGATTCAAAGATTACAAAAAATAAAAACCCATACACAAAGCACTTCCATGATTTCTTTACAGAAGGTTGTTTCATATGGCCAGTACATTTAGTATGTTGGAAGGCGACTTTGTGCCACAACGATCTTTTAAGCGCTCAGTCTCATAAATTATACACCAATTATTGCACAGAAAATGTACTGAACACTGAAACAAACCCGTTTAAAGATGCTGTTCCCCCCAAATAATTTTAAGACAAAAGATAGCCAGAAATAGAACTCTTAAAAAAAAGCAACAGAATTTAAAAAAATGTTTTGCAAGTATGAAGTAAAAAAATGGAATGAACATGGAGCTATGGATACTCACTGATTCTTATCTTTTCACATAAAAATAACTCCAGGTTTTTATTAAAGATATTTAACAACAGTATTAAGAACCTTAGTATAACTGGTACTTTAAAAATATTTAAGAGCATTAAAAATCAAATACACAAACTGAGTAAGATTACATTGTTCTAGCAAAATATTAAAACAAGCTTATGGTTTCAAGTGATTCTTTCATTTTATACTTATTTCAGATATTCACTTCATTACATGTGTTCAAAACACACAAACTCTCATCAATATTTTTACAACATAGGGCACTAACTCTTTCTAGAATAAAAGAAGGGTTTGACAGTACTAGATATAGGATAGCAAAAGGGGAGGGAGTCACCACACAAAGAATCTCTCCTTTGGATTCCATTTTCTCCGTGGATTTTTAGATGGCACTACCTTGACTAAGAGCAACTACATTCCCCATTAATCATTCTGAAAGGGAGAAAAAAGCAACCAAGATTTAGGGGGGTTTCCACTGACAGCAAATGAAAGTATTCAAAGGAGAACAGGAGAAAGTTAACAACTTTTGAACAATATGATTTTTCATGCTCAACACTGATCTGTGCTATCTCTAGAATGGCTATGAAGGACTCTATGTTCTTGTCTCAAGTTCCTACATTGTCAGCTAATGTATCAATCAGCCACTTTAAAGCCGGCATCATGCACAAATCTGGATTTTAGAATAGAATAGTATACAATATCACAATAAGCATTTCCAAACAGCTATCCACACGATAGCATTTGAAAACCTTTAGTCAAGACTGAAGTGCATATTTTAACTTTGTAAACAGCAATGTTAAACGAAGTTTCCCCGAACAGTGCCTGGTGGTTGCCTGAGCTGCACTTTAGTCATGCCACACCCAGCTGGTACTAGAGGAAAGATTTTCAAATTATGGCCATCTACTTACATGCAACAATTCATGCAGAAGGCTGTGAACACTGGGAGGCTTTAGGACAGACAGAAGCATAGAGGGTAGAGCAGCAAAAGAGGTCAATTTATTAGGAAGCAAAAGGGCTTAAGAGGAAATAAAGCCTGTGGGGTTGAAACTCTTGTCATTTTTGGTAATCCACAGATCAGATAAAAGGCACTTCAATACGATCCAAATCAGGCCCACGGATTTAACTAAAATGTGGTAATTGGCCAAGTACTTAAAACAAATACCACAAACTACGAGAAGGCAGCCTGGATACAGATTTGTAGACCAGCTAATTTCTGTGCTGAGAAGTGTACATAATTTAGACAAAAAATTTAAAAACTAATTTACTTTAAGTTTTAACTAGGATATTTCCCAGAAAGTACAACCAAAACTTCTCTTATAAAAAACCATTTAAGTAACTCGAATATATAAAACAGAACCAATAAGACATTGGCTTGTTCATTTATTGCTGGCTTAGCAGTCTTAACTGCTCTCTGCACCCTTCCATTCAAATTGCAATGAGAACGCAGGTCTAAATTTCATTACTAGAGCATATTAGAAAGAAATGTTTCAAGTGAAGCCAGATTAGACGGTCAGGAAAGAGGGAGGAGTTAATGTTGTATTTTATTCCCAAAGCCTCACAGTGCCTGCCACCCAAAGTTGCTCTACATCATCTAACTATGAACAGTAAGGTAGGCACAGACCAAGCAGTTGGTAATACAGCTTGGCACGCAGACACCGGACGAGAGAGACTGCAGCAAGGGTTTCACGTGATCGTGTGTAATGTTCGTCCACACCTTAGTCTTCGACTTGGGGCTGCCGCCATTCTGCCCTTCTTCAGAAGCATCATCTCCTCGGCCAGAATTCAGCCACCTTGTCTTCTCTCGCTGCTGTTTCTGAAAACTATGCCGCAGAGGAGAACAAGTGCCCGAGTCCCCATCGCTAGCAAAAGAATACCCCGTGACACTAGCAGGGATTTCCACGTCACTGTATTTTTTAGATTTCTCTCTCAAAGCAGGGCATCGATAGGGGTAGCCAGTTCTGTAACCCTGAGGAAACACCATAGCAGAACACTGTCAACATGGCCTCAAAACCTACACGTTAAACAAATTTACTGACAGCCATTATGGAAACATTGATACATGCATGCCAAGTTCTGCCCTTGAGTATCTTTGCCATTTTGGTGATCTGCGTTCACACAAATACATCAAATTACGAAACATGCTTTGAAGCACTTTAATTATATTGGCATGCCCATGAGTGAATCAGTATTATGTCAGTCCAAAGCTCCTTGGAACGAAACAAGTACAGTTTGCATTTAAGAGTAATAAATATGAACTAGAACATATGTCCAAGTCTCAGTTCTTCTCTTCTATGATGTAAAAACACAAGGCATCCAAGTGACCACTTGTAAACTGGGCGATGCCAATTGAAAAAAACAGATCAGGAGGAGGGCTGGGACTATCAGACTCCGTTAAAGAACACTTGTGCCTGCCCACCTTCAGTAGACTCTTCTCCAGATGCCCCTGTCACCTGAGGTGCAGTAGGTGGCTACCACGGAAAAGGGCCTCTTTGGTGGTGACCCTCTAATTATTATCTACTTGCATACCATCACCAGTGTGCATTACTGAATCCTCCCACTAGGGAAGTTCACCTGGTGTGTATGCTAATGCCATTTCAGAAACAGGAGAAAACCTTATCTGTCAAAGCTTTTTAGTTGTTTAAATTTAATCTGGTTTATTTTTTTTTCTCTTTTAGAATTATATTGCTTTGTTTCTGTTCTGTTTTTAAATAATCACCCTGGAATATTGTTTGAAGGGTGTGTTAGACATTTAAAAAACCCATAAATAATAATAATGCTGAATTACTGCAAGTCTACAGCAATTTTGTTTTGTTCTTGCTATAAAGGAGATCAGGGTACAGTAAAGTTAAGGACGAGCCTCTTGGCAGCTGCCATTGGAAATGGTACTCCTACTCCTGGCATTCTCAGAAAGTGCTTTTCTTCCTAGATTTATTTGTCCTTTAATTATGTACATTTATGTACATTGTCTAAACAGAAACGAAACCCTTGAGACCAGTAACGTATGTTACAAGATCTTTCTGATGTTAAAAATCAGTTGAATAGTAGATTTTTCTCTTACCAAATTATCAAGCATTCGCATAAGAGCTTCAAATTCCTGCTCTCCGGTCTGCCATTTTGGGTAAGATGCTGTCCCGTCCCCTGCTAGAGGCTCATGGCCACGAGACTTAGCCTTGTATTTTCCAGGGTCCAAGAGCACTAAGTTGTCTGCCCCCCCTGCACTGGCCAGAGTACGTACCTTAAAATAATCAAAACAGATAAAAGTTTCTGTGATATTGAATAAATCAAACATATTTCAATGTCTAATCAATAATTATGCTAAATGTTTCATTACAATGTCTCTAATCAAAGTGCCATTTAATAATAGCAATAATATTTTTTTTATTTATATGCCACATCTGGCTGGGTTTTAAAGATAAAACTACTAATCCAATAAATTTAATTCAACATTACCATTCACTTACAGTGCTAAAATAAAAACCTGCCATATAGTTTCAGCAAATAAATCTTTTCATTACACTGTCTGCTATATGCATTACCAGCCTGAGTTTTTTAAAACTGATGAAGATAAATAAAAAATGAGATTAAAAAATAAATAAATAAATAAAAATTAGCATGCTTACTTGGATCTCACAAGCAACAACCAAATTATGAATATAGTAGAAAGCCTCTTCCACGCTTTCTCCAGCTGATACCAAACCATGATTTCTGAGTATGAGAACCTTGGAGAAGAGATAAAGAAAGAAAGTGATGCACAAGTAAGAAGAAAAACAAAACAGACTTTCTCTTGCCTTTTGCGCCTTAGATGATGTTTGGACACTGACCTTGCTTTTGGGGCCCAGATTCTTCTGAATCAACACTTTCTCCTCCTCATCTACAAGAATCCCATGGTAATCATGATAGGTTACTTCCCCAAGGGACAGTGCCTCTGGAGAGATTGGCAAGAGACCACTTTTCATTGCTGACACCTAAGAAGATGACAACAGGTTTCATAAATAGACATTTACGAAGAAAAAGAAATTCTTGGCAGAAGGATGACAGTATGGAGAAAGGCCCCTCCTTCAGGGCTAGGAAGGCAGTCTCCAAATTTCACTGCCAGAAGAGGCACTCCTCTCATCAACCCCTAAACCAGGTTTGGGGAATCTTTGGCCCTCCAGATGTTGAAGAACTACAACTCCAATCACCCCTTGCTATTGGCCATACTTACTAGGGTTGATGGGAGTTATAGTTAACAAAATCTGGAGGGTCAAGGTTCCCCATGCCTACCTTAGACAAACTCTAAAAATGAACAAAACCTGACCTAAGGAGGCAAAATATGAAACTGAAGAACCTCCAGTGGGATGAAATAGAAATACCGCAAACTTTGCAGGCCCACGCACAATGAAGCAGAGAGAGGAAGTAGGAAATAGACAGGAGCTAGTTCCTCAGATAAAATAAGATCAAAACTTTGTCTATTACAAGAAAGGGGCACCAATTTCAAGCCATGCTGATTTGGATAGGGATCAGGTTCCACACCTTACATGTGCACCTGCTATGTTAGCTGTGCAGCTACATACACCTGCCAATGAGGCCTGCAAAGGGCTGGCCACTTCTGGATCTGGCCCTCTGCCCCAAAGTGGTTCCTCACCCTTGTCCTAATGGAATAAAACATATCTGTGGTAGACAGAACACACAGAGAGACTCTGTTCCACTTAATTATGTAAGCAGACAACTCCATTTACCGACCTACAGAAAGTTGGTAAGATACAGGGCAGCATACCTGCCCTCCTGAATAACAGAAATTAAGCAGTTAGTATAGATCATGCATGTCCAACAGGTAGATCACTGGAGGTAGATCACTGGTAGATCCCCCAAACCCCCCACAACAGCTTTGACCTGAACCCTCAAAAAGGGGGTAGTTCACTGCCAGTTTTTAACTCTGTGAGTAGATCGCAGTCTCTTGGGAGCTAGCCACCCCGGTATAGATTTTCCATTTCTCTCCTCAAATAGAAGAGGACAGCTAGCATAGGAATGTAAAAAACAAATGCATCCCAGGATGTAAACCCTAATCTAAGACAGATTCTTTTGAGGTGCATAGTCCTCTGCAGAACACAACTTCCAAAGGCCCCACCGGATGAAGCAAATGTGTCAATTTTCCCTAGAAGGCTGTTGTGTTGAAGATTAGGGTAATCTGTTCTTCCCACCCAGGACTGACCAAGAAGACACACTGTCCTATGCTGGGTGATGCCGTCTTGACCTTCCTACACAGTGCTTTCAAGTTTATCTCCAGAGTAAATGCAAAGAATTTTAAATATGAAAATTTATTTCTCTGAGATACATTTAAGGTTTCTTTTCTCTTTTAAAAAGCTTTGTAATTTCTACCCCTCAATGCCCCTACTTTTCTGGATTGGGAAATAAGTACCACACATGTTCTTTCTCCTCCTGGACTGGTGCAGTGCAGTACTTTACATGAAATTTCCCCACCACTACACAGCTAGAGGAAGAAGGAACTTCTTACCGCCGCTCCTGCCGGTGTGTGAATATGAACGATGCACTTAATGTCCGGTCGAGCTGCGTAAATAGCCGAGTGCAACGTGAAGCCAGCCTGATTAACTCCCAAATTAGTGCTTCCACGATCAACAACATCACCTTGAATATTTATTTTAACCTGGTAACAAAAAATAGCATTAATTCTAGAAATGAGCCTACCGTCCTATCGCAGGAGAGAAACAGGCTCAGTATTTTCAAATCTCCCTCAATGAAAACAAATATAAGATGGATACAAAAGCAGCAGTCACATCAAATAAGGAGAGGAACAAACCAGTTGATCGGTCGCTCACCAGAGCACCCTACCCACTCTGGCAAGTACCCCCAGGAGGGGGGGGCAAAGGGCTTCTTTCCCTTTGCACTGGGCTTTCACTGTTGGAGGGGGATTTCCAGCCGGTGGCAGAGGACAGAGTGACTCCAGGAGACATACGTGTAAAAACCCAAACTAAAACGAAGACTTTAGTACTAAACAATAAACACAAACTCAGGTGGGTGTTATTCCTGCAGGCAGGCTACAAAACTCAGCTTTTTTCCTTTATAGCAACGGCCACCTGCAGCCAATTAATCCCAGAAACTTCTTAAAGGTATACACACATGTTTCTGTGCCGAATGTCCCCTAACATTCACAAGGAGTGAAAGCAGCAGGGAGATGCTGCTGGCAGTTTCTCTTCTTATGGGGAAAACGGCTGGGGGGGGGGAGTGCCCCTCACTCCCACTGAAAAGGCTTTTACAGGGGTTTATTTTATGCTACTCTTTGAAGGTGTTTACACAAATACATTAGAAATAGTTTGCATTGCAAGCATAGTTCTGTATTATGGTGGAATGTGGGGGAGGAAAACAAACACCTAATTTTAATCGTCAAAATATTTGGGCCCAGATAATGAAAAATCACCACATTCTCTCAATATATCTGAGTGGCTGTGCTGAGCTTGTAGAAAGGTTTGTTAAGATTAGAGGGGGTTTTTTAAGAGGCTCAAGATCCATGGAATGACTACAGCCAACTGGAGACTTTACAGACAGATAATATGCTTTTCAGAATTATTTGCATCTTTATAGGTTTTCACATATTCTTTTATTTGATGATGAAAAGAACAGTAATCATGTTGAAAGCAGGAATAAAATGTCATTCATAACACCTCAAACATTTGTGCAATTCAACATTAGAAGGATTTTGCAATTTTTTAGGAGTTCTTACCATTTTCATATTAACACTATTGGAAAGTTTTTTTTTAAAAAAAGAAATGTTTAAAAAAACATGTCTTAGGCTGCATTCATGCATGGGGTGTGTATTGCATTAGTGCTTCTGTCCTGACCTCCTAATGTTCTTCTTGCACTGCAGTACCTGTATGTTAAGGAAAGTGTGTATTGAGTTAAATTCACATGAGTTGGTGATGCTGGCTCATGCCCCACAATGCACCTGGCTGAATCTGGTTCCTCTCTCATGCATGTTACTGCACAGATTTGGCAAGTAAGTTTGTGTATGAAAAGGCTCAGGTTACTGCACACAGTGAGGGTCCACAGTGAGAGTCGTGGTAAGAGATTGCAGGACTTGAAGGCTATCTGCTGGAACTGTGTTTTTGTGTGAAGACTTTTTGAAGAGATCATCTGAGAAGAAGTTGGAGAACTGCCAGACTTCAGAACTCAGAGAATTCAGTCAAGTTGTTCAGGTCTCCGAACAACTGAACTTAGAACTTGCTAACGGACTTTGGTTCAAAAGGACTTTGAAGTACAGAACCCTCTCTGGGACCAGAGAGAGAAACGCCTTTGTGTAACCTGTATATAGAATGTGTGTGCCAAGTAAAACAACTCTGCTAAGAACAGCTGTTTTGTGTTGAAGAGCTTAACTGCTTTGCTGAAGCTTCTACAGCACACATACACAGAACAAGATCTATAGGAGGGAGATAAATACACCCTGCATACCACCATATTGCACTAAATTTCATTCAAGCCGGCAGGTAATGCAGTGTGAAAGGTAGGTAAAAATAATCAGGATTCTACCTCTGCTCAACAGCTGATGAGCAGAGGTATCATTGCTGGGGTATGCGTGATCAAAAGGGAAAGCTCTTTGTGCAGTATCACACCCACACACCCCAATTCAACCCAACTGTTGAGCAGTTGTGTGTGTTGATGCCCCACAAGCAGCTATCTTTTAAGGAAACAGCTTCTGGTGCATCACCCAGAACCTGCAGGATTGCAGTTGATCCCTGGGATGGGTAGCTGAGGAAAGCCACTAGTGGAACCTCACCCCTATTATCTTGCAGGATCACAGCTGTTATGGGGAGCGGGCAATCCTTGGGGAGGGGGGAGATGAGGCTCCACAACTGACCTACTTTAAGGGAAAATCAGTTTCGGAGCCTCTCCTGTTGAGGGGAGGGGCAAAGGGGGCACAAGGCTTTGCAACCCTTTCCTAAATGAAAGCCCCTTGCGGAGCATCCTGCAGCGCCTCAGTCGGTGCAGAAATTCCACGCTTGCAAGCGGATTGTGTTCTGGAAGCAAGTAACACCGAAATGAATGCTGAACCTGTGCCGCATTCCACTAGATTTCTAAAAGTGGCTTTTATGTAATGTGAAAGCCTGAATATAATGTGTATATTAACATTTAGAGAAATGCCAGTAATGAACTGCTGTGTGAATGCAGCACAAATAATTTACAGTGGTGCCTCGCAAGACGAAATTAATCCGTTCCGCGAGTGTCTTCGTCTAGCGGTTTCTTCGTCTTGCGAAGCAACCCTATTAGCGGCTTAACGGATTAGCGCTATTAGCGGTTTAGCGGCTATTAAAGGCTTATCGGCTTAGCGGATTAGCTGCTAAAAGGCTATTAAAGGCTTAGCGGCTTAGATAAAGGGGGGGGGAGCGGAAAAAAATCTCAAGACTCGCAAGACATTTTCGTCTTGCGAAGCAAGCCCATAGGGAAATTCGTCCTGCGAAGCAACTCAAAAACGGAAAACCCTTTCGTCTAGTGGGTTTTCCGTCTTGCTAGGCATTCGTCTTGTGGGGCACCACTGTACCAGTAAAACCAGCACTCTTTGAGTGATCTTATTTGCTGTCTAATATACTGGTCTGTGCAAACTAACATCTTGAAAACTTCCCGAACTTTAGAAACCAGGTTCTCACACTTCCCCATTCCTGTGATGGGGGTGGGGACGGACCCTGAGTTACGTAGGAAAGGATGCAGGATCTGGATCTCAAGTGTTCAGCAAACAAGAAAAAGGAATGAGTATACTTTACAAGCAGGTGATCCTAACTCTCTACTTAACTAATTTTAGCTCCCAAAAACACAGGTGGTGAGATGCTGTTCAGGCAGTGGGCAAAGGAAGACTACAGGGTAGTAAAGTGCTTACTTGCTCTTACCACATGGGGTCTGCCCACTCAAAGGAAGGGACAAGTGCTATTTCCTAAAGTACTAGAAGTTTTAGATGCTTCTTTGCACAGGCGCACAACTCACTGATATGACTACATAAATACTACAAAGAAATAGCTTGCAAACTGACTATAGGGAAGAACTTGTTACAAATTCAACTTCATTATTATTATTATTATTATTATTATTATTTTGCAGATACAGGAAAAAGAAAACATTGTCAAGTCAGCTGATATTAATAATAAAATTATCCCATCCATCTTGATTTAAACATATATATTAATATAAGCAGTCCATTTGTCCAAATGGATGCCCAAACAAGACGGACGATTATAAGATTAAAAGTTTAAAAGTAGAAAGGGCAGAATACCCTTGCACATAAGACATGGAGTGATTAAATACTACAGTCCCAATCCAAAGTCAGTTGTGACCAAATTATATTGATAGCAACTGGCCTTAAGTTACTAATGACTAACTTGTTCCATTGCCTTTAATAGTGCTCGGTCACATCTAAATGGAGCTGTATTGTGATCTGATGTTCAGGATTCTGATTTGTTTGAACAAAAGAGTCTTTCACTTACCAGACTGGATGCAGTAACTTCACTATAGAGAAGCCCAAAAGGCACAATGAGAAAGTGTTCCTGCTCTGAATTTACTCTGACCTACAAAAAAGACAAAGAAAAAAGAATGAAAACTGAGTATGTAGAAACAAGGAAACATCACTTTAAATAACTGATTTACAAAAAAGACAAAATCTAGAAATTGCAAAATGCATATAATTCAGATGCACTGGAAAAAGTCATTATTACACATAGTAGTAGTATGTAAAAGTGTATTACCTGCCCTTCACCAACAGCTCTCGGGGCTTGTTACAATTAGAACAATTAAAACAGATTACAGTTGGGGGAATAGGTTGGGCCCTGACAACACATATCTTAGATGTGAAAGAGCTTGGGTAAAGAGATGTGTCTTCAGCATTTATACAGTATTATACAGAATAAAAACCATATAAAGCAGCCAGATGCACCACTGTGCAGAGGGCCTTCCATAACTTAGGGTCTGCCACAGAGAATGATCTCTCCTGGGCCCCCTCCCTCAAGTGAACTTCTGAGAAAGGCAGAACCGCAAGAGGGCCCCCTTTGCTGATCTTAACACCTGGGAGTGTCTGCAAGGAAGGAGGTTGTCTTCCAGATATATGGAGCTTTAGTCATTTAGGGCTTTAAAAATGAGTGGGAGCACCTGAAATTAGGCCCAGAAAAGAACTAGCACTGAATGCAACTGTTTTAGAACAGAAGTTGTAAGAGTTCTACAAGTGACTTTGGCCAGCAATCTGGTTGCTGCACTTTGGACCAGTTGAGGTTTCAGAATAGCGTTCAAGCGCTGCCCTATGTAGAGTGCATTGCAATAATCCAATCTGGATGTAGCACGGAGTACTATGACCAAGACACCTCTGTCCAAAAAGGGCAGTAGCTGGTGAACCAGCTGTACTTGGAAATAGCCACTCCTAGCCACTGAGGCCACCAGGGCCTCAAGTGACCATGTTGGATCCAGGAGTATCCCCAAGCAACAAACCTGCTTCTTCCAGGGGAAGAATAGACTGTCTTCCTACCTCCTGGACTTGAGAACTTGGAACATAAGTACATGTAAGAATTCAGATACTTTGTTTTCACGATACATGTTGGAACATCAATGCTTTCACACTCCGACTACCAACATTAGTGACAGTTTAGACCAGACTTTCCCAACCTGGTGCCCTCCAGATGTTAGATTACAGTTCCCATCATCTCGAACCATTGGTCACACTGGTCTGGCTAATAGAAGTTCGTCTCTGGGCCATAATGCCTATAGCACGATGACAATTACCAGCTCTGAGAATGAAGGACAGTGAGATTCACGAGAACTGCTCTTAACTCAATTCATAATTCCTATGAAGTTCTAATGAGAAGTGAAGGGACTACAGAAGGGTCCAGAATAGACATGTCACTTAATTTTGAACCTATGAACATTCCCAAAGCAGCCACTATTTACATTTATCCTGCAGTCTCAAATCTAATCAGCAAAACTGGTGTGAACAAGAAGAAAAAACTCTTTGCACACAAGAGAACTCTAACTTCATTCATGAAGGCTGCTGACCCAGTTTCCATCTTCTTCTCTACCTCAATGCCAAGTGGCTAGTTAAGAGATTTCACACAGCCTTTTCAGCAGACCACTTCCAGTTTGTAGGAATTGGGGTAATGGCCAAGTTTCGAAAAACATGCCCAACCCAGCTCCTTCCTTCACCTGCAGCAATAGACTTAATGAACATGTGGGGGTGAATATGGCTGTGAACTGGAATTAGAGGACCAGCTCATTCTTCCCCCATCAAAGCAGATGGCTTTTAGCCAGCCTTAAATAAAGAGGAAGAGTACTTCTAACTAAATGAACATTTCTAACATACACATCTACCCCTGGCAATATCCCTGAAAAAACATCTATTCCCTGCAATGTCCAGGGTGGGAGACTTTCACTGCCAGGCAATGGACAGGAGTGATTTCATTTAAGTATGAAATAGCCTGGGAGGAAAGACACTGGAGAATTTGACAGATCCTCTAAAGTTATCTCCTGTGAGGTAACCCTTGAGGCCTTCCCCTTTGAAGTGTTACACCCCTCTCTTACATTTTACACTTGGTTGAGCTCAGGGTAGGGTGTGGGTCTGTCACTCACCTGGCCCAGAGGATGAGCCAACAACAAACAGCATCAAGCATATGGTAAAGGAATGCAGGCTTATGCTCCATCAGCCCAACCAGGAGAAGTTAAAGGTGGGAAAGACAAAACTGAACTGCAGCCCCCTCTCAAAGCCTTGTTTCTTTCTAGTTGGGACACTGCCTCTCTCCATCTCTCTCTGTTGCTGGCTCCAGCAGACAGGCCCAAGAAGGGAAAAGTGCCAAACACTTTCCCCATGAATTGCTTCACAAATCAGATCTAAGGTATGCTCACAAAAATGTAAAGTGTGAGTAAGACAAATCTGTTTTTGAAAACATGCACATCCTAATATGTTTGGTATTCAGACAGCAGATTTGAGAAAACAATGGTTTGATCAAGAGCAGTCTTTGTGTAGGGACTGCTATTTGTGGAAGGGCTGGCAACCTAGCAAAATTTGCTTCTCACAGAACAGGGAGAATAAGCTATTTTCACCAATTTTCACCTCCTCCATCACTGTTCGGAGGGCTTCAACTGTTAAGAAAAACCACTAGAGAAAATCAGAAGTCTGGAAACCTCTTCACAATTAAGCTTTATAATAAAATACAAGAGTGACTTCAATTCTTACTACAGCTGTAGCTTAATGCTTATTTGGCACATGAGTAAGCTCATTGTGATGCTATTCATTCTTCTCAAGCATTAATGACATGGGTGCCAATAAATTACTCACAGTATAGACATCTGGAGCACACAGGCCAAATGGTTTCACTTAAGATGAGAAGTTCCAACAGTTATACTAGATTTTAAAAGAGATACAGTAGATGTCCCACTACTTTGTCAATGGAGCATAAAAAATTGCTTATAGTAAGATAAATACTGTTACTGTTTATTAAATTTCATTTTTATCTAAGGAAACAAGGGTAAACTTTTCCAAAATCTTATTTTAGTATGAAGACTTTTCAAATCTCCATTTTATTGAATTAGTTGGGACATATCAGCAGGCAACCAATATTTCCAAACTGCGGTGTGAATTTCAGTATTAGCATCTTTACCATTTCATCTGTTCTCTTAACCATGAACAGACAACTTCTTAATTTTGGGAAGTGGTGTTAGGGTTATTATATGGGCACAACTCCAGGACCTAAAGCAATTCAATCCCTTCATGGTCACCCATGGTTTTTAATAAAAACTAGCAGTAAAATCATAGCTAGTACAGTACTTAGTATTTATAACCAGGAGCTAGAACATTCACCAACTAAGTAATTTTCTTTAACATAATTTGTATATCCCTTAACTGTAAATAAAACTTCTAAACAGATTACAAAAATATACAACATACAATAAAATAGTTAATAAAGGTCAAAATTAAAACAAGTTTTTTAAACTGCAAAAAAAGGTCTCTGAAAGATCCCCTCCCCTCAAGAAGCAATGATCTTTTGCCTTCCAGAACATAAATATACAGCAACACACGAAGTTATATGAACTGCATGCAGAAACCCATTCCCCTATCTCCCGCAAATGAAATGAAGACAATTTTCTATTACACCCAGATCCAAAATTGATAAGGGCCACTAGGGGCCAGATAAAGTTTTGTAAACCGCTATGAGGTATTTTAAAATCAAGTGTTGTATGAAATAAATTAAGTTGTTTCAAACGACTGGACTCCTCCAAAGTTGGTTATTCCTATTCTACCCTAAACAACAAATAAAAAGGAGAAATATAGATATAGATGATTTAATACTCACTGTTATGTGATTGTAAATAAGCTGTGACCACCCAAAGAGGTCAGCTAGTCTGTAAAAGGCTGCCAACTTGCATCTCAACAGTTTCTCGCCCTTGTCATAAGCAATTGAATCTGAACCCCTGAGATCATTCACAGGGGTCACCATGCCAAGACCTGGGGAAAAGGAAAGACATGCCCAATATGGTTTACATCTCTTAATAACAATGTCTAAATGGTGTGGCCATACTCTCCTTCCAACAGGAGGCTAACACCATATCAAGTCAATTCACAATATGAAATCTGAATCCTTTCAGCTGATGCAAGGCACCACACCCGTTTAATGAGGAACTTCTCTTTTAAAACTGAAATCTACATCTATTCTCTTTCACTGAAGCATAACAAAACCATTCCAGCACTTATTACAACATCTCCTAATTTCCAAATCTTAATACAATAAATTCTTAAAACAAAATTAGAGCCAGTTCTCACTAAAAGAGTTCTTTCAAAACTGCACTGTTTACATTCAATTTTGGATTAGTCCACACTTAGCTTTGAATTCACCAGCTGCAATCCCTATCCACTCCCAAAATATCTGCTGGAACTCACTCATGTTAAGGGCAGCCATTCCACCGTGAGGTGCTGCTGGGTAGACATTTGGAACGTTTGTCGTCATGAAATCTGCAATCTGCTGTAAAGCCAGTAGACCTGTTGGGTTCTTTCCTTTCTTAAATTGTTCCTGGATCATCGATTCCAATTCTTCACAAAATGCCTAACAATAGAATACCATGTTAGACACCGAAATACTGGAGAACCTCAAGCAAATTGGATTCTCTTAATTCGTCCCTTCCACATCTCTTGTCATTAATGCTTCTCACAGCCAGAAGCATCTCTCTAGGAATAATTATTGAGCCTGCTCCTGCTTTTTTGGTGCACTGTCTGAATAAGGGACTTGAGGCAGACAAGCAGACACACAAGTTCTTATCAACATTGTGCCCCATATACTGCTGTTATTTAAACCCAGTAGCTTCATAGCAGCTTGACTGCATCCTGGAATCGGGTGCTCTCATGGTGAGAAGTGAGGTGTCTGGAAGAGGACTCTCCCTTTGTTTAATGGAATTGTTCCTCCAGAGAGGCTCACCTTGTGTTTATTTCACTGTATTTTAAGGTGCTAAGCAAAGACTTTTTATTCTCTGAAGTTTTTCAACAGTTAACTATGATTCTTTTTATTGTTGTTGCCAGTTTTCATCCAAATTTTGAAATTTTGTTAGTTTCTTGTTGTATTGTATTATTATTGCTTAAGCAGCCCTGAGAATATTTATATTGAAGGATGTCAGAAATATTTCAAAAATAAATAACACATTACATTAAGAAGCTTTAACCAACTTATTCAACTGAGAATTACTCTTACTGCAAGTTGGCAGCTCAACACAACTGAGGACTGCTTCACAAAGAGCAATTTTACTACAGAGACCAAACTTGTGTACAACAAACGGCACAGATACAGCATTAAGAAGTAAAGTTTACATTTCGATTTGGCTATATCTTTGTGCTACAAGAACTTGTGGCTTTTGTTCTGTATCACCAGATGCTTTTGTCACAGGTAACTATGTAACCTGTCATTTTCTACATGGAAACTATATTGTACAAGAAAATAATTTTGTATAAAGCAGCCTAGAGTTGCTGAAATTCCTGATACCTTAATGACACCAGAGCTAAATGGTTTCACTCCACCTCCCACCCCCCCAATTTTGGTTTCAGTGGCAATATACACAGAAAACATGGATGCTTGCTGGAATGAGACCATAGCTGGGATTTATTTATGTCATCCACTAGATTTCTTAGCTGCCTGGGCAATACACAGCATAATTAAAAAATACAATAGAACTGTAAAATGCAAAATGCTATTATGATGCTTTCACCATCAGGAAGCCTTTCCCAATGATATTTCATCGATTTCATCGTCCACTGTAATATATCAGCCTGAACTTGATTGAAACTTGGGATTTGGAGGACTCCAAGGCAACAAAAGTACTTGCCACCGCAAAAAACAAATGAGGAGCTCCTGTGTGCCACAAACATACGCAATGTGCCTTAAGACATTTTGAATTCTGCCCCACAACTTAATGCTGCCTTTTTGAGGAAATGATTAAAAAACTGATTTTTTTGTTAGCTCTCTTCTAAAGTCATGTCCAAGTATTTATCCTTACTGGGCTTTGAAGGATCATGGAGACTCTCTTCTTCTGTTCCATCATATTGAAATCCTGGCGAAGGTCAGGAGCCATGTTCCTCTCTCGCAAGTACTCTGGGTTATTTTCATCCACTCTATCAAAATACCTCTCCTTATGAGGGGCTGCTGGAGGTGGTGAGGTTACCACCTCTGCTCTAGATTCACCATTCATAGCACCTTTTCAGTGGTTCTGTGGAATAAAAATCAATCAATCAAAAGTATTCCAATTAATTCATCTGCTAAAGTTTAAATGAATACACTGGCCCCTACCCCTTTTCTCCACTTTATCCTTCAGTGGACATGGAGAGAAATAAAAGTTGTTGAATAAGGAAACAAAATCAGAACATAAGCACGATCACTGCAGATGGTGACAGCAGTCACAAAATTAAAAGACGCCTGCTTCTTGGGAGAAAAGCAATGACAAACCTAAACAGCATCTTAAAAAGCAGAGACATCACCTTGCCGACAAAGGTCCTTATAGTTAAAGCTATGGTTTTCCCAGTAGTGATGTATGGAAATGAGAGCTGGACCATAAAGAAGGCTGATCGCCGAAGAATTGATGCTTTTGAATTCTGGTGCTGGAGGAGACTCTTGAGAGTCCCATGGACTGCAAGAATATCAAACCTATCCATTCTGAAGGAAATCAGCCCTGAATGCTCACTGGAAGGACAGATCCTGAAGCTGAGGCTCCAATACTTTGGCCACCTCATGAGAAGACTCCCTGGAAAAGACCCTGATGTTGGGAAAGATGGAGGGCACAAGGAGAAGGGAACGACAGAGGACGAGATGGTTGGACAGAAGAAGAAGAAGAGGAGTTTGGATTTGATATCCCGCCTTTCACTCCCCTTCAGGAGTCTCAAAGCGGCTAACATTCTCCTTTCTCTTCCTCCCCCCACAACAAACACTCTGCGAGGTGAGTGGGGCTGAGAGACTTCAGAGAAGTGTGACTGGCTCAAGGTCACCCAGCAGCTGCAGGTGGAGGAACGGAGACGCGAACCCGGTTCCCCAGATTACGAGACTACCGCTCTTAACCACTACACCACACTGGCTCTCGAAGCTCTCGAAGCTAACAGCATAAGTTTGACCAAACTGCGGGAGGCAGTGGAAGGCAGGAGTGCCCGGCGTGCTCTGGTCCATGGGGTCACAAAGAGTCGGACATGACTAAACAACAACAACAATACTGGTGTTAAATTGTTTCTACAGTTCAGAGCCCAGCTCCTGCTCTTGAATTCAGCAGGGCTTCTCTCGTTTCCCTCATTCTTAACTATCAAGTCACAGAGGACGCAGCTGAATCTCTTTATTAACTTCATTAGACCTATAGGTTTTGTGTTTCATATTTTTATGTTGTAACCCGCCCTGTGATGGTTGCCAGCCTTTGAACAAGTCAGGATTCAAAGCCAATTCAAACAGGGATTTAGGATACTACGTTGCTCCAAGATTTCCTGGGCAATTCTTTTCATAACTGCTTATTAAGCCAATAGAATTGTTCAAATTGGGCAATTAACTTTTATGGGTCTTACAGGTTCTAGTCTTAGATGTCTAAGAGGCACAGAACAGCTGATCCTCCAGAGCAGGGTTTCCCAAACTTGGGTCTCCAGCTGTTTTTGGACTACAGCACCCATCATCCCTGACCACTGGTCCTCCTGCTAGCTTGGGATGATGGGAGTTGTAGTCCAAAAACAGCTAGAGACCCAAGTTGGGAAACCCTGCTCCAGAGCATCAGAGATCCTGCTGGCTTCTGCCAGGCAGAAGGTTCAAAGTGTTTTCCTTCCAACCTTCTGCCTGGCAGAAGCCAGCAGGACCAAAGATGGGGCTTTAAGATGCCATGGATTCAAAGCCTATACAACACCATAAAACACTGTGGCTTACTTCCGGTGGTAGCTTCCAACCTGCTAGGGCAGATCTTGGTGTCTCCAGCACAGCAGGGCTACACACCTCCCACCAGTAGTTCTTCTACCACCCCTCCCCATCAACTTCGGAGGTTGAGGACTGTGTCCTTAGAACATAGCCACAACACATTACACACTATTATCAGAGTGCACCAGTATCTGAACAGGGCTTAGAATATGGCTTCTACTTCAGTATTAGAGTAGTTCACAGTGATCAGTGTTATGTAAAACTATGTTGTTGTTACATTTCAAATGAGGTTTTTTTTGGTTGTTGTATATATATTGCTGGGGGCGAGGGGTTGAACAGTTTCTTTATTGTCTATCCTTATCATGCTTTCATTTCACTGTGTTCTTTCCATTTTGGACATTTGCAGCTAAATTGAAGGGGAAGCTGGCACCATAACAGGAAGCCAGCAGTCAATAAAAGAAATCAGTTTGTTAGCAGACTGTTCAAAGATCAGAACACGCTCCAATTTAATGAATGGGGTTGGCACCACTGGAGTGCTTTGCGAGGATTAATGCAGACAACCCAGTTCTCAAAGCTCTTATACTGGCAGGAACTGCAAGAAACAAACCATCAAAGAAATATGCAGTGCAGTTTTTTAAAAGATGACATCTCTGTTTTAAATCTGGGACTCAGTTAATTACCAATCCTGTTTAAGAGGGTCCTTGTAGATGAGGAAGCCACCATATTAAAATAAAGATGGCAATCCTTGCTTTCTTGGCAGAGAAGCCATAGGAAAATTAACATAGGAGGGTGTGAGAAATGAGGAATTACGAAAACTTCAGTAATAGCAATATTTTTATTATTTGCATCCTGTCCATCTGACTGGATTTCCCCGGCCACTCGGGCTGCCTTCCGATGTTTTCTAAAAGTCATGTAGTTTTTAATGTCTTTGACATCTGATGAGAGGGTGTTCCACAGGGTGGGGACCACAACTGAAAAGGCTCTCTCCCTGGTTCCCCTGTAACTACACTTTTTGCAGTGGGGTAACCTCCAGAAGGCCCTGGGAGCTTGACCTCAGTGTCTAAATGATGGGGGCGGAGACGCTCCTTCAGGTATACATGGCTGAGGCCCTTTAGGGTTTTGAAGGTCAACACCAACACTTTGAATTGTACTCGGAAACGTACTGGGAGCCAATGTAGATCTTTTAGGACTGGTGTCCCAGCGGCTGCTCCCAGTCACCAGTCTAGCAGCCTCATTTTGGATTAGTTGTAGATGGTATCATCCACATACTGATGAACACCCAGCCCAAACCCCAATGATCTCTCCCAGTGGTTTCATACAGATATTAAAAAGCAAGGGGGAGACAATGGAGCCCTGAGGCACCCCGCAAGAGAGCACCCAGGGGTTTGAACACTCATCTCACCCCACCACTTTTTGGAAATGGTCCAGGAGGAAGGAGCAGAACCACTGTTTAACAGTGCCCCCAACTCCCAACCTTCTGAGACGATCCAGAAGGATACTGTGGTCAATAGTTCTGATTAGAAAATGTAATTGGTCTCTCCTATCTGCCCACCCCACCCCACGATCTTTCAGAGAAACTCCCTAGCTTCCTGTATTTCCAAACCTTTGGAATGTAAGGTAATTAGCACAACCAATTTTAAAGCCTTACTGATCCTCATATTATTGCCTCATTCGTGTTTGCCAGAAATGAAGGAAGTAACACTTTCCAGAACAGAGAGGGGCCGTAACCATAGTGACCTTGGCAAGGGCTGCTGTGGACTGCTATCAATGGAGTTTACTCCCACATTAGTGTGTAAAGGGCTGCAGTGCTAAAAGGAATGTGGTGAGGAGTCAACACTTGTAGCCAGAAACGGCTGAAAGAACATTTTAGGACCGAGAGTCTCAAGTGAAGAAAATCTGGCTACATGGCTGAATATCAAACCCTGATTATTAAAAAAAAAAGTTTTTCCAAGACCTATTGGCAGAGCACTGCAGTGCTTTAGGCTGAAAACCTACTTGACTTACTCCCAGGTAAGTAGATATAAGACTGCAGCTAAAGTGGACTTCAAAGCTTATGAAAATGCACAACAAAAGGACTGTTAATTTCATAATGTGACAGATAATTCCTGCTTCTTAAAAAAACTTGCCATTCTTCTTTCACATTTGCAATGATTGACAGCGAATTAAAATAGATATGTTACTGGACAAAATCCATGCATTAAAAAACTGGAGTTTTAATAAAACTCTTTACCACTATCCCTAAAAAACGTGAAAGAAAAAAAAACCCACTGAATCACAACTAATTTTGTTTTAAAATATGTTCACATATTCCTTAAACTAGAAATAGCTGAATACATAACTTCATTAAATCAAATTAATGTATATCTATAAAATACATTGGAGGACAACACAATACCAGTATATACTAGAAACTGATAGTATAACGCTGGAGATTGTTACCCACTGAGTATTTCCTCAGCTGGTAAAAAAAAAGGTAAAGGACCCCTGACAGTTAAGTCCAGTCACAAAGGACTCTGGGGTTGTGGTGCTCATCTTGCTTTACAGGCCGAGGGAGCCGGCGTTTGTCCGTAGACAGTTTTTCCGGGTCATGTGGCCAGCATGACTAAGCCGCTTCTGGTGAAACCAGAGCAGCGCACAGAAATGCCATTTACCTCCCTGCCGGAGCGGCACCTATTTATCTGCTTGCACTTCTGGTGTGCTTTCGATCTGCTAGGTTGGCAGGAGCTGGGACTGAGCAACAGGAGCTCACCCCGTTGCGGGGATTCAAACCACCGACCTTCTGATCAGCAAGCCCAAGAGGCTCAGTGGTTTAGACCACAGCACCACCCGTGTCCCTTCCTCAGCTGGTAGATGTGTCCCAACATAGTTTTCTGGCAAATAACTTTGGGCTTCATTAGCCAAATTATGGACACTACATTTTAATAAATCCCTGCTATTGTATTAATTGGTTATTTGATGGATTCAGATGCCTAACTAGAACATTGATTAGTACTTCTACCAATACAATTTGTTTTTCTAATGAAGTGTTTCTGCCATCACTGCCAGGTGCCTCATTGCAATCCTGGATTTGCATCATGTCATGGTGGGGAAAGAAGCAAAATAGAAGGCAAGTTTGAAAATGGTGGTTCTAAACAACAGCAGAGGCATGAATAATGGAGAAAATGTAGTGATTTTAAACAATGGCAGAAATGTGACTAGAGTGTGACAATCATGTATATCACTCTTAGTACAGTATGTTGTCTTCAACATGAAATTCCAGATTCAATGAATTTAGAAATTATTTTATTAACAAGCAAACATCCATACAAACACAACATCCAGCAACTAACTGAACATGCTAGCTGACAGGCCTGCTATTAAGATTCACCTGAAAGATGCAATAAAGTTCAGTATATGAGAATGAGGGGGTGAAGAAAGAAGGCTACAGAATAGAAAAGAGGCAGCAGCATAGAAATGAAGGCAACCTGTGAGCGAGGCAGAGTTGATAAAAGGGAGAAGGAGGAGTGTGAGTGCAGGTCTCCACAACGGAATGTCTATGCACTTTTTTGTGCAGTAACATTATTTTTGTTGTTCATTTCTAGTCCACTTTATATTTTAACGAAAAATCTCAAAGCCATTTACAACACATTAAAACATCAAATAAAACAATCCAGAATAAAATAAATTCGAGCTTCAAGGAAAATATGTCAGATCCTTCTCTTAGTGACATTTTGCCTTCCCCGTATTTCTTTACCTACTTAATTTATAGAGCTGCCCCACAGAAGAACTATTCTAGGTAGCCAGTGTGGTGAAGTGGTTAAAGTGTCGGAATAGGACCTGGGAGATCAGGGTCCAAAACCCCACTAAGTCATGAAGCTCACTGAGTGGCCGTGGGCCAGTCACAGCCTCATAACCTATCTCACAGGGTCATCGTAGGGATTAACTGAGGAGGGGAATGAACCATGTACTCCTTGGAGAAAAAGGTGGGATATAGATGCATATAAACTCTTATAGAAATGGATCTAAGCTATTCGGCTCACCTGCTTAAGAAAACTGGAGGGGCCAGCCAGATGGAGATGTCAGTCGACAATCTGGCATCCAGAGATCTCCACATGTTTGCATGCATGCACATGTATGATTTGCAATAAAATAAGAAAAACCTCTTTTAAGAAAGCCTCTGAAGTAAAGAGCATTTGCCCTTCTAAACCAACAGCGTAGATAAAATTTATGCCTTAAGGGGAAAGATCTTCAATTTCTGTAGCATTCTACTTAGGCATTTTACTTTCAACAAGAGACTGTTTGAAATGCAGCCTCCCTGCGCCTTCAAGCCAAAAGCTCCACCCTGAATGAAGGCCAAAAAAATGATATATTTAAAAACTGACAAAGAGAAAAGATTAAGTTACAAGGCTTATGTTCTTTCCAGACATGGAACATGCATTTTAACACAATACAGATGTGTCAAAGCATTAAGTGTGTGCAGTAACATGTAGCCGAAGTTAAGGACAATTATAAAAGTTTCAATTTGAAAAGAACATGGAAAAGTTTCAAGAAAGTAGCCACTGCAATTTTCAAATGGTACTGTGATGAGTATGAAGAGCTGTGTTAAAAAGATCAGAGTCGATAAGTGTATTTGGGGAGGGAGAAGGCTTTTAAACAACCAGTCTAACTTACACAATAATAAAATAATAAAATTCCTTCCAGTAGCACCTTAGAGACCAACTAAGTTTGTTACTGGTATGAGCTTTTGTGTGCATGCACAAGCTCATACCAATAAGAAGGTACTCTCTAAGGTGCTACTGGAAGTAATTTTTTTATTTTGTTTCGACTATGGCAGACCAACACGGCTACCTACCTGTAACTTATGCAATAATAGTTTAAACCTGTTAAAGGAGATAGTAATGGAGGACACAGGCCATGTTTGGATAGCACACAAAGCACAGGTTCTCAAGTTCTCCCAACCCCTCCTCCTGCGCAGTAAGGAAGAGGAGTCTGAATTAGGACTGCCATAAGTCCAGTTTTTCCTGGACACTTCCTCTTTTTCAGGGGTAAATTTTCTGTCTGGGTAGATTTTTAGAATTTGGCAAAATGTTCAGAATTTTTGTTGCTGCTGTTGTTGAAGTGTGAGAAAGGAGGGAAACACCAGGAATCCGCACCAGCACCTTGCTGTTGTGGGTGGGCAGCGCAGCCCCCACTAAGTCCCCTCCCAGTCTCACACGCGAGCAAGAAAGGTGGGCGGAGGGTAGGTGGAGAACAATGAAGCTGGTGGGCCTCATCCCACCTCACGTTGACTCAGCCAGTTCCTTCCCTTCCCATAATTGGTTCTGCTGCTCTGCCAGTTGTGCCTCACACCTCAATTTACCCTCATTTCCTGCCATCTCTTTCTCTCCCCACCCCCCAGCTACTGTTAGGATGGAGGTGTGCAAGGCAGTTGGGTAGGAAGGAAAGGGGGGTCATGGACACCATCCGCTGCTCTATCTGATAGCATTCAAGTTAAAAGGAGGAGCGAACAGCGCCCCTGAGCCTCAGGCAACAGAGGAGCAGCTGCTTGCTGCAAGACCGCATGCAATCTTAGGCAGAGGGGGCTACATGGTGCAAAAGTAACTGCTCCATTGTCTATTGTCTGGGCGCTATAATAGTGCACTAAAGTGGCAGTGTAGAAGTGGCTGTCAAATGTATCAGATGACTTGCAGCCTTTTTGAATAAGCTCTGCTGTTTTTTAGCCCGGAGTGCGGTGAAAACAAATAGTTGTGGCCTCTTAAGCAATAAGCAGTTGTTCAACAAGATCTTATCTACAAAGTGCATCTGAAAGTGACACACCATGAGGTATTTGCTAATATTTGTACCAATATAGGAGTTTCATATAGGGTTCCAATTGTCTGTATTATTTTATTGTTGAAAGTTAAGAACATTGCTATTAGCAATATATCACAGCTTCTATAGCCTACGTATAGTAGGGGCATTTAAAATGAGAGTAGTCATAGCAATCCATAGTTAAAAGTATAAGCCGGCAAATGTGTCCTTTGTTTTGCTCTTCAAAATATGACAACCCAAAATGCTTTCATGCTTTGTTAACTACAGCTTGCCATGCCATCCACACCTGCAACTAGTAACAAACTCAGTTTAAACAAGCCAGCTTTAGAAATCATCATTAGCTAGTTTCAAATTAATCTGTTACTGTTCAGGTTTTGCAAAATCACATGTCAATGTGGTGTCAGGCCCTGCATGCTCTGGCAGGGGAATGAGGTGAAAGGAGGTTTTTAAGTTTTGCTATTGATAGTTCAAATTTTTAAAAAGCTGTGGACATAGAAGAAACAGAGCCTTTCACTCTGTTGAACAGGAATACCCAACATGCTGCCCTTCAGATGTTGCTGGACTACAACACCTATCACACCTGGCCACAGAGCGGATGGGCCAATCCAGTCAGATGGGTGGGGTACAATAAATAAATAATAATTACTGGCCTCTGCTGGGGTGGATGGGAGTTGCAGTCCAACGGAGGAAACACACTGGCAACCCTTACTGTAGGATAATGCTCGCTCAGTTCTCTTAGCTATTAATTGAAGCAAGCAAGCATCCAGAGCTTAAAAACAAGGCTTCTTTCTAAGGACACCACACCCAGGGCCCTGCCTAAAGATTTTAATTCTTTTTTTAATGGAACATCTGGCTGTACTATGAAGCAAAGTGCCTAATCTCAAGCTGACCGCCACCTAGAATGCCTTTGCTGTGGGTGCTCCTGCAAAGTGAACTAAAACAGGTGGCTACTAGGAAGAGGGCCTCCTTGGTGCTGACATTCTGGTAAAACAAAAACCAAAAGCAAAAAACAAAACAAAACAAAACAAAAACAAAAACCCTCCCCAGAAAGGCTCATCTACCGCCTTCTTTTGGACACAGATGAAGATTTCATTCCCCCACTGTAAATGCTAACTACCAAAAGCCTGGTGCCCAAAAGCTAATAATGGTGCCAGTTTACTACATATAGGAAAGAATAATTGCAGTAAGTTATTTTAGTTAATTATTCTAATCAAAGATGTTTTAAAGATTACTATAGTTAAAAAGCAGACTACACATTAAAAAGAAAACACTTAAGAATGCTAATACAGGTTGGGTATAAACCACAAACTAACCCAGTTCAATTAGGAACCAAGAGATTTCCTCCACTAATCCAGGGGATAGCAGAGTTGATCTATGCTGGTGTTACCGGCTAATAGCTTCTTTGTATGCTGAGCAGTCTCTCCACTCAGTTTCTGCATGTCAGCCACCTATGGCCAGGTGCACTCTCTTACCTTCTGTAAGGCAGAATGCAGTATTATGCATGAAATATTTGAAAAATAGAGTAGTTATGTTATTCAGGGGCCCTTTTCTAAATGTCCCCCATTTTAGAGATATGACAGTTGGCTATTAATATCATTTGGCTATCTCCACATAGAAATAACTGCAGCCCTAGGATTCGTTTAGCTTCTGGCAGTGCAAAATCAACTGCCCAACACCTAAAGGAGCTCCTGTTCCTCTCCCTGGAAATAAACCCAACAAGCCATTCTCCAGCTTCACAACTGCAGGGTCCCTGCCTTCAGGTCCACAAGTTTCATTTGGGAGGTATGTGTCTGTGCAGAAAACTTACCAATTGAATTATATGGAATTCAAATTGCAACGCAATAAAAAAGCAACAAAAAGACAATTAAAAACCTCACCACATATAGAACAGCACATTACAACTGATACAACAGGCAGAAAAACCAATTCAAGTCTTTAAAGTGTATATGTTTATGCAGCTAAACACCACCGCTTATAAGCAACCAGAAGGAACCTGAAGCCTCAGAGTCAAAGAACGAAGTATTCGACTGGGTGGTGGTGGAAAGAAACAGCCCCAAAGTAATTCAAAGACCAAAAATGTTCAGAGTCTGAGAAGTGAAGGAATCCTTAAAAGTGGGAAAGGGAGAAGATAAAAATATAAACTAGTACAGTACATGGAACAAGAAGACGAGTTCTGTACGTGCAGAGGTATGTGAGCACACAGTACAGACAAGCATCTCATTCTCTAGATGGAACATTTCCATTATTTTTAAAATGTCCTCGGGCATAGATGCATTGCAAGCAGTCATCAGTGGACAAATAAAGCAGTTAATGTTCTGGGCTTGGGGACAAGCGCAGTCACCCACTCCCCCACAAAATAAAAGGAGAGGTAAGAGATGCACCTGGAGAGAAGCATCGGAAACGAAGCATGCCTCAGTGAGCACTGGATGCTGAGCAACTGTGGGAGGCGGGAAAGGGGGGGGTGAAACAGCTGAAGGGCCCGATCCCTACTTCCAAGGTTCGGGGGGGGGGTGTCCACCACCGTTTCTAACATAGCATGCTACAATACATCCAGAGCAGGCCCACCCATGCAGTGTTGCCCCGCTGACTTGGAGACCCCCGAGATCTGCAGAAGCACACAAATTCTTTTAGCAAAGGGGGGGGGGGGAGGGAGAGAGGGCTGGAGCTGCTGCCGCCGCCGCTTGAACCAGGAGTGCAGGGCCTGCTCTGCAGGCACTTAAGCAGCTTCCCAACCAGCAGGCCCAGTGGGGGCCCCAGCTCTGGCCCTGGGAAAACGGACGCGGGACACAACCGCGGAAAGTGGCGGGCCAGCCCCCTCCTCTTCCTGCGGGGAGGCTCCCCCCCCTCGCCGGAAAACACGCCAGCTGGAGGAAACGCCGCCACCCCCTGCTGGGGGGGTGCACAAAAAAGAGGGGGTTGGGCAGGGGGGCCGCGCGACGGAAAAGGCGGGCTACAAACATAACGGCAATAACGGCGCGACGGTGCCCTGACTCTAGAGCAGTGTTCCCCAGCCTTGGGCCTCCAGCTGCTTTTGGACTACAATTCCCCTCATCCTTGACCACTGGTCTTGCTAGCGAGGGATGATGGGAGTTGTAGTCCAGAAACAGCTGGAGGCCCAAGGTTGGGGAACCCTGCTCTAGAGCATCTGCCGCTGCCAGAAGGGCTTCGCTCGTCGAGCGGCGGCGGCGGCGGCCCCGTCTCGGGGGGGGGGGGGTCGCTGCAGAAGAGAGGCCGCTCCACCCCCTGCATTGGACGCGACCCGAGCCTGCGGAGCTCCCTCGGCGCGCCGGGGGGGGGGCAGAGATCCCGCACAGACAACGAGCATTTCTTGGTGGGGAGGGAGGGAGGGAGGAGTCACCTGTCGAGCAGCGGAGCGGGGCGCCCCCCCCCTCACCCCGGACGAGCCGACGCCGGAGAAGGGTCGGCGCCCCCCCTCGACTCGCCCCGGCCGGGGGGGCGGCAGCTCCCTCCCTCCCTCCCTCTCTGTGGGGCCGCCCCCTCCCCGAGCCCCAGGGGAGGCGAGGACGCGGCGAAGGCGGCGGGCTCTCCTTTACCTCCCTCCCCTGAAGACGAGGAAGCGGCCGCAGCCCCGGACGGATCCGCCACAGACGCGCCTTTCGCAGCCGAGCCGACCCCAGACGCCGCCGCCTCCCCTGCCCGCCCTCTCTCCGCCGCGCCAGGGTGCGGCTTTGAAGGGTCCGCAGGCCAATAAGCGCGGCAATCATTGGAGCGCGCCCGCGTCCCGAGCAAGCCGCCTGCTCATTGGCCGCTCCTGCGGGGAAAAGGCCCGCCCACCCGCCTTCTGGGATCGTAGACTTAGAAAGGAAGACTAGGGAGTCCGCGCTCTGCTGCGGAGATGCCCCGGGTCCTCTCGGGGGCCATTTCCTACAGCAGGAGGCGACAAAGGGAAGAACCCGGGATTTTTAATCCGGCGCAGCAGCTTCTCGCCCACGCCTTCAGGCGAAATGTTGACATGAAGGCGGAATTTTATTTTATTTTATTTAAAGAAACGAACTACCTCCTTAAACGTTGTTTTTTTAAAGTAATACCCAGCAATTAAACTGCAAGCACAGGCGGTGGGTGGGTAACACTCTGCAGCCTAATGCAGTGCCTTGGAAGCTGTTTCTGAAAATGGATTTTACAAAGCTAAACAAAAAAAGCAATAAAGGAGGCATACTAACAGAAAAGAAACACATCGTATTCCCTATGCAGTGGAAGTTAGTAGTAGCAGCAGCAGAATTTATTACCCTCTCTTCACCCTAAGGTCCCAGGGGTTACAACAATCAATCAATTAATGTTATTTTCATTGTTATTATTAGAAACAACTTTAAAACAATTTACGATCACAGAATAAGGTGTGAGTCTTACGAAGTATACACCCTAAGGATTAAAAGCCAGGGCAAAGAGGTGGGTCTTTGGCATTTGCCAAAAGCTGCGTAATGAAGGTGTCAGATGACACCTATGGGGAGTGAGTTCCATAATTTAGGGGCTGCCGCAGAGAAGGCCCAAACCCAAGCCGCCGCCACCCCATTGCATTTATGAGTGCAGAGGAACTACCAGGAGGTCCCTGGCTATTGATCTTAACACACAAGAGGGTCTGTAAGGGAGGCGGTGGACTTTCAGGTATGTGGGGCTTGAGTCATTCAGGGCTTTAAACACCAACATAAGCACCTTGAATTGGGCCTAGAAACAAACTGGCAACCAGTGCAGCTGTTTAAAACAGGAGTTATATCTGTATGAAGCCCCACGGGACACGGGTGGCACTGTGGCGTAAAACACAGAGCCAAGAGTTCGCCGATCAGAAGGGCGGCAATTCGAATCCCCACAACGGGGTGAGCTCCTGTTGCTCAATCCCTGCTCCTGCCCACCTAGCAGTTCAAAAGCACGTCAAAGTGCAAGTAGATAAATAGGTACTGCTCTGGCAGGAAGGTAAACGGCGTTTCCGTGCGCTGCTCTGGTTCGCCAGAAGCGGCTTAGTCCTGCTGGCCACATGACCTGGAAGCTGCACGCCGGCTCCCTCAGCCAATAAAGCGAGATGAGCGCCACAACTCCAGAGTCGGCCACGACTGGACCTAAAGGTCAGGGGTCCCTTTACCTTTATATGAAGGCCCAGCCACTAATCTGGCCGGTGCATTTTGGAACAATTGAAGTTCCTGAGTTGTCTTCAAGGGCAGCCCCAAGATGTGGGTAGTACAACAAAGAACCAAAGAAAAAGTAGCAATTGTCATAATGAGCAGAACATTTTAGGCAGAAACAAGGATGCTATGCTGGCTGAGTAGTAGGAACTACCAAATCTAACCAGAATTGCAGTTCGTTAGCTCACTCACAACACATTAGTCATTGTTTTAGTGTTTTTTAAAGTGTTTAAAGTGCTTTCTTTCTTGCCAATTCAAAATTTCAGTGGATGGTGAGTATACATTGTCTTGATTATTACCCAATGGAAATGGACAGGGTCTTAAAGGATATAAGGTACCAGTGGCTTCCGACAAATTTTTCACGGCATCCTGGACTGAGAATGGAAGTCATGACATCTGCAGTGGAATCCACCACTGTCCACAGTATCTCAATAACCATGGACTGTTGGTGGACTGATGGACTGGGGTGGTTGCCATTGTGGCAGTGGGTGGCAAAGACACCACACATGAGGAGGTTGTTGCTGGTTTTGTTTTAAAAGCACCTGACATGCAGTTTTTGAACAGGGCAACTAATATTTAAGACTGTAAAATACCTATACGTAATCCATTTGTCTTGGATATTGGTTCTCTAGAATGTGTCTCAACTATTTCCACATGACTTCAAACATCAAGCCAACACTTCCTTTTCATTGTAAACTAATGCTAATACTTCTCCTTTCCTGTTTGGTCTATTCCTTTTGAATAGGTTATATGTCTGTTACCACATTCCAGTCATGAGTTTCATGCCACCAGGTTTCCATAATGCCTATGATATCATGCTTGACATCCTGTATTAAGAGCTCAAGTTCATCTTGTTTATTTCCTATGCTCTGTGCACTAATATAGAGGCAACTGTAACCATAAGCCATTCCCTCTAGCTGCTTCATTACTGGTTTTTTCTTGTATATTAGCAGGCTCCTGTAGCACCACCCCAGTTTCCTGTCCATCAATGAAGTTATTATTCCCAGTACTTGGTGTCCCCATTCTCTGAAATATTGTCTCCCTCATCCTGAGGATTCAGTTTAAAGCTCTCCTAATCATGATGTCATATGTTTGACAGGTGGCTTGTTCCACCCACCTGTCCTATTTGTCCTGCCAAAGGTCCTTCATCCTTTGACTATTGTGGGGTGGGTGGGAGGCTTGGTGAGATCTAAGGGGATAGGGGAGTTGGCAAGCTGTAAGGGGTGGGGATGGCAAGGAATAAGCTAGGAGTGGGTGGCTTTTCTGGGACATAGGCAGTTTGTGAGCAAAGTGAGTGGGAACAGCAGCCACTGGTGCTACAATTAATATGCTGGTCTTTAAAGATGCCACAAGGTTATATACCCAGTGCTTAGGTAGCTGTGCTCCCTTGGGTTGAAGATTTCCAAAGACTTTCTTCAAAAAGGAAAAAATGTGTTTCCTGAATATTTTATATAGGAATAGCATACAACAGTATTTTCTTTATACCTGAACAGGATTAAATTAAAGTTTGGTGCATATGTGGTTTGTGTACACATAACTACTATCTATGTTAAGTAACTCATGCTTGTTATATATGACCATGACTTGAACCATTTATTCAGTCTGATGCACCAATTTGGTTATAAGCATCTTTGAAGCATCTGCATTCAGCACTTGGTGCAGAAAGTCTCCCTTACCTTGATACGACACAACTTCCACAGAAATGCCTTGCCTTCAAGACATACATGGCACACATGTCTCTTGCACAGCAAAATTCTAATGAATACATTGTGAAAGATGTAGTATGGCACTGTTGACTTAATATTGAACCAAATAATTCTACAGGAACCATCACAAATGTATCAATACAAATCACAGATTGAGAAATCTTTATATAAACCCTGTTCAGTAGAGTTCTTCTTTCATAAGAGCCATAGTTTGTTGGTATAGTTCTTACAATATAAAAATAATGAAATATAGGACATTAAAAACCCTTATTTTTCACATTAATTTGCATGTTAAAAACAAGTTGCCATTCTATTTATTCATTGGGTTAATACTTATGGTTAATCATATGGTCAACACATTTCTTTAACTTAACTATTTGGTGATAATATCAAAAAGTGCATATACGTCAATATTCCTGGTAGATTTTTCCAAAATTACAATTTGGCATCAGCTGAATTTTCACACAGTTACCCTTGCACAGAGGTGCTTTGTAACTCATTAAGCAGAGCAAAATACAACAATATTGTGTGATGCGTGTAAGAGTGAGAGAGACTGGTGCTTACTTTGACAATTATAGTGAGGGTCTAGAGGCCTAGGGGGTCCAAATGCCCTTAAAATATCACAGTTGTGACAAAGCAAAAGTGACAAAGCACATTCATGCATGGTTTGTATTATGGTGGAGTTTTGTGTTATTTATAGCTAAATTATAAACTATTTAAAAACTTTGTCAAGCACCAGTGATGAGTCAAAAACCAGCCAGGAAAACACATAGCAAGAAGCCATTAGTACTTTGCTTCTAGACATGTCTCTTAGTAGCTCTGTTAGTTGTCCATATGACCCATTCAAGTTAGGAGGTGTCTTCAGCCCTCTTCTGAAATTGGTCCAGACTCTTTATGAAAAGCACAGGGGGAGCGGGGAAGGGATATCAGTCTACAACCATTCATTAATGAGGAAGGTCAACAGTTGTGTCCTAGGATTCCATAACTGTGCTTGGTGTTAGAGCGAGAGTGGATTAGGTAGGTCTGTCACCTGGGTCCAGAATAGCCGTAAGGAAATTTGAGGACCAGATTACGGTGGCTGGGCAAGACATGGCTGCCGTAGTGCTCAACCAGACTTCCAAGGCTTAGAAACACAACATCTGCCTCCAGGTAAAACTTTGAGTCCTGTTGCGGAAGTAAAATGGACATCTGAAGTCATTGACCACCGCAGGAACATTCTATGACAATACAACAGACATACAACTCAGAGCAACTTTGACATACTGCAAAACATAACTAATTGGCTAAACTCCATGATGTTTACAAGCCTAATTCTGGTTAATGTTCAGATCAGAATACTGTATTTCCTCCCTTCAAACATAAAAAAGGTAAAGGACCCCTTAAAGTTATGTCCAGTCACAGACAACTCTGGGGTTGCGGCGTTCATCTTGCTTTACAGGCCAAGGAAGCCGGCGTTTGTCCGCAGACAGTTTTTCCAGGTCATGTGGCCAGCATGACTAAGCTGCTTCTGGTGCAACGGAACACAGAAACCAAAGCAGTGCACAGAAACGCCGTTTACCTTCCCACCGGAGCAGTACCTATTTATCTACTTGCACTTTTTGGCATGCTTTTGAACTGCTAGGTTGGCAGGAGGTGGGACCAAGCAAGAGGACGCGGGGATTCGAACCACCGACCTTCTGATCGGCAAGCCCAAGATTTGAACTGCCAACCTTCTGATCAGCAAGCCCAAGAGGCTCAGTGGTTTAGACCACAGCGCCACCCACGTCCCTTTCCCTTCAAACATACAAAGACCTAAATCTGAAAAATCAGATGAGGCCCTTCTACATCTCCTTATACAGTGGTACCTCAGTTTTCGAGCACCTTGGAAGTCAAACATTTTGGTTTTCGAACACCGAAAACCCGGAAGTAACTGCTTCGTTTTCGAACACTTTTTGGAAGCCAAACGTGCCACATGGCTTCCATATTGAGTTTTTTGCAAGTAAATGCTTCCAGAAATGCATGCTTCAGTTTTCAAACGTTTTGGAAGTCCAACGGT